ATCTAACGGATGAAATCTAGACATATTTATGTTGAATAGTGTTGAAATGAATTGTTGAGAGATAAATTGGCTTGAACACACTTGATGATAACGTGGGTCGAATAACATAAACTGATCATAGGGAATATTGGTTTGTGAGCAACGACAAACGAGAGTATTTGGATACTCATTGCTCAGATGTTCAAATTGATTGAGCGAAGGTGATGTGACGGTTACGACGTGTGTCTGTAGGTTCAACGTAGCAAACAAGGTGACAATGACAACTGAGATATTTAGAAGAATAATGAACAATCGAGTTGATAATAATTGATCATTGACTGTTAAAGAGTTATCGGTTTCGTACAAGTTAAACTTGCCGAGCGATACATAAAGACGCTTCCAAATCATCATTGTAAAACTCAGTACTACAATTTTTATTCAAGAATCCATTCTCTTTAAATATAGTCGTACGATAAGGTTGACTTCGAGCACTACGATTCAGAACAGCCTTAAGGCTTGCTTTAATTCATTGTAAGAGGAAACATGCTACAAGACAAAGATACATTCAAAAATCAAACAAATATTGAATCGTATTTTTCAACTGAGGCTGTGGGTGGGTGGCTGCGGGCGACGAAGAGACTCACACACACCCGCACCCTCAAGATGGTAGTATAATTGGCTTAGAGAATCGGTACGGATAGCACAAGGTGTCAGTTAAAGTCCGACAGAGGTTATCTTTTTCTTCATTTATGCATATATATTATCTTTTCTTTCCTATCCGTTCCTTTTCGGTCAATGAGCCATATTAATATTTATGAAATCCTGCATAAAAATTTATCATAGCATTTTCTGAAAGAATATTCAATATCTATTGTCCCTACAAATACTTTATCCTGGTCGTAGAAGATTCTAACTTAAGCATTAGTATTATCGTATCTGTTCTTAACCGTCAAATTTTGGATATAACGACTTACTAAAAATTTTTCTATGTATTTTCGAAACTTTGACCGTAAGTAAAAATGTTGAAAGATATACTTATGGAAAATGATAGTATGTGGAAGTAGAAGTCTCTTTCACATTTTTATTTTTATTTTCAACATTTTTCCTGTTGGTCAAAGTTGGATCTATAAAAAAAGTATGAAAAATGTCAATAGTAGTATTCATTCACTTTTCATACAAAACAATGAGAAGTAATTATATAAAGAAAAAATATACAAAAAAAAAAATACCTGACAACTACAAATTCAATTATTACTAAAATGACGTATGAGAAATAAAAACATTTAGTTGTGCCGTCCACAATTTCTTCCCGCTCAAAAAAAGAGCGCTTGGGTGAATAGAAAAGTGAGCAAAATATTTTAAACACAAATAATAATAATAAAATAATTTAGTTTCATGACAATTTACATAATAGAAAAAAAAGTTATTAAATCGAGTTTTTCAAGTGAAAACTGAAGTTGTTTACATGTAATCGAGAAATTTCCAAGAATATTCGATGTTGTGATGTCGACTTAATGTATAAAAAGACATTATGAATCGATATAGAGCCTTGCAGTTGCATAATATGAATAATTCACATGGAATCATAGCTCATGTAAGAGATTCATATATAAATGGATGACTGCAAGAAAGAATCATCCATTTCTAAATTGCACAAAAAGATTAAAAACGTTTTTATAACGTAAATAATTACAAAAAGAAACAAGCTGTTTCATATATAGTCTTCATCAATTTCCCACTGAGAAAAAGTATTAATGAAAATCTTGTTTATTATTACAAATCAGAGTTTTTTTAGTTAGATACTACTGTTTATCAAAGAATTTCTAAACTTCTAATTTCCTATTTTAGATTTCTGTAACTACTATAAGTCATATTACAATCATTACTTTAACTATCGCTTAAATCTCATGTAATAATTGTTAGTTTTCAATTAGCACCATGCAATGTAATTTTCTTTTAAATATGTCTCCTTGAATTTGAATTTATTTTTAAGTATACTGTTTTTATTCTGTTTTATTCCAAAACCTTTTGAATAAATAATTAGTTTTTACGTCAACAATATATTACATTTTGAATTATATATGCTTTGCTAGTTTACTTTTAAAATAATCAAAGTACTCAGCATGATCATGTATATTTTTCATTAAAAGGAAAGTACGTAAAATCTAAATGTATCACTTTGACTTTATTTTCAAGGTTTTAATTTTTCTGTATCGAGATATCTTTTTCCAAGCGAATATTTTTGTTTTGATTTCCATTTCTAAACATGCCTCGAGGTATGCTCTATTCATATCATAAAAATTATAACTATATCATGTCATTCAATATCTAGAAAAGTCTAGATTCAAAAGTCAATAAAGGATATTTCGTAATAACTGAGGATATTTTGTTGTTGAAGTTCTTCATACTTTTACTTGGCCTAGAGAACTGATATTTTTATCGCATATATATCTAATCAACATCCTTTATTTCTGAAAGATCCACCTGTCTAACGATATTCAATGTTCAAAAACATAAATTTTCAAAAGCCATCCTGGAGATGTGTGTATGTGTATTTAAGAAAAAAAAGAAAATGAAAGTGTCAGTAAGCGATATTGTCATCTTTTCAAAAGTAATACATATTAAGAAGAAATGGCATGAAAGAACGAAATATACATATATCGTTCTTATTGTTGCACACACATTTTACTTCAAAGTATAATATTTTTTCCAAACAGAAATAGTTTTTACTACGAAGAATTGTTTTTTATTAAGAAGAAATTTTTGAGGGTGTCGGCTGGATGTGGATGCATAATACTTTTACCCACACCCAGACCCATACCCTCAGAATATATTGTATTTCGAAGGCGAAAATAATCGAACAAATAACCACTGCTCATCGTATGAATAATTGCGTTTTCTTTTTAACTCAACGAACTATTACAGATATTCTTTCAAACATCATTTTTTTCTTCAACCTTCGATAAGACTGTAACATCACTTTTAATTTCTCTTTTATCGATTTATTAATTCTGCTAACTATATATTTGATTCGAACAAGAAAAACTATCGAAATAAATAAGTAAAATATGATCAAATTTAATTGCAAAGACGAAAGTATTATATACATCTTAGCATCGATACATAATAGAAGTTTGATCGTTTCTCTTTTAAAGGATTCACTATGAAAAGCTCTAGAAAAATGATGATACTAAATATCTGTGATGATTGAAATTAATGATCTATTTTATGATCAAAACAAAACATTTTACATAATAAAACCATTTCTCATATCTTGAACATGATAAAATATGCTCGAAAAAATATATATATGTGGAAATTAGATATTTGTTATGAGTAAATATCGTAATAACCATCAATATTTAATATAAATCAATTTAATTGTTTAAATTAAAAAAGATAAACAAATCAAATGTATATTTACTTATGAAAATTTAATAAAATAATATTATTATTCATATATGATTTAAAATAAAGTTGAAATGTTATCAATATTAATATGATAAAAGATTCTATGAAAACGACATTTCCTGAGATTTTTAATATTGAAAAAACAAATATTTATTAGCCGATGTGAATATCGATAGAAGGAAAAAAACATAATATTAAGATTGAATATGATGATCTTAAGAGTATAAGTAATATGTGATATGTTCTAGTTAAATAATTTCATATATAAAATCAATAAGAATTTTTAATAGAGAAGTAGAAGGAGTGATTATTAATCGATTTTGTATGTTAATAATTGAATTAAATTTAGTAGATAAATTATGAAATGATAACAAAATATATTGAAAAATTTCAACAAAAAACTTATCAAGAAATAGAAGAGATTTCAATAAGAAGTTTTTTATAATAGATCTAACTTGTTATTTGGATATTCAATTCGTTCTTGTTGAAAGTAACAATAAATCTTTATTATTTTTTTCCTTTCTTAAATAATATGTAGACGTGTTAATACTCTTTCTTATAATGAGTCGTCTATATTCTATATATATTCATTTTTTAATTAAAACTATACAAATGAAACAATGTCAATCGATTTTCTTAAGTGCATTATCTTTTCAAACATAAAACTCTCAATTCACATAAATGTTTTATATTTTATTTTTGAGACCAGAAGATGTTGTCTCGTACCCACATGTATTTTTGGCAAACTAATTTGAAATATTAAAAAAACATTCTACAATTTATTTTATCATAATACTCAATTATTTGGTTACGTACTTATCAGCTATAAATAATTTTAATCTAATAACAAATATTTTTTATTATTCATAAAAGTATTTCAAAATTTTTTATTCGATCGTTTCGTCGATTAATCTACTGCTATTTTTATCAAAAAATTTTTCTTTGAAATGTGAGTGTAAATCGAGAAGTTGTGAAATATTTATTTTGATTTCTTTGAGACATAAGACAAATCTCTTTAAAAGTTTTATTAAATGAAATCAGATGAAAATATATTAGTTCCATCAAAAATCTATCAAATTTAAATTTTAAATCATCTCAGAACTTCTACTGTTACTTTTTATTTTATTTGAATTTCTTCGTTTTTTTAATATAAATAAAAGCGACTCAATATTTATTTTGTTCAGCAAAATTCATTTCAATGCGATTTTTATTATCAACTTTTCATAAAATAGCTCTTTTTTCTTCAATTTTGAACAATTCTCGGATTTTAACAGATCGAAAAAACTAACAACATTTCATCTACTATGAAATTTTCTTTTCGAATAATTTTTATTTCAATTTATTTCAAATCACCAAATATTTCCTTTTATGTTTTTTTACAAAAATTAACAAAAGGTGAAAAACTTTAACACCTATTTTTTGGAATATTTAACCAAAATTATCAAATTTAATCCAATTTTGAAAAAAAAAATCAAAAAGATTTTTCTTCGAGTTTTCTTCGATTTTTTCGTTGATAGCTAACAACAAAACTTGACTTTTTCTATCGTTTTTATTTGTCGATGTTTTCTTCAATAAAAAAATTTTTTCTTTTTTCAAAACTAAAATTTCGTTTACAAAATTATTTCAAATTTTTGAATTCGATGATTCGAATAATCAGCAACATAAAGATTGCCTTCATCATCAAAAGATAAATCATGAGGACCGAACAATTGATTTGATTGACTTCCGTGACCATTTCCACCAACAACAACTTCACCTTCTTCTATTTCTTCACACCAACGCATTACTCGATGATTTCCACTATCTGCCACATAGATTTGACCTAAATGATCGACAATTACTCCTTGAGGTGAAGACAATTGATTCAGATTTCCTCCTTTACCATTTCCTCCAGCCACAACTATTCCTTCTTTTGCATCTTTTTCCCATTTCATTACACGATGATTCTCATGGTCTGATACATAAACAGATTGATCCTCATCAACAAAGATAAAACTAGGACAATTCAATTGATTGAATTCATCTCCTTCACCACTTCCACCTGCCACTATAATTCCTTCGTTGTTGTATTCACCCATTTTCCATCGTTTCACTGCATTCTTCGCAAGATCAGAGACATAAAGAAATCGATGTTTATCCATTGCCAAGCCATAACAGTCAATATTGTCAATTAGGATTTGTTGCTTTTGATTCATCCATTGGATCACTCGTTTGTTCCCTTGATCAGCAATGATGATCGAATGATTTTGTTGATTAACAATCACATCTGCTGGTCGATCCAATTGATCCATTCGATTTCCTTCGCCATTTCCACCTGCAATAATTTGTCCTTCTTTTGCATTATGTTTCCATTCAACAATACGATGATTTGCATAATCAGCAATGAAAATATTTTTCTTTTTATCAATAAAAATTCTTTCTGGGGCATACAGTTGATTTAATTTCTCTCCATATCCATTTCCACCAGCCACAGTAATGGCATTTTGTTTCCAATTGTTGAAGTTTGGTTCTAGAAAAGAATAAAAACAAAAGATTTTCATGAAAAGAACAAGAAAATTTTGTTTTTTATGGAAGAAAAAAAGAGCAGATTAACTTTAAATGAAAGTTTGAGTTTGTTTCTTTGTTAAAGTTGAATTGTGAATAAAATATTGATAAAAATAGATAATGAAAAGATAAATTTCTATTTGATATTTTTTGTTGAATTTTGAAAAAACAAATTCTACTAAAAGAGAACATAAAACATTTGAAATTTATTTTTATTTTGTTGAATCGAAATTTTGAAGAGAAAAGATTTTGTTGATTTATGTTTTCTTAAATAAAAACTTGAAAATAATTCATTTTTGTTTTATCAGTCAGACATATCTTTTAAATCTTTGAAGAAATTTTTTTTAAGTAGTTTAATATTATTTCTTAAAAACTTACTTTTTGATGAAATAATTGAAATATCATTAATTAATGATCGTGAATTTTGTTGAATAGACATATTTGATGGATTATTGAATTCTTTTGCAATTTCTATTAATTGAGTTCTCAAATAATCTAAGTTAATTTCATGAAATTCGTCTTCTTTTTGAAATTGTGTTATTTTTTCACGCAAATCATTAAGTTTCATTTCAATATCATTAATACATGTCTGTGATGATTTAATGAGCAATTCTCTGTACTCTTGTGCTTTTTGTTGAATTTTCTCAATTGATTTTATTTCCCATAGATTAATTTGTTTTATTAATAAATGATTTTGTGGATTTTGTTTTTGTTCATTAATTTTTTCTTTAAATTGATCGTAATCATTAATAACATAACTTAGTTCTTCATTTAATATTTGACGATGTTCTGTTAAATCCGTTAAACAAAAGTATTTTGAACATCCTTCACAGGGATATGTTATTTTATCTTTATTACATTGAAAACATAGTGTTTTGTTGTTTGTCATTGCCACGTCTATGAATAATCTCCTTATCTACTTTTATAAATATAAATTTAATAATCCAATGACAATAAGAACGTTGTTCACTAGTAGAAGAAATTGAAAAAGAAGTTTTCTAGTGGTAAAAATTACTAATTGTTAGAAAATTCTACTGATAAAACTGATTTAATATCTAAGATGATCAGATAAAAATTGAAAAATCGATTTGATTATAATTTAAAATAAAAATTTAAACAATTTTTATGATATTTTTTCAATGAAGATATGTTTTAATGTAGATGGAGAATATGGACGACCTACTTAGAACTACTTAGAACAGAAAGATAAATTCGAAAGCTCAGAATCAGTTGTGCTAGTACCCATATTAATATATCTTCTATATATGCAACACTTTCTTTTCATTCTTTATATCATCATTTAACTTTCGTAGAATATGTCGCTGGTGATTGACTCATGATCGAGTAAAACATTAGTAATATCTTACAAATAAGAAATAAAAGAATGATACTCTTCTGATAATACTCTTTTCTTCAATGCCTTTGAAAATACATCATCTCCTCACCAAAGAAAACGCTGAATGAATACCGACTAAACACACATAAATACAAATGAAAGAAAAAAACAAATACAAATATAATCTTTTTTCTCTTCTTTTTTTCTTTTTGAAAATAATCTTCACAAGCGATTTGTTTTATCTCATCAATATTTGTGTAATGTAAAGTGGCTTTATATGATGACTTGATCTGCCTGTTTTCTTCCTACTCTTGGCAAAATTTCGATAAGGAAAGGTCAAGAAAGAAAAGGAATATACCAACACTGAATCATTATTTTTTGTTTTATTCATATGTACTTGTGTTTTCGAAATACAGTTTCGTAATACGACAAAAAAAACAGTTAGTTAAAATGATTTTACAAAAGTTAAATTTAGGTTGATTAATAAATAGTGAATTAGGAATATTTCATACGTTTTCAACAGCCCATAAAAAAAGAAGGACCAACAACAAAATCGAAGATAATATCATTTAAACAAATAAAAACAATATCAGATTTCATTGAAAATATTTAATTATTATCTCAAAAAATCTTTCATTCAATTCAGTAGTTGTCTTCACATCAATGACAATCTTTGAAATATTACAGAAATCTGTTGATTTTACATCTCAGATTATTGTGAAGAGGAACAGTTTCGACAATTAATCGAAAATATCATTCAAAATGAAAGCTTGATGTCACGTATAAGTGCTAAATAAGAATTCGAGCGAATGTGTTAAAAATACAAATAGAATTATCTAAAACACAAAATCTTCTTTTCAAATAATTTTTATTTCAATTCAATTCAAATTACAATATATTTTCTTTTCTTTTTTACTGTATAATTCGAAGATAATCAACAAAAAATGAAGCATTTAAAATTTATTTATTCGAATTTTTGACGGATTGCCAATAATAAAACTTCACTTTTTCTTTTGTTTCTCGGTTATTTATTTAACAAAAACTTGTTTTCTATTTTCAAAACTAAAATTTCGTTCACAAAATTATTTCAAATTTTTGAATTCGATGATTATTGTAATCAGCTACATAAAGATTTCCTTCATCATCAAAAGATAAACCTATGGGAACATTCAATTGATTCGATTGACTTCCGTGACCATTTCCACCAACAACAATTTCACCTTCTTCTTTTCCTTCACACCAACGCATTATTCGATGATTCCCTCCATCTGCCACATAGATTCGACTCAAATCATCAATAATTATTTCTTGAGATATAGACAATTGATTAAGATTTCTTCCTTGACCATTTCCTCCAGCCACAACTGTTCCTTCTTTTGCACCTTTTCTCCATTTCATCACACGATGATTGTCTTTATCTGATATATAAACAGATTGATCTTCATCAACAAAGATAAAAGTAGGAGAATTTAGTTGGTTGAGTTGATATCCTTCTCCATTTCCACCTGCCACTACAATTCCTTCGCTGTTGTATTCTCCCATTTTGCATCGTCTCACTTCATTGTTCTTATAATCAGAAACATAAAGAAATCCATATTTATCCATTGCCAAGGCCACACAATCAATATTGTCGATAAGAATTTGTTGATTTTGATTCATCCATTGGATCACTCGTCTGTTCCCATGATCAGCAATGATGATCGAATGACTTTGTTGATCAAAAATCACATTCGTTGGAGAATTCAATTGATTCATTAGATTTCCTTGTTTATTTCCACCTGCAATGATTTGTCCTTCTTTTGCATTATATTTCCATTCAACAATACGATGATTATCGTAATCCGCAATGAAAATATTTTTCTTTTTATCAATAAAGATTCCAAAAGGGTGGTTGAGTTGATTCAATTGCTGTCCTTCTCCATTTTCACCAGCCACAGTGCTGGCATTTTGTTTCCATTTATCCCATTTTGATTCTAGAAAAAGATAAAAGCAAACGATCTTTATGAAAAGAAGAAGTAGAAGAAAAATTGTTTTTTATCGAAGTAAAAAGAAAAGATTAGTTTTGAATGAAATTTTGATTTCATTTTTTTGTCAAAATTGAACTTTGAACGAAACTTTGATAACAATGTTTGATGAAAAGAACGTTAATAAAAAAATCTTTTTTGTTGCGTTCTCGAATAGAATGTCGTAAAATGCATGAAGAAATATTTTGTATTGGAAAGAAAAAAGTATTTGAAATTTATATTTTTTCGAAACGAAATCGACTAATATTCAATTTGAAAAGGAAGCAAAAATTGAAAATGATAAAAGATTCAGTTGATTTATTTGTTCTTCAATAAATATTTTAGAAAACTTGTTAATAGAAAAACTAGATTGAATTGAAAAGTTTGCGTAAAATAAAATAAATTAAAAACGGCTTAAAATATTTCAATTGGAAACAAATTTTATCTTTTAGTTTTTCTTATTAAATCAATATTAAAATACTACAAAAGGAGTAAAATCAGATGATTCATTCAATAAAATAATTAAAAAAAAGAATTTGTTATTCAAATAATGTATTTTTTTAAAGATTTAGATTTTCAACAAATGGAATTCTCTTTTTTCTTCATTTCAAACAAATATTTTTCGTTTTCCTTTCTAAATTTAATAAAAATACTTTCATTTCAATTCTTTCGAATAATTCTGATTCAACCACCTGAGATCTAAGCAGACTCCTACAAGTTTCATTTTGATGTTATATGTACTAAAGTTAGAATCAAATCACACCTTTTTAGCTATGCGTTAGTGACGAGTAGTACAATACCCTACTAACGCTAGTTGTATATATGTGAAACTATTTCGAAATACATCTGAGTACTTGTTAACCACTTGGACTTCGCCAGGATCCTAGCGAAATTCAATTTAATTCCCTGTATTTGTAACTTCAGTTCAAAACTTTTCTTGTGGGATATGTATTAAAGACTCTTAGTAGAGTATGCTGTCAATAGCAGTCAATCAGGCCCAGTTATTGCTAACGTGAAAAAGCACCGCAAAGGATACGCGTAGATGCTGAGTATGCAATATACGATCACAAACCTTCGAAAGACAGACCATAATATTAAGGTAACAAGAGACTGAATAAGTATCATAAAAGTTATAGTCGTAATTCTGTTTATTCTTCTTGTAACTAAATCTGATCTAAAACCACTATAGTTCCATAACAAAACCATAACAGTTTTATATTTTATTTGTCTTTTATCAACCTAGGATTCACACTAAGAGTATAGATAGAATCGGTCCGAAAACTTCAGACCGGACCGCTACCGATTCGATCTATGCGTACAACCTTAACTATGCTTATTAGTCACAAACAGATGCGTAGTTAACAAAAACGTAAGTACTACTTTACATATTAAAATTCATAAACATAAAAACAAAAATATCCTTGCTTTACGAAGATCTTCTTTAATATACAATGAAAATAACAGCGATTCAATACAACAATAAAGCTATAACTAATAGTGAATAGTTCTGATGTACTTAATCCTAAATTCTGAAATTGCAGCAGAAAACTATTAGTATAAAATGAAGGCTTTTATTCCAACCGAAACGTTTCCGAGTAAACAATTACTTTTGAATACGAGAATGATAAATTTGAGGGATAGCATGTAGTTTATATCATTATTATAGGACAGACTGACGTTTCCTGGGTGCAACTGTTCGAGAAACAACTTTCATTGCCTTATATTTTCTGAGTTGAAAATAACTCTACAGTTGTCATTATTGTATTGAATCTCTATCTGAACAAATATTCATTTGTCTGTTCTTCTACAATCTTAACTGATTTCTTAAGACTAGAATCGGGTCTTCAACATTTTTGAAATAGAATACTGATTTGACATTCCGTTCTGAACTTCCTGCTTTTAGAATATCACATTAAACTTTCACTCTAACCAAAACCACGCTTTTTTTAGTATTATACAGTTGTATGATGGGCAATAATATTCTGAAGAAATGTTTAGTTTTTGCCTAACTTGACCTTCTCAACAAAAAAATAGTTTATTCAGAACTTAGAGTGAATCAATCTTGACATTACTCTTCATAGATTGAACTTTATTATTTCTGTACATTAAGTACTAACAAAGACTATGTATCAGCAATACAAAAGGATCTAAAAATCTGATCTACTTAGGCATTTCTTCGTTGTTGTATCACATTTGTTACATCCACAGTCTGAGCTTGTCCTACAACCTTGCTCGGGTAAACATTTCTTCAAGCAAGTTGTACCACCACAATCGACATCACTTTCATCCTGATTCTTCACACCATCTGTACAAGTCGGAGCTATACTAATGATCATATATAAGCAACATATAGGGTTCTGAAAATCTATCATACTTAGACATTTTTTCGTTGTTTTGTCACAGTTGTTACTTGCACAGTCTGAGCTTGACGTACAACCTTGCTGAGGTAAACATTGTTTTGGGCAAACTGCACCACCACAATCGACATCGGTTTCATCGTGATTCTTAACACCATCCTTACAAGTTGATGCTATAACAAAGCAAAAGATAATCAACTTTGCGACATTATGACAATATGAAACGGTTTGGAGCTATGTGTGTATGTGTGGTTGTGGGCGTGAGTGCGAGTATAATGTAACACCCACACCTACCCTCAGCTATAAAATAGATGAATTATTTAGCTTGATACTCACCGGCTCGCATTGTTGTTGTTATAGTTGTTGTTTTCACTGTAGTTTGTGTTGCTGTTGTGTTTGTTTCAGTTATTTTTGTTGTTGGTAGTGGTGTGGTTGTTGTTGTACTTGTTGTTGTAATTGATGGTGGTGTGCTTTGTGTTGTGGTTGTTGTTGTAGCTGTTGTTGGTAGTCGTGCGGTTGTTGTTGTAGTTGTTATTGGTAGCGGTGTGGTTGTTCTTGTACTCGCTGTTGATAGTGGCAGCGGTGATGTCGATGCCGTTGTCGTTATAATTGTTGTTGTGGTTGCTTTTGGTAGTGATGATGATGTGGTTGACATTATGATTGATTCTGATTTCATAAAATAATATTAACGTATGAGAAAAGCATGTGGGGATTTGTTATTCAGAGATTGTTTCTTCTCGATCTACTATCCTGAGTTAATGATCCAGTGCTTGAAGCACTGATCTCTGCGACCAGTAATGAGCTTTTCGATTATACATACATTCAATAAGAATTATTAGAGATCGGTAGGCAATATATAGTGTGTATATGCAGTATTCTGATTTACAAAGAACCATGTCAACAACAATCTCTTTCAAACATCTATCATCACCGAAATGTTGAGTGAACGTCACCACTTTGTTCAAAAACAATCATAAAACTTCACCGCCAACATAGCGCAAGTAAGTTTTGATCAAAGACAAAAACACGCAAACTCTTCGAGGGTGTGGGTATAGGTATGTGATAGGTATAATACTCATATCCACACCCACATTTATAGATAGGTTTCTTACCCTTTCCGACTGATGAACAAATGCATGTGTTTTCGTCGCCACAAACACCTCCACCACGGTGACCGCGCTTCCGACACCACGCATCACACGCACAATGCCTACCTAGAATTGAAACAAAAGTGAAGGATTATTTCATTGATACTTCAGAACAGCTCGCTTCGTTTACCAATCTGCTCTTTGGTTATCTCTGTCGTTGAGCAAAAACACGTATCTCCGTTCCCACACCCTCCGAATAGTGGACCTCGTTTGCGACACCATTGAGCACAGCCACAAGTTGTACCTTCGGTAAAATCTAGACAAAAATAGAAACACTTTACAGTTGAAGACTACGATCCAGAAATCTTAAGGGTGAGGGTATGGGTATGATTGTGGGTGTAGGTGTGGTTCAGGTATAGATATAATACCCACACTTACACCCTACTGATTTGATATTCCGTTCTGAAATTCTTGTTTTCAGAATATCACATTAAACTTTCACTCTACCCAAAACTACAGCTTTTCTTAGTATTATACAATTGTATGATGGGTAATAATACTCTGAAGAAATATTTAGTTTTTGACGAACTAGATCTTCTCAACTAAAAATAGTTTACTCAGAACTTATAGTGAATCAGTCTTGACACTACTCTCCATAGATCGAACTTTATTACTTCTGTACATTAAGCACTAACACAGACGATATATCAGCAACATAAAGAGATCTAAAAATCTATCCTACCTCGGCATTTCTTCGTTGATGAATCGCATTTGCTATTTATACAGTCTGAGCTTGACCTACAACCTTGCTGAGGTAAACATTTTGACTCGCAAATTGCACCACCGCAATCGACATCACTTTCATCTCGGTTCTTAATACCATCCGTACAAGTCGGTGCTATGACAAAGACGAAACAAATAATATAAAGAGATCTAACACTCTCTTACCTAGACATTTTTTCGTTGTCGTATTACAGTTGTAACTTGTGCAGTCTAGGCTTGACTTACAACCTCGCTGAGGTAAACATCTTGACCAGCAAGTTACACCGCCACAATCGACATCGGTTTCATCGTGATTCTTAACACCATCCGTGCAAGTCGGCGCTATAACAAAGACCATATATCAGTAATGTAAAGGGATCTGGAAATTTCTCCTACTTAGACATTTCTTCGTTGTTGTATTACAGTTGTTACTTCTACAGTCTGAGCTTAATCTACAACTTTGCTCAGGCAAACATTTTGACTTGCAAGTCGTGCCACCGCAATCGACATCACTTTCATCTTGGTTCTTAACACCATCCTTACAAGTCGGTGCTATAATTAAGAAAAAGATAATAAATGTTTTAGCATTATGACAATATGAAACGTTTCGGTGCTATGGGTATCGGTGTGCGTGTGACTGTTAGTAATTTAACATCCACCTACAACCACACCCTCTCTCTATTTATGTACATTGAGTACTAACAAATACCATATATCAGCAATATAAAGGAATCTAAAAATCTTTCTTACTTATACATTTCTTCGTTGTTGTATTACAGTTGTTACTTCTACAGTCTGAGCTTAACCTACAACCTTCCTGAGGTAAACATTTTAGCGGACAAGTTGCACCACCACAATCGACGTCGGTTTCATCTTGATTCTTAATACCATCCTTACAAGTCGGTGCTATAACAAAGACCATATATCAGTAATATAAAGGCATCTAAAAATCGCTCTTACTTAGACATTTCTTCGTTGTTGTATTACAGTTGTTACTTATACAGTCTGAGCTTGACTCACAACCTTGTTGAGGTAAACATTTTGACGCGCAAGTGGTACCACCACAGTCGACGTCGGTTTCATCTTGGTTCTTCATACCATCCTTACAAGTCGGTGCTATAACAAAGAAAAAGATATTCAATTTTTTAGCATTATGACAGTCTGAAACGTTTTGCACCCACTTATATTCACATCCACACCCACACTGCTAAAAACTTTTCGTTCATAAGACTTTCGCTAATCTGCCCCATACCTTTTTCTATGATCATATATCTTAACGTAAATATTCCAGTTCCAATCATCAAAATAAGAATAAAACTACATATCAATAATTTTAACTGCCAATTACTTCGAATATAATTTTTTGATTTTCGTTTTTGTACTGTGTCTAAAATGACAGATTAATATTATGTATCGAAATCTGAAAGAATGAACATGTTTGTTTTACTATTGTAGGTTAATTTATCTATTTCACTTGTCTCAATCTCATTATCATTCAATTTTATTTTCTCTTTGATTTTCGCTAAAATGTGTCTCAATCGAAGATGTTCTTCATAATCTTTTTCATGAGAAGCAATTTTAGCCAAATCTTTATAAACAGTAAGAAGTAAAGGATCATTTTGTGAAAGTTCATCTAAACAACGATAATAATATTTCTTCGCTAAATCGAGATGTCCCATTCTTCGTACAACTTTTCCTAAAATACAAAGATTTGTTTCACCATTTCCAATTTCATTTTTCATATCCATAAGAACTTGTTTTAAATTATGTTCATCATTACTACATAAACACATTTGAATAATCCAAAATTGATTTTCATCATCACGAATAATTGAATTTAAACGAAATATCGATCCAAGCATAAAAAGAACTTCTAATTCCTCATTGAAATCACTAAATTGACTAATATCAGCAAATGGTTTTGTTGTAACAACTTTTGGGTCAGCATCAATTTCAAATAAAACTTTTTCAAAATCGATCCATCGATGATTTGTATCACCGAGATAAAAATCTGCAATATCTTTTTGAAAACTTGTCGAAAGAAATGAATTCACTGAAACATATTGTCCAACACTATTTTTAAGATAATTTAATTCATCAATTGACATTAATTGACTTCGATAAACACGAGTGGCATATTGACATTGATGATTTTGTAATTGATTTTGTATATCACTAATAAATGAACGATATAAATAAATCATATGAATATTTTCTTTTCTTAAAGCCGCATTTAATGTTTTATAGAAGAAAGATTCACGTGTATACCACCATAAAACATTATCCGATGAATAACTGCTCTGAAATTCATGAAGATGGTTTAATTCATTTTGATTTTCTTCATATTCTTTTTCACAATATGAAATTAACTCATTTCGATCATTTTCATTTGATTTTAATCGAAGAAGACAATCAAGTAATAATTGAGAAAATGCAAATTGACCATTGATTCCTGTTGTTGATTTTCCTGCATCATTTACTGTTGTAAACATATTCATCCATATAGGTTCTTCTATTTTCCGAGGATTTTTATAATCTTCATGGATTTGTGAAACCAGTTCATCCATTTTAACATGAATACCTTTTAACTAGAAAAATAATTATTGAAATTAAACTTGATTAATACTTTTTTGTTTACCTTAGGAAAATCATTTGTCCATTGTTTATCTTCTGAATTTATATAAATTGATGAAATTTGTCTTAATTGATGAATTGAAGGAATAATTTGTTGACCGAATTCACCATTAGTAACAAGAACTAATCGATCATTTTCTGATGTTTTTTCAATATAATTTTTACATTCTGCAACATCATCAAATGTTTCAATATGATTAATTGTATTACGTAATTCTTTTTGGATGTCAACATTTTCATTATTATTAAGCCAAATAAGACTAAAGCTTTCAAGATGATTGTCATTTCTTTTTCTAATAGATTCATTACGAGTTTCAAGAAGTGGAATTATTTCCATTATTTTGGAAATGACATTGTGAATTGATCAAAGAAAAGAATAATCTAAAATCATCTAGAAATAAGAAAAATACTTACCATTAAGATTAAAATTTCTTCAGAATATCGAATCTTAGTTTTTTTTATTTCTCCCAAGGGATATTATACAGAAAATTGTCCATGAGAAGGAACGGATAAGAAAGTAAATACATAACGAACCAAAATAAAAAAGACAAGAATTGTTGATAGATTCATGGTCGAAACTTTGTGATAACATAAGAAAATATTTATCTGAATAATCAAAGGGAAGAAAATATTTGATAATAAAGGGTGTGGGTGTGGGTGTGGGTGTGGGTGTCGATGTCACTCATTTACCATATCCAAACCCATCCTTCTATATTTTAAAAGTTCTCTCCTGACTCTTATGAAATAATTTCCATACCTTTGATTGTGTATTAGTATATCGCCTTTGTTTTGAAAAAAAAACATGAAATACTATATGGTAACCATCTTCATATATACAGTCCTTCTTTTTCTTTTTCTTTTAACTGCAAAATTGATATCTCTGGATTTTTTTCTCATTTTATGATCGGTACCTATTACATGTCATTCATAACAAAAAAGAAGAAGACCTTTTAAAAATAGCTGTAATTGATTTTAAAAAGGTAAGTTAAAAGGTTATCTTTTAACATATACTATGATAATGATATAAAATGAGAAAAAAACAAAACACAATTTACATTAGAAAATCACAAAAACTCAATAAGAATTCATCAGAATCTATTTTTATTCAAGATAAATTGAAAATACATATAACACTTGTTGCATGATGCATAGTCGATTTCAACATATTACTTTTTGTAAGTGTTCCTATTTGTTGTTGTTCTTGTTCATCATGTTTTACTTGATCATCATGATCAACCATCATTTGAATAAAATCATTTCGTCGTTCAAGATGTTGTCGACACAGATTTAAGATTTGATTCAATAATTCTGTTAAATAGTCCACAATATTTTTTGGTAATATTGAATAACCTTTGGTGTACAAATAACGAGCGAATCGTGGAGATATACCTAATCAAAAAAAAGAAAATCATTGAATGATAAGATGTTTGACTAAAGTCGCATTTTCATTTTGTAAAGAATTTATTTCAATACCAAATGAACAAGAATCAATTGTATCAAGTGCAAAATGTTGACTAATTCTATTCAAATTATTAAGTGTCTTTTTTCAATACGAATAACAGAATATTTTCTATATTCTTTAATATTAAATATATCACTAGTTTAATCCATAAGACTATATATCTAATAATAAAATTAGATATTTACAGCTTTGAGTTTAGCTGTAGAAAATGTTGGTGATACAATTGCTCGTGCATTTTTGTCCAAAGATCATCTTTGAGTGATAAGAGACCATGTTCAAGTGGATCAACTTAACCTATCAGAATCGGATAATAGTATTATTGAACTTGTTCCTTCATATATTCTAAAGAAAGATTTTTTTTAATAATTAAATAAATAATCTTTACATTCTCAACAATTTTAGCGTATTTTTTAACAAGATCCACATCGTTCTTATAATATTAAAACTTTCACCTTAAAAAAAGGATTGGAGTTGGACCAGGTGTGCATTCAATTTATTATAGATGTAATTAAATAAAATATATGTATAACATACAATTCAAAGAAGATTACAGAGCAAATGAATGTATGAATTTATGCACTTCATATATATATCAACACACACTATTAAAATCTAATTATATGGGATAGTTACAATAATAAAAAAAATATTTTCGAATATGATTTATTGTGAACGACGAACAACACGTAGAAAAATACCATTTTTGCTATTTAAAATTGCTAGATTTCCCAACTGAATTGGAATCTAGAAATTAAAATCGATTTATATTTCTTATAATTTCATGATTTACTTCTGTTTTTTCACATCTTTCAAATTCCACAAGACGAAGTGCTCGAATAATTCCAAGTTTAGCTTCTACTAATGCAAATCGCATACCAATACAATTACTAAAAATATTATATAATTAGCATGAATATACAAGCAAAATTTGTGCTTGCCGAGGTCCTTCACCAAACGAAAGAAAAGCCATTGGATGTCGTTTAGCTTTTTCAGCTGGCAAAAATCTATCCAACAGTATTCGTATATCAAAACAAAAAAATATACAATTCTTTAAATGTTACCTTTCAGGTATGAATTTTTCTGGTTCAGGCCATACCTCAGAATCATGATGAATAGGATATACCGGTACGTTAATAATCGAACCTTTTGGTATAAGATAATTACCAAGTTGATAATCTTTCGATGCAACACGATCAAATCTATTGTATAAATATAAATCAAGAAAACAATTTGATAAATAAACAAACAAACCTGATGAATGGTGGATACATTCGAAGTGTTTCATTAATTACCATATCCAAATACTGAAGTTGATTTAATTTTTCATAAGTAACTTCATCCTTCAGTAAAAAACAACTATTCAATATTCTTGATTTATTAATTTAACTTACATCTCCTATTTCTTGTCGAATTTCTTGATAAATTTTTTCTTGAATAATTGGTTCTGTTGCCATGACATAGAAAAAGAATGACATTAATACACTTGTTGTTTCATATCCAGCGATGAGAAAAACTAGAGCTTGACTAAGAATTTCCTTATCCGACAATGCTAAAAATCAAATTATTAATTAAAATATAAGAACTAATTTCATCTGTACTTTTCTTAAGTGATTTCGATTGTTGTCCTTCTTGATCTTTTTGTTCACTTGTTTGTATTTCATCTTCATGATCAATCATCATTTGAATAAAATCATTTCGTCTTTCTAAACGTTGTCGTCGTCGAGCTAGTACTTGATTTACAATATTAGTTGTATATTCTATAGCGTCCATTGGTAAAATTGAATAACCCTTTTTTCCTAAATAACCAGCTAATCGTGGTGATAAAACTAATTTTCAAATAATAATTCAAGAAAAAAACAAAATAAGAATATATACGTTTTAGTAAAATATTCTTACGAATAACAAGAACAAATATATTTGCCAAACTAATAGTAAAGAATTTTCTCAAATGATTGATTAAAGTTATATTTTCATTTTTTAATGAATTTGTTTCAACACCAAATAAACAACTTGCAATATTATCAAGAGTATATTGACCATTTATACTATTATTATAACAAAACTTTTCTCGTAAAATAATCCTAATAAAAAAATAAATGATTAACATACGTCTTAATATCAAATATTTCTTGTTTATCAGCATATTCGAGAAGACGTTCATTGTACATATCGCTAACATCATTCATAAGACTATGCATCTAAATAATTAATCAGAATAGAAAATAATATTAAATGAAGAAATTTACGGCTTTGAGTTTAGCAGTAGAGAATGTTGGTGAAACAATTGAACGAGCATTTTTCCATTGTTCATCTTTTAACGCGGTAAGTCCATGTTCAAGTGGACCTGCTGCACCTTCAATAGTCTATATGAAAATACATGTTTAATGTAAAAGAAACGAAGAGTAAGATTGTGATGTCCTACTCGTCGATTGATAAACACATGAGAATCTTTGATAAGAACATTTCGAAGAATATCTGGATCACTGAGAAGAATAACCGGAGTTGTTCCTTCGTAAACACTAGAATAGAATTCGAATTTATTTTAATCGATTGTATGTATACAATTGTTTACTTACCCAATAATTTTGCCATATTTTTTAACAAGTGCCGTATCATTTTTATACATTCCCTATATATAAAATGAACTTTAAACTTTGAGTATGATATGAAAACTAAATACCCTTCGCATAACGTTAAACATTTCACCCAGAAGTGGAATAGGAGCTGGACCAGGCATTCCAGTTCGACGAAATATATTATTTGTTCGTAGATTATAACTAGAATTTGATTCATTCAATATCAATTTTAAATAAAAAACATACTTACACATAATAAACAAAAATAAGTATTAGTAAAACTAATAATGTTAATGTAATTGAATCACCAATTAAAAATAAGCTCATTTTTATATTTATTATCTAGAATAAATCATAGACTAGATCATTCTCTCATTCATATATATATTCAAGAAGTTGTTTTTTTTTCATCATTTCTTCGCCACGTAACTCGATCGGATGACATTCTCCAGTATAATTTGTTTTTCATGACTCATATCAAATCGCTTGTTATTTTTTTAAACCAATATTGACATAAATAATCTCTGGCAAATGTTGAAAGAATGAGGAAAAAAATAAACCAGATACTGTTTTATTACTTTAACTTTGGTTTGTCCAATAGCAGATAAGATACTCAATAAAGAACACCTACCCGAATAATCCTTCATTATTTATTTTCTCTCGATATTGATCCTTTTGACAAGAAAACAGAATTTAAACTAAAGCAAAAACAACATGTACTAGCTTTACAATATTCTTATGCATATAAAATTTGTATGATTCATAAACAAGATTGATATATAAAGGAAATAGGTTATTTCAAGTTTTATTTTTGACAAGTAACATAAAATCTACAATGAATTTTTGTTATATTTTTTTTGGTTGATAGAAAGTAGAAAAAATAAGACAGTGATAATCTTGTGATTCAATGATATTAGTACAATAACAATCATCGTCATCAGCAATACTTTCGTTTTTTTCTGTATTATTAACCGGCTTTGAATTTGTTTAGTTTTCATCATCTAATATTACACAACTATTGCTATCATTTGAAGTACAACTGTCTAAAATATAAAAATTTATTTTTGTAAAAATGAACATATTAAGACAGAATATTTACCATCACAAGTTTGTATATGATTTTTTGTATTATTTTCTGATGTTTCTTGATGTTCATTTGTATGTATTGGTACTTGATCTTCAACAATAATATATTCATCTTTATCTATAATTGTATCTGTATGTTTAAGCATTAGTTTTATTTTCATATGTTGTAATAATGCTTCATTTGTTCGTCTTCTTCTTCATCATCATCAGCTGATATTAATATTCTTCCATTAGCACCAGCAATAATAACATCAGGTTTATTCATTTTTAAATGTTTACGTATTAAACGTTCACATAATGACATATTTATTCTGACACGTACTGGATGTTCAATATCACTACATTGTATACATGATGGATTTGGTTCTTCTAATAAGATTGATTGTATAATTGCACCTGGATTACGATTAATTGTTATAAATACATTTGTTAATTATTTAAGAGAGATTAATACCAAATATATATGCACGTAAATTAGATGATGCTGTTACAAATCGAAGATTATCATCATCATTTTTATCCCAAATAAGAAACGGTGATTCTTTACTTAATGAAGTAGAAATAAAATATATCTAGAAAAAAAATTTCTATTACAATTCAATTTTTATTCGAAGCTATTTCAAAATCAAACAATAGAAATTTTATCAGAAAGTTTCTTTTTCTTCAAATTCTATTCGAACTTTTTTTCATTGATTTTCAACAATGAAACTTCACTTGTTCTTTTATTTTTATTTACCGATTTTTTATTTAACAAAAAAATTACTCTTCTTTTTACAAAATCAAAATTTTATTCACAAAACTATTTCAAATTTTTCAATTCGGTGATTCAAATAATCAGCAACATAAAGATTGCCTTCATCATCAAAAGATAAACCCATGGGAACATTCAATTGATTTGATAAATTTCCTTGACCATTTCCACCAACAACAACTTCACCTTCTTCTTTTCCTTCATACCATCGTACTATTCGATGATTCCCAAAATCTGCCACATAAATCTGATCCAAATCATCAACAATTACTCCTAGAGGATGAGACAATTGATTAAGATTTCTTCCTTCACCATTTCCTCCAGCCACAATTGTTCCTTCTTTTGCACCTTTTTTCCATTTCATTACACGATGATTGAACTGATCAGATATATAAATAGATTGATTATCATCAACAAAGATATAAGCAGGACGACAGAGTTGATTAAGTTGATATCCATATCCATTTCCACCTGCTACTAAAATTCCTTTGTTGTTGTGTTCACCCATTTTCCATCGTCTCACTTCATTCCTGCAATCTGAAACATAAAGAAATCCATGTTTATCCATTGCCAACCGACCACAGTCTATATTGTCAATGAGAATATCTTGCTTTTGATTCAACCATCGAATCACTCGTCTGTTTTGCCAATCGGCAATGATGATCGAATGAGTTTGTTGATCAATAATCACATCTGTTGGATAACTTAATTGATCCATTCGATTTCCTTGCCCATTTCCACCTGCAATAATTTGTCCTTCCTTTGCATTATATTTCCATTCAACAATACGATGGTTGGAATAATCAGCGATGAAAATATTTTTGCTTTCATCAACAAAGATTCCTGCAGGAAGACAGAGCTGATTTAATTTCGGTCCATATCCATTTCCACCAGCCACAGTGATGGCATTTTGTTTCCATATGTTAAATTTTAATGCTAGAATAGAATGAAAATAAAAGATTTTGATGGAAAGAGAAACAAGAAGAAATGAAATTGAAAAGGAGAAAAAGATTTTATTATTTATTTTAATTTACAATTCTAATACGAATATTTAGAAAAATATTATTTTTCAAATATATTTCGAATAAAATAAAATATTTTTATTTCACTCAATGAAAGTTATAAGTATAGAACATCTGTTTATTTGACTATAGTGATCAATAGGTTGAAAATATCAAAGAATAAAGAACAACTATAGTAAAAGTCCATTAATGAAAAAACTTTATCTGAAATCGTAATAAACTAATGAAAATAAAATATATTCAGAGTTAACATAACAGTTAATGTCAAATTCATGAAGCTTTTATTGATAAAGTTTGAAAACTCAAAAAGTAGATTTTGATTCTATTTCGATTTGTTTTTTTTATTCTTTGTATATTGAATATACATGTTGATGTGATATAAAAAATTGCATGATAAAATATAATATTTATCTTCCAATATAAACACAAAAATGAAACATCACATTTCCTAATAATCACAAAATTTGTTATACAGTATATGATTTATTTCTTTTCTAGTATATGAGTATCACATAGACTCTACACCCTCAACTTTATTAATTATTTGATTTTTGTTAGAATAATTAACAAAGTTTAGAAATAATCCAATTTTGTTGTTATTGATCAAATATCTCTTTGAACTTGGAAGAAAAAATTTTTTAGTTAACTTTTATTTCATATCTTATTATTCTCTTCTTTTGGAAATTATTTATTATAAGCTTACTTTTTTCCAATGAAATAATTGGCATATCATACATAAATGGTTGAGAATCTTGTTGAATAGATATAATTGATGGATTATCTAATTCTTCTCTCATTTTTACTAATTCATTTCTTAAATAATTCAAATTAATCTCATTAAATTCATTTTCATTGTGAATTTGCTTTAGTTGTTCATTTAAATCATTAAATTTCTGTTCAGTATCATTCAAAAATGTTCGTGATGATTTAATAACAATTTCTCTACATTTTTTTGCTTTTTGTTTAATTTTGTCAATTGAATCTATTTCCCATTCATTAATTTGATTTATCAAAGCAAGATCATGTGAATTTGGTTTTTGTTCATTGAATATTTGTTTAAATTGGTTATATTCATTAATAATATGACGTAGTTCTTCATTTAGTAGTTGACGATGTCTTGTTAAATCGATTAAGCAGAAGTTTTTCAAACATCCTTCACAAGGATATGTTATTTTATCTTTATTACATGTAAAACAATGTGTTTTATTGTTTGTCATTGCCATGTCTTTGAACATAAGTTTCTAGAATAAATGAATATTTTTGTTTATCTACTTTCCTAGATATAAATCTAATAACTCAATGATAATAAAAACCTTGTTCAGTAGTAAAAAAAATCTAAAAAGAAGTTTGTCATACAACAAAATCTCATTGATAAAACTGATGTGCTTTTATTTTCAAAGTCGAAGATTAAATATAGATTTGCACTCATATAACTTTACCCTCGAAATGGATGATGTATTAATCTCTCCTTCACTCAACTGTATCGTCATGTTCATTTTAATCATTATGTAATATTCTTTTTTGCTCTTTTTTTGTATTATTTCAAAAGACTAACTTACCAAAATGAAACTATTTAAAACAACTTAATTTCTAAACTTGTGATGTTTTTTAATTATTCCGATATGAATGAGAATTCAGTCTATACCACGTGTAAGCGAAGAAATAAATTATTCGTTCTCCACATTAACCACATATATGATCACATGGTATTTTCTTCTATATACAGTCACATAGCATTTTTTCGTTTCGTTATTATAATTCGTTCTTCTGCTTTTTTGACTTATATCGAAATGTGTTATTTCTAAGTTATGAACAAACGAATATCACACAAGTATTTTTCCAGGATATATTGTATTTCAGAGATGGAAATAGTCGAAGAAATAATCATTACTTACCGTATAAATAATTGCATTTTCTTTTTAAATCAACGAACTATTACTACCCTTTCAAGAATTATCTTTTTCTTCAATTTTTGACTATACTGTAACATCACTTTGAATTCCTCTTTTATCGATCAAATTCTTCTAACTATATATTTGATTTGAAAAAGAAAAATTATATCGAAATAAATAAGTAAAATATGATCAAATTTAATTGTAAATACGAAAGGATTATATATATCTCTTTAATATGAAAAGCTCTAGAAAAATGGTAGTACTAAATATCTATGATGATTGAAATTAATGATCTATTTTATAATCAAAACAAAACATTTTACATAATAAAATATACTTGAAAAAATATTTATATGTGGAAATTCAATGTTTGTAATGATTAAATATCATAATAGTCATCCATATTTAATATAAATCAATTTAATTGTTTAAACTAAAAAAGATAAATAATTCAAAAATATTTATTTATTAAAATTTAGTAAAACAATAATAATAGGAAGATTAACAATAATATTATTATTCATATATGATTTAAGATAAAGTTCGAACGATATCATTACTGATATGATGAAAGATTCTATGAGAATAAGTGATGTGGTATGTTCCGATTCAATAATTTGATATATAAAACCAATAAGAATCTTCAATAGATAAATGGAAGAATTGATCATTGATCGATTTTGTATGTTAGTAATTGAATTCAATTTCGTAGTTGCCTGTAATTCTCTTGTTTTGCTTTTATTGTTCATCATATTCTATGAATCTCTTTTCGAACATAAAACTCTCAATTTACATAGATATTTTTTATTGTATTTTATCGCACCCACATGTATTCTTGACAAACTTATCTGAAAATATTCAAAAAATACATTTTACAATTTATTTTATCACGAAATTCAGTTATTTGATTAAGTGCTTATCAACTTTAAGTAATTTTAATCTGATAATAAATATTTTTTTATTTTTAATAAAAATATTTTAAATTATTTATTCGGTCATTTCTTCAATTATTCTAATGCTACTTTTTGTCAAAAAATTTGCTTTGAAATGTGAATGTAAGTTAAGAACTTGTGAAATATTTCTTTTGATTTCTTTGACAAATAGCACAAATCTCTTTTGAAGTTTTATTAAATGAAATCAGATGAAAATATATTAGTTCCATCAAAAATCTGTCAAATTTAAACTTTAGATCATCTCAGAACTTCTATTGCTTTTTATTTTATTTGAATTTCTTTGGTTTTTTAATTTAAATGGGAATCTTTTCGAGATTTGTTTTGTTCATCAAAATTCATTTCAATGCGAGTTTTATTATCAACTTTTCATAAAATAGTTCTTTTTTCTTCAATGTAAAATATTTTCTTTACTTTACTTTTCTTTTTTCTGTATATTTTTGAAAATACACCATAAATAACGAAGAATTTAAAATTTATTCATTCGAATCTTCTAATCGAAATCATCGAATTATATTCAGTTTTGAAGAAAAAAAATTAAAAAGAGTTTTCTTCATTGTTTACTTTTCAACAATTTCTTTTTCAAATTTTATTCAATCTTTTCATTGATTTTCAATAATAAAACTTCATTTTTTCTTTTTACGAAATCAAAATTTCATTTACAGAATTATTTCAAATTTTTCAATTCGATGATTTGAGGAACCAACAACATAAAGATTTCCTTCATTATCAAAAGATAAACCACGGGCACCATTTAGTTGATTCGATTGACTTCCTTGACCATTTACACCAACAACAATTTCACCTTCTTCTCTTCTTTCACACCAACGCATTATTCGATTGTTTCTCGAATCTGCTACATAGATTTGACCCAAATCGTCAACAATTACTCCTCGAGGATAAGACAATTGATTGAGATTTCTTCCTTGATCATTTCCTCCAGCCACAACTTTTCCTTTTTTTGCATCTTTTCTCCATTTCGTTACACGATTATTGTTGCTTTCTGATACATAAGCAGATTGATCTTCATCGATAAAGATAAAAGTAGGAGGATTGAGTTGATTGAGTCTATGTCCTTCACCATTTCCACCTGCCACTACAAATCCTTCATTGTTGTATTCACCCATTTTCCATCGTCTCACTTCATTCTTATCACGATTAGAAACATAAAGAAATCCATACTTATCCATTGCCAAGCCCCAACAGTGAATATCGTCAATGAGAATTTCTTGCGTTTGATTCAACCATCGAATCACTCGTCTGTTATTATAATCAGCAATGATGATCGAATGATTTTGTTGATCAACAATTACATCTGTTGGATTATTCAATTGATCCATTCGATTTCCTACTCCATGTCCACCTGCAATAACTTTCCCTTCTTTTGCATTAAATTTCCATTCAACAATACGATGATTATCATGATCAGCGATGAAAATATTTTTCATTTTATCAATAAACATTCCATAAGGGCGATCGAGTTGATTTAATTGTTCTCCTCGTTCATTTCCACCAGCTACAATGATGGCATTTTGTTTCCATTTGTTGAATTTTGGTTCTAGAAAAGATTGAAAACAAAAGATTTTGATGAAAAGAACTTTAATAAAAAAATCTTTTTTGTTGTGTTCTGGAATAGAATGTCGTAAAATGCATGAAGAAATATTTTGTATTGGAAAGAAAAAAGTATTTGAAATTTATATTTTTTCGAAACGAAATTGACTAATATTCAATTTGGAAAGGAAGCAAAAATTGAAAATGATAAAAGATTCTGTTGTTTATTTTTTCTTCGATAAATATTTTAGAAAACTTGTTAATAAAAAAAACTGATTTGAATTGAAACGTTGGCGTAAAATAAAAGAAATTAAAAACTATTTAAAATGTTTCAATTAGAAACAAATTTTATCTTTTATTTTTTCTTATTAAATTAATATTAATATATTACAAAAGAAGTAAAGGAGACAATTTATTAAATAAAATAATTAAAAAAAAGAACTTTTTATTTAAATAATGTATTTTTTTAAAGATTTAGATTTTCAATAAATGGAATTCTCGTTTTTCGTGGTTCCAAACAAATTTTTTTCGTTTTCCTTTTTAAATTTAATAAAATACTTTCATTTTAATTCTTTTGATAATTCCTGATTCATCCACCTGAGATTCAGGCAGACTCCAACAAGTTTCATTTTAATGTTATTCGTACTAAAGTTGGAGTCAAATCACACCTTTTTAGGTATGCTTTAATAACGAATAATAGAATACGCTACTGACGCTAGACGTTTACTATCATCAGTTATATGTGATAAACTATTTCGAAATACATATGAGCATTTGTTGACCGCTTAGACTCCGTCAGAATCTCAGCAAGATTCAATTTAATTCCTTGTATTTGTAACTTGAGTTCAAAACTTTTCTTGTGAGATATGTATTAAAAACTCTTAGTAGAGTATACTGTCAATACCAGTCAATCAGACCCAATTATTGCTAACGTGAAAAAGCACCTCAAAGTATACGCGTAGAGACTGAGTATGCGATATACAATCTCAAACCTCTGAAAGATAGAATATGATATTAAAGCAACAAAAGACTGAATAAATATCATAGAAGCTACAGTCGTAATTCTATTCGTTCTTCCTGCAACTAAATCTGTTCTAGAACCACTATAGTTCCATAATAAAACCATCACAGTTTTATATTTTGTTTGTCTTTTATCAATCTATAGGGTTTACCCTGAGAGTATAGATCGAACCGGTCCGAAACGCTCAGACCGGACAGGATCGAAAAGGCCGATCCCGGATGAGGGTGTAGGGGTGTGTGTAGATAACGATGCGATAACCAAATCCGCACCACACCCACTCTCACATCACTACTAAAAGTTATCAAAAATTTTGCTCCTATTTTGACTTTTTGGGTGAGAGTAAGTGACCCGATCGAGCTGAAATTTTTATCGGATATTTACCTTACTACCAGCTATCATATATAAAAAAATCAGCAAATTCTGGGATGTAATTGTCCTACCACCGTCGGAGTTTCTCAGGAACTTACTCATGTCGATTTTAGTCTTAAATACAACGCGGCTATAATAATTACCTGGTTTTTTGAGTTGTTTCACTTCATGCTGTAACTGTTGAATTTTTTCAATAGATTGATTATTTGATGTTTCTAATAGTTGAACTTTTTTAATAGATAGATTATGTGACATTTTCAATTGACCAATATCAACGAAATACCGAATAGAAAAAAATATTAATATACTATATACAACAATCGATAATAACACAAATAGTAATAAACATTTCCACAACATCTTTCTTGAGTTTAACAAATGTTTCCTTTTGGATTCTGAATACTGTGATTTTTCATCACAGTTCACCATTCGTATTTGATTAATATTTGTATTATTACTATTGATCATTATATTACAATTATCACAAGTATTTTTCTGATTAACAAGAACTAAATTAGAATTTCGACAAATATAAAATATAAACATTGATAAGCACTTACGCTGTTGCATAGAATATTTATCTTCATCTTGATCTTCAAAAGGTTGATTTATCATTGGTGGCATTATCATCGATAAACTGTCAACCGATTGATTTTGTACATCTGATTGATTGTGTCTCCAATATTCTAGATTAATAAAATATAATAGGAAATGAATTAAAATGAACAAAACAAAAAACATACCTCTTAATAATTTCACAGCATCAATACATTGAATTTCATCAAATGCATTTATTAGAAAACTAAAATCTTTTTCATTCACTTTGTCTTGATCGAAAAGAGAATCCATAAGACTAAGTGTTCCACTAAGTGTTGGATCATCCCTTATTCGTCGTGGTACATCATTGCCAAGATAGAAATGCAAGCGTTTTCGATCATCATTACTAAGACGATCTTGTAATTTTAATATAATAGCACGTAAACAATGATTATCCATCAGCTCATATAGTTTCTGCAAGAAAATAATAACTGTTCCATATCACACTTAGATATCCTGAAAAACCACTTATTTGCTATACAAACTATCTTTTAAAAAGTTTATTATCATTGAATTGATATTGTAGAGCAAATTTTTGTCTATTAATTTATGATTAATGATATGATATGAGGATGCCTATCACTATTCTCATTTGTTTGTCTTCATAATCGTTTACTTCTTTTTTTCTAGACGAAAATCAATATTGAAATAATACATACTGAAGATTTAGCATGGAACTTACCTTCTACAGTAGTAGTAGCAAAAATAAAGCTTTATCATTTTAGATTAATATTCTTCCTTTTGTCTTATTTGGTGGAAAAGATTAAATATTTCCCACCATGATTGAATAACATTCCTATTAAAGAGTTGCTCTTCGCACATAGCATAAAAACAAACATAAAATCATATGATATAGTCGATGTCGAAGAACAAACAAAAAAAGAAAACATTAGAGAAACACATACAGAACCAGCACTAGACTCAAACTGTAAGCTACAAAGATACAGAACAGAAAGAAAAGAGAACAACAATCAGAATACTAATTCTCTTTCATTTTCTCACGTACTACTGGTATCATTGAGTGTTTAAAGTGTGAATATATTGTAAAGAGAAGGGTGATTCTTGTTTTGCGAAAGAAGAGGAATAAAGAACAAAAAGGAGCGATAACAAATATATTTTGATACATTACTCTGATAGATTCAACATCAAAAATAGTGTTTTATATTCTAATAAGAATGATATCGACTGAGAAATGCGATACATAAAGATGCTAGATTATTCACTAAAGCATGTTATACAAGTCGTTGACACTAGTAGTGTCCCATAGTATGTAGTATATAACAAAAAAAAGTAACGACCAACTTATTTTGTTCTTTGACTTTATTGAAAAAAATTTGATCATATCAGCAAAGATGCTTGTTTATGGATGAAACAAAAATATATAAATAATTATGTTTTGTAATGGACAACATTATCCATGATGAAAAAGAAAAATCTTAGTTGATCTCTTTCTTTCATATACATATACTTCGATTTTGATTAGAAATCAGTTTTTATTCTCTTTAACTAATCATAATTTTTAACTCATAGAATATATCAGCACATATATGATTGCTACTTTTCTAATTTAACTTGTTATTTGACTAGCAACATAACGACTAGGACACACGATAATACAATGTCTCTCTTTGAGTTTTCGAGCAAGATATGACGGACTTTTCTCTTTCCTCATTGTAAAGTGGTATATGTGTGATCTTGATTGTCGTGATACAGTTATGAATATAACAGCAATTTAATCGTGAGACCAACAAAATTTAGCATATTATGAAAACACATACATGAAGAATTCGTCCTATTAAAAATAATGCTAACAGTACATATTTTAAGGGATTTGACGACAATACTACAGATATGAGTCCGCCTTAACATATACGATTGATAAATTAGACTATTTTATACATTTTCATATGAATAAGGGTGTGGATGTGGTTACTTTTACTTTACATCTATACCTTCACACCCACACCCTGACCGATTAATTTAAAAAATTGATTTCATCGTGAAATTCAATTATTTTTATTAAATGTTTATCATCTTCAACCAATTAGAATTTCATAATAAATATTTTTTTACTATCCATAAAAATATTACAAATTATTTATTCGGTCATTTCTTCAGCTATTCTAATCAGACAATGCCTTAACAAATTCTACTTTGAATTGTTAACATGAATGAAAAAGTAAAAGTCACACCTTTGAATTCCTTTTCCCTTCATCAAATTGAAAAATTTTTCCACAAACAACTTCATTGATTTGAAAATAATAAATAATTTTATTTCTTTTAATGAGAAAGGAGAAAACTGAATTTAAAATCATTTTTCATCAAAATATTGAATTAAAATTAAAAATATCTCAACCAATACTTTATTCAAAAATTAAAACAAAGAAAACGTTGAATTTCTTTTATTTCAAATTAAAATCAGGAAAACGTTTATTTTGAAAAAAATTTTCAAAGTGTCCTTTTTATCTAAATGAAAATCTTTTCAATATTTCTTTTGTTCAGTAGAATTGATTTCAATTCGACTTTTATTCTCAAGTTTTGACCAATTTTCGAATTTTATCAAATCGAAAAGACAGAAATATTCAGTTCTTTTCATCAAATAAAAATACTCAGATAGAATTATATCAAAGGGAAAGTTTTCTTTTCGAATAGTTTTTATTTCAATTGACTCGAAATCACAAAATATTTTCTTTTCTTTTCCTTTACAAAAATCAATAGAAGGTGACAACATTTAACATTTATTTTTTGTAATTTTTAATCAAAATTACCAAATTAAATTCAATTTTGATGAAAAAAATCAAAAAAGACTTTTCTTCGTTCTTTTGTTTCTCGGTTATTTATTTAACAAAAAATTATTTTTCTTTTTTTCAAAACTAAAACTCCATTCACAAAATTATTTCAAATTTTTGAATTCGATGATTATTATAATCGGCAACATAAATATTTCCTTCATCGTCAAAAGATAAACCTGTAGGACAAGTGAATCGATTTGATTGATTTTCTCCTTTACCATTTCCATCAACAACAACTTCACCTTCTTCTTTTCCTTCACACCAACGCATTATTCGATGATTCTGACTATCTGCCACATAGACTTGGCCCAAATCATCAACAACTACCCCTCGAGGGTGAGACAATTGATTGATATTTTTTCCTTGACCATTTCCTCCAGCAACAATTATTCCTTCTTTTGCATCTTTTCTCCATTTCATCACACGATGATTCAATCTATCTGATACATAAACAGTTTGATCTTCATCAACAAAGATAAAAGTAGGATAGTTGAGTTGAGTGAGTTCATTTCCTTGCTTATTTCCACCTGCTACTATAATTCCTTCGTTGTTGTATTCACCTATTTTCCATCGTCTAACTTCATCCTTCTTCCAATCAGAGACATAAAGAAACCCATGCTTATCCATTGCCAAACCATAACAGTCAATGTTCTTAATGAGAATTTGTTGATTTTGATTCGACCATTGAATTACTCGTCTGTTATTATGATCAGCAATGACGATCGAATGATTTTGTTGATCAACAATTACATCTGTTGGTCGATTCAAATGATTCATTCTATTTCCTTGTTTATTTATACTTTCAATGATTTGTCCTTCCTTTGCATTATATTTCCATTCAACAATACGATTATTATCATTATCAGCAATGAAAACATTTTTCTTTTTATCAATAAAGATTCCTGCAGGACGATTGAGTTGATTTAATTCTTGTCCTTTTCCATTTCCACCAGCCACGGTGATCCCATTTTGTTTCCATTTATTGCATTTTGGTTCTAGAAAAAAATGAAAACAAAAACTTTTAATGAAAACAAGAAGAAAGAAAAGATTAATCTTAAATGAAACCTTAATAAATATATTTGATAAAGAGACAAATTGTATTTCATTTCTCTAATTTATCAAGACCTTCAAAAAATAAAATATATAGAGTGATGAAATTCTAAGAATATCTCTTTATCAATTATTTGATTTTTGTTGTTATCAATCAAACATCTTTTAAAACTTCAAAGAAAAAGGTTTTTAGTTAACTTTTATTTTATATATTATTATTGTTTTTTTTGTCATTACTTTTCTTTTAGGAATTATTTATTACAAGCTTACTTTTTTCCAATGAAATAATTGAAATTTCATTAATAAATGATTGAGAATCTTGTTGAATATAAGTCTTTGATGGATTATTTAGTTCTTGTCTAATTTTTTTTAATTCATTTCTTAGATAGTTTAAATTTATCTCATTAAATTCGTTTTCTTGTTGAAATTGTTTTAGTTGTTCATTTAAATCATTAAATTCCATTTCTATATCATTAATAGATGTTTGTAATAATTCTGTGACAATTTCTCTACAATTTTTTGCTCGTTGTTTAATTTTGTCAATTGAATCTATTTCCCATTTATTAATTTGATCTATTAAAGAAAGATCATGTGAATTTGGTTTTTGCTCACCAAATCTTTCTTTAAATTGATCATAATCATCAATAATATGACGTAGTTCTTCATTTAATAGTTGACGATGTCTTGTTAAATCGATTAAACAAAAGTTTTTCGAACATCCTTCACAAAGATATGTTATTTTATCCTTATTACATATAACACATTGTGTTTTATTGTATGTCATTGCCATGTGTTTGGATATAAATTTCTAGAATAAATGAATATTTGATTATCTACTTTCCTAGATATAAATTTAATAACTGAATGATAATAAAAACCTTGTTCAGTAGTAAAAAAAATAGAAATTGATGTGCTTTTAATTTTAAGTAACAATTCAGATAATTCTAGTGATGTTTTTTCACTGAAAGAATGATTTGATGTAGATTTGGATGTAGTTGAAGATCAAACATAGATCGTTACCCTCGAAATAGATGATGTATTAATCTCTTATGCATCCAACTGTATCGTTATGTTAATTTTAGTCCCGTCTCCTACTGTTAATATCATCACTCTTATTCTCGAGATCATTATTACGTAATATTATTTCAAAAGACTAACTTACTAAAATGAAACTATTTCGATATGAATCAGGATTCTGTTTATACCACTTGTAAGCAAACAAATAAATGATTCGTTCTCTACATTAACCACATAGATGATCACATAGTATTTTCTTCACTATATAGCCATATAGTATTTTTCCTTTTCGTTATTATAATTCCTTTTTCTTCTGCTTTTTTGACTTATATCGAAATGTGTTATTTCTAAGTTATGAACAAGGGGATATCACACAAGTATTTTCTGAGAATATATTGTATTGCAGAGATGGGAATAGTCGAAGAAATAATCACTACTCATCGTATAAATAATTGCGTTTTCTTTTTAAATCAACGAACTATTGCTACACTTCCGAACATCATCCTCTTTTTTAATTTCCGACTAAACTGTAACATCACTTTGAATTCCTCTTTTATCGATTAAGTTCTTCTAACTATATATTTGATTTAAAAAAGAAAAACTATATCGAAATAAATAAGTAAAATATGATCAAATTTAATTGCAAAGACGAAAAGCATTATATATATCTCAGCATGGATACATAATAGAAGTTTGATCTTTTCTCTTTTAAAAAATTCACTTTGAAAAGTTCTATAGACATGATAACACCAAATATCTGCGAAGATTGAAATTAATGATCTTTTTCATCCCAGATCTACCCATACGCACACATTCACACCTTCAAAATAATATTCGAAAAGAATTTTCTCAAAGATAAAATCTTGTAAACGAACGTATAGAACATTCGTTTTTTATTCTTTCACATGATCATAAACTATTCTTTTCTTTTTCTTCAGATATATATCGATATGGTATTTTCCTTCATATACGATCATATGGAGTTTTCTTTCGTTATCTTAATACGTTCTTCTTCTATTATTTTGACTTACATGAAAATGTGTTATTTCCAAGTGAAGAACAAAAAAATATCGTCTAAGCATTGTCTCTAGAATATATTATATTACGAGAGATAGGAATAATCCAAATAATCATTTCTAGTCCTATAAATACGTGTGGTTTATTCTTAAATAAACGAACTATCATCTTTCACTTCCAACGATACTACAAGAAGATTTATAGGGCTATTAAAGATTTATTGAAATGGCAACACCTGCGAATAACTCTATTCGAAGAAACATACTAAAAGAAAATAATGTAAGTAAATTATTACTATTCTATATGAAGATCGAATCTATCGATATTGTTTATATGTTCAGTTATTTATTATTTTCTATTATATTGACAGTCAAATCTATGATATACTATTGCGTCTATGCAGTCTTCTTTTCAATCCGTATTGAGAAATTTTATTACTTTTTACAGCCTATTTCATGACCTACATGGAAGTTTTACATTGAAATATATAAAAATTATTTATTATTCCTTCTCATAACTCAAAAATCCTGTGAAACATATTCTTTGATTAGCACAACCATATAAGCATATCATGTGATTTGTATGTTTCTATTCATAGGACGGTTATACTACATCTTCATTAGCTGGCAACAATTCTACTTCAAAGATGAAGCCTGTTAAAGTAGAATCTACTACTGAGAATGACGATGCGTATTATAACCAAATGCATGACAATAGTGAACAACAAACAAAAACAGCGGAAGGTAAATAACAAGGTGTCTTTGAGTTTATTGAGTATTAATTAAATTTTTGGATAATATTTTAGATTCTTCAGATGAAGAACGTAATATGGCAACATTACACTCAACTGATGTACAGGATTGGAAATGTCGTGAATGTGGCTATGTGAATAAAGATAGCGATACTCTATGTGATACTTGTGAAACTTCTAAACCGATACGTCCAAGTCATGAAATATATACAAACTATTCAGAAAAACGTCCATCAACATCTTTATCTGATAGTCGCAGTTCTTCTCCGGCTAGTCGAGAAGATTCACCAAGTCCAACATCGTTTCAACAACAGAATTCAAGTCGTAAACAATCACCAACAAAAACAGATGAATCTGAATATGAAAAATCTTTCACTCATTCATCTATTCTATCAAGAAAATATCAAACATCATTACAATCATGTTCATTGGATGATAATGAAGGCCCATCTTCAATAGATGTGACAAAACGCTGCCACTCACCGAAAGGTAAATATCTTATTAATGGTTATTTGGGGATGGGTGAGTGTGGGTTTCTTGAACCTCTCACACACACACCATCTCATTTATTTCTGTGTTAATTACAGGCTCATTCACAACTATACATTCGCCTTTACGTAATCAAAGTCCTCAAAACGATGGTTATAAATCCGAATATAATAATTCTGCATCCAATGCATCTTCAACAATCCATAAATCATCATATCAGGATAAGCAAGGAGAATCATCTTCAAGTAATTACCTAATTTTTAGAATTTTTCATGATTTTTTAATAATCTGATCGAGAAGATATATGCATTTAAAAAATATTCACTATTATTTTTTAGGCTCATCACTATTAAGATCATCCAAATCAGAACATCCTATTATTGCATACATTCCTGATTTACCCATAAATATTGATAAACCTCAAATACTTGAAAATATGATTCGTGAAGCTTTAGAATCCAGATATAAACAAACAGTATTGAACGTTAAATGTAATACAGAACTAGGTATGGGTACTATATATTTATCTAATGATAATGATAAACATCATTTAATTAATAATATCAAAAAAATTTTAATTGAACCAACAAATAATATAACGGTATCAGTAGTAGATGAACTAGAATTAATTTCTTATATTGTCATTGATAATAAGAATCCAAATGATCTTCCAACAATTGATAATATATGTCAACGATGGGTTCAACTTTATAAAACACGTTTTCCACCAAAATGTGAACAATTATCCAATCAATTTCAGAATATATTTCGTATAGTTACACATTCATTGGATGAATTAATTAGTGCTATGTCGGTAAAAGATCTTGTAATTAATAATCAAATAGCAAGTGTTTATTTTCGTGCTGATTGTTGCTTTTTAGAAGATTTACCACGAACATGCAATTTAGATCGATTAAAGCAAGCGATTAGTGAACAAATTACTGATCGATATACGTCAAGAGAATTAATGCATATTCAATATAATGAAAATGGTGCTAATGCAGTTATATTAACATCGGGTCGAGCTCGTATTTGGATGTCTCATAATTCAATTGAAATAGATGGACGAACAATTATGAAAAAAGATCAACTTGCATGTCGACTAATAATACAAAATGTACCTAAAGCTATATCAACAGCACTTATACAAAATCATAGAATCTTTGCAAACAGTGTCATTAAAATATTGCCTAGTAATGATCATGTTATTCTCGAACTTTCGAATAGAAATATTTATGAAACATGTATTGATCTTGGTGCTTTACGTATTGGTGACTATGTATTACGTATTGAAGCTTATACAATATCGAGTAATCCTGAAAATAGCGATATCGATGCTGAAAATTGGTATGAAACAGAAATGTGTGATTATAAATCTGATATTATGCCATTCATGTCTGATCCTCATCATCGTATATTTCGATATAAATGGAATTCACAAGCATTTTTAGATCAATTTCGTCTTTGGACATCAAAGAATCGTCATTCTAATGATAAAAATCAAGTTGAATATGAGAAATTATGTAATCATAAACGACATTTATTACGAATGACAGTTATGTTAAATACAATTGGTGTGATAAAAAAAGGTTATTATCGTATAGATGAAAAAGAAATTAAATTAAAACCAGATCGATTAAAAACAATTGTTTATAATCATAAATCAAAGTTACAACATGGTAAAACAATTTTATTATCACAGGCAATGCAATGTCCATATCCATGTACATCAGTTGAAGTGATTAATGAAGATTGTTTGATTGTTTACAAAAAATTAGTAAGTCAAGGTTGTCGACCAGTTATTCTTAATATGGCAAATGCTACTACTCCGGGCGGTGGCTATCGACGAGGTGATGGTGCTCAGGAGGAAACACTTTTTCGTCGTTCCAACTATTTTCAAAGTCTTGATCGTGAATTAGATGATGGAAAACCATCGACTCGATTTTATTGTAATTCAAATGGTGAATTAGAAGCTTTAAATGCACGTGATCCGTTATATCCAATGGATAATTACGGAGCTATTTATACATCAGGTATGACAGTTTTTCGTCAACCAGAAGAAATTGGTTATCCTTTTATGGATATACCTATGTATGATGTATGTGGAATTGCAATGGCTGCTTATCGAGATCCTAAAGTAGATAAGAATCTTCTTACATCAAAATATTCTATTGGTACACGAAAAAAAATTGAAAATATATTTGCTATTGCCTATCAACATAAACATGATTGTCTTGTTTTATCTGCTCTTGGTTGTGGTGCATTTCGAAATCCACCCAAACATATTGCAACTATTTTTAAATCAGTTATTGATCAATATGCTGGATTTTTTAAATCTGTTTATTTTGCTATTATTGATGATCATAATACAGGACAAGATTTTAATCCAAATGGAAATTATGAACCATTTCGAACAGTATTCAAGGATTATAGTGCAGTGCCAAGAAAATATAAACTAGTCGATATGATGATTGGACCTTGGAAGATTTTAAAGCAAATAAATGATACAGAAGTAAAATTAAGTGATATTAAAATCTGTCATTTGAAGCCATGTCGTGATGGTGGAAAATGTAATCATTTAAAAAATGAACAACATTGTCAAGAATACTCACATCCGCCGTTATGTCCAAATACAGATAATAAAACATCCTGTAAAGAAAAACATGATGATCAACATATACTTTGGTTCAAACATCGTTTACAATGTTCATATGGTAGTGAATGTACATTAGTCGATAATGATGTAACACATATGAATGAATTTGAACATCCAGAATTTTGTCGTGATGGTGGTAATTGTGAAAATTTAGATTATGAACATTTAAAATCTTATCGACATTTACCTTTATGCCGACATCGTCGTCAATGTGTCGAATATAATCGTCGACCAAATGATCACTGTATGAAGTTTCGCCATTGTATACCAATGTGTCGTTTTGGTAAATTTTGTACACGATTTCATGATGATAAACATTTACAAGAAGAAACTCATCCATTTCGATCACCGCCATGTCCATTTACTCCATTTCATTGTCAAGCTTACAATACATTATCACGAACAAATAGCATTAAAACATTACCAATTGATATTCAAAATCATTGTTTAAAATATTCACATGTATGTCGATATGGTCGACAATGTCATGAAACATCCGATGTACATTTAAACAATACAATTCATGTTGCACGTCATATGTGTCCATATGACAGTAAATGTACAAAAAAGCATAATGAAGATCATTTAAATTCATTCTCTCATTCAGATATTCCTGATATTCGTCGTTTATGTCTCTATCAAAATTATGAATGTCGAGATAAACGAAAATCTGAACATATTCTACAATATCGACACAATGGAAATTATGATAGCAGTGGTGTTATTAATTATTTCGGACAAAATAGAATGATTGATTTTGTGTCCAATCAAGAACATATGCTTAAAGCAATACAAGATTATGCGATACATTTAAAACAAACATTATCAATTCCAAAAGAAATTCAAAAATTTATTAAAGGTTTACAGCCAGTTCATCGATGTTCAAAAATTATCTTTGAATCTATACTTGTTCATGGTCATGTTATGTCTTGTGAACATATGGAACATTTAAAAAAACCTCGTTTTGCAGCTCAAGCCGCTCAAGAACATAAACATGTACGAGCTATTCTCGATCGTTATAAATTGCCAACAATAGAAAATCATGTTCGAGAATATTTTCAAGCACTCATATCTCAAAAATATAGCACAAAATATGGTTCAAATTCAGCATTCGGTATAGATACCAGTAGTTCAATGGCTTCAACAACGCCGAATGACTTTGATGAGACGATTTGTAAAGAAGAAAGATTTTTAAAAAGTATGTTAAAACCAGAAGAGATTGATAGAATTCGAAAACGTGCAATTGATATTGCTGAAGCTTCATGGAATCTTCAGGGTGATCCAACTGGTATTAAATATGCACCTGACAAAGTATTAGGTACTAATAAACATATTTTTAGTATTCTGGGTCCCCATTTTGGGTATTATTATGGTGATATATTTCTTGTATTTAAAAATGAAGTAATGCTTCATCCAGATGCAAACTTTTCACCTCAAGCAGCAACAGCATTTAATAGTGGAAGGACATTTTCTTGTCGACCATGGGTGAAAGATCCTGGTTCAGATGAAGCAAAAATCAAATGTTTTCATCAATCGAAACTACATTGTTCTATACCAGGATATGAATATGTCGCAGCAGCTGAACTCATTGCTACAACAGGGTTATATAAGAAAACCATGGATGTCAATATAAAAGATATTTTAGAACGTTGGAAAAAAGTTAATTCACATCAAGTATTTGAAGCACATTTACCACAATTAATTCCATTGGATTATATCGACGCAGTATATATACCAAAAAATCTGTTTAATTCATTAACACCAGCAGCACAAGAATCAGCTAAAAAAACTTTTGGTCATTCACTTCATCTTACTGATCTTGAAGTTAATCTTGGTCCTAATGGTGATGTCAATGTACAATTATTGGATAAGAGTCGTTCGAAATATCAAAACTATGTAATCGATAAACTTATAGAAAAAATCGAACATCCAACACATTTTTATGGCACTGTAATTACTCTAGCACCAAGCAAATTTTCAGATCATATTCTTGTACCAATTACAATAAATAAAGCTTATGATCAATATCGTCATACTCATAAAGGAAATACAAGTTCTGATGATACTTATATTTATTGGAAAGCCATGTATGGTGATATGATGATCACATTATCAAATGAACCGATTAATCCTGATAAAATTGAACCAAATATTCGTTATCTTGTTTGTTATGTTGCAGAAAAGCCATCGACAACAACAACAACAAATTATAATGAATCATACTCATATATAAATGCTAGTGAACCATATCGTCATGAGATGATTATGGCTAATGGTCGCTGTTCACGTAGTTCACGTACATTTTATCGTGGTTGTAATATTGAAGGTTTCTTAACTTATTGTCTTAAAATTGAAAAGAAAACAGGCCAAGTAACACTTTCACATGCTGGATCAAATGGTATTTATTGTTATGAAACAATAACATGTAATTTTCCAAAGACAACACTTGATTTAAACAAATTAATATATATTCATGTTAGTGCTGGTTCTCAAAAAGTACCAATTCAAAATTTAATTATTAGTTTTGAACAAATTCCTGATTTACATCCATCATTTGATAAAAATTTCAAACCAGGAAATGATGTTGTATCTCGTGACAAAAAACCTCATAGACGTGATCGTTCGCCATCACCAAAATCTGAACAGCCATCTCGTGAAAAATCTTCGTCATTATATCAGAAAGCAGAGCATGTTATTAGGAACGTATTCGGTTATGGTGGCAATGATAAAAAACTTGAGCCATGTTCTCATTCAATAAATTGTTCATTACAAGAATCACCTAAACATATGAAAGAGTTTTCTCATCCTTGTCCATACTCTGAACTTTGCACGAAAAAAGACAAGGAACCTTATTTAACTCATGAACCACATCGAGTAGAACAATGCTCCTCAAAGAATACCTGTCAAAAACTGAATGATCCTATTCATCGAGCAAAATATCGACATAATGGTTATCCTGACTTTCTTATTCCATGTCGTCATGAAAGAAAGTGTCAAGATACAACATTCCATCATAGAATAAAGTATTCACATGGTGAAAATGTCGATATAAAAAAATATGCAAAAGGTAAGTTATCTTTCACCTAACTTAATAATACACTTTTTTTTCCTCAGATGTCATTCCTGATAACTCATCTCCAAAATCTACTTTACCATACCAGGCTGCAGCATCCTCTGATGCAAAAACAGATAAGCAACAAACTTCTTGCCGATATGGATCAGATTGCCGTGATAAAAATGATTCTCAACATTGTTCAAAATATTCACATCCTTATAGTTCATCTGGAGCAAGAGATCTATGCACACCTTGTCGTTATGGACGTGATTGCCGTGATAAAAATGATCCTCAACATTATTCGAAATACTCACATCCACATAATGATAGATCTAAATCTTCAAATATTTCAAGTGATGATCAAACACCTTGTCGTTATGGACGTGATTGCCGTGATAAAAATGATCCTCGACATTATTCGAAATATTCACATGATCATGGATCGAGGCCTTCGTCTAGTTTAAATCATAATCAAATACCTTGTCGTTATGGACGCGATTGTCGTGATAAACATGATCCTCGGCATTGTTCGAAATATTCTCATGCAAACAAGTGAATTATTTAAATTTTTATGTTGAAACATTTTTAATCCTGATCAAGGAGTACTTTTTTATATTCGAAATAAAACGAGTGTCTAGTTGCACTATAAATATAATGTTTAGATTGTTTAAAGAATTTGTACAGATGGCTATTTCAACTGTGATACAACAAAAAAAATATAAAATATTGTTATCAACTGATCCTTCGATTGTATCACTGTAGTAAAATTCAATTTCTAAATAACATTTTAATTTATTCATTTACTTAATTGTACATTCTCTTCGAATAGTCAGTCCGCTTATCAATCTATCAGTATTTTTTTGACGTAATTTCAGCATCTATACAGGATTTAATAGCATTATTTATTATAATGAGTCGTCTATATCCGACATATATTCATTTTCTTTGGTGTATTATTATTTAAGTTGAATATATATATGATTACATTTACTTAATAAATTATCATAAAATAACTTTATATTTTGTCTGTAATTCTTTTGTTTTGCTTTTATTATTCATCATATTCTATGAATCTCTTTTCAAACATAAAACTCTCAATTCACATAAATATTTCTTATTTTATTTTATCGCACCCACATGTATTCTTGACAAACTTATCTGAAAATATTCAGAAAATACCTTTTACAATTTATCCTATCATGAAATTCAATTATTTGGTCAAGTACTTATCAACTTTAAGTAATTTTAATCTGATAATAAATTATTTATTCGGTCAAGTCTTTAATTATTCTAGTGCTATTTTTTGCGAAAAAAATTACTTTGAAATGTGGAATGTAAGTCAGAAAGTTGTGGAATATTTATTTTAGTTTCTTTGAGTAATAAGACAAATCTCTTTTGAAGTTTTATCAAATGAAAACATATTAATGTCATCAGAAATCTATGAAATCAGCAATCAAATTTAAATTTTAGATCATGTGAGAACTTCTATTGCTTTTTATTTCATTTGAATTTCTTTGTTATTTTGTCGAAATTCTTTTTTTTAATTTAAATGAGAATCTTTTCGAGATTTGTTTTGTTCATCAAAATTCATTTCAATGCGAGTTTTATTCTCAATTTTTCATATAATATGACTTTTTCTTCGTTATTTTGTTTTCAAAACATTTCTATTTCCTCAAATTTTAATGGATTTTTTCATTGATTTTTAACAATAAAATGTCACTTTTTCTTTTGTTTTTATTTCTCAATGTTTTCTTCAATAAAAAATATCTTTTCTTTCAAAGTTAAAGTTTCATTCACAAAATTATTTCGAATTTTTGAATTCGATGATTCGAATAATCAGCAACATAAAAATTTCCTTCATTATCGAAACATAAACCACTGGGAAGATATAATTGATTTGGTTCATTTCCTTGACCATTTCCACCAACAACAACTTCACCTTCTTCTTTTCCTTCACACCAGCGTATTATTCGATCATTTCCAAAATCTGCCACGTAGATTTGACCCAAATCATCAACAATGACTCCTAGAGGTTCAGACAATTGATTAAGACTTCCTCCGTCACCATCTCCACCAGCCATAATTCTTCCAACTTTTGCACCTTTTCTCCATTTCATTACACGATGATTGTTTTGATCTGTTACATAAAGAGATTGATCTTCATCAACAAATATATAAGTAGGAAAATCAAATTGATTGAGTTGATTTCCTTCTCCATTTCCACCTGCTACTACAATTCCTTCGTTGTTGTATTCACCCATTTTCCATCGTCTCACTTCATTCTTCTCACAATCAGAAACATAAAGAAATCCATGTTTATCCATTGCCAAGCGACTACAGTCAATATTCTTAATAAGAATTTGTTGCTTTTGCTTAAACCATTGAACCACTCGTCTGTTCCCTTGATCAGCAATGATGATCGAATGATTTTGTTGATCAACAATCACATCTGTAGGTCGATTCAATTGATCTATTCGATTTCCTTTTCCATTTCCACCTGCAATGATTCGTCCTTCCTTTGCATTATATTTCCATTCAACAATACGATGATTATCACAATCAGCAATGAAAATATTTTTGTTTTCATCGATGAAGATTCCTTCAGGGCCATTCAGTTGATTTAATTCTTGTTGGTCTCCATTTCCACCAGCCACAGTGATGGCATTTTGTTTCCATTTGTTCCATGTTCGTTCTAGAAAATGGTGAAAACAAAAGATTTTCATGATTAGAAAAAGACGAAGAAGAAAAAAAAGAAAATTTATTTTTCGATCAACAAAAAGAAGAAGATTAATTTTGAATGAGATACTGATAATTATGTCTAATGAAAAGACAAATTTTATTTGATATTTTTTGTTGAATCTTCGAAAAAAGTTTACTGGAAAAGAGCACAGTTAACATTTGAAGTTTTTATTTAGAAAATAAAAATAGATTCTTTTGAAAAGAAAAAGAATTCGAAATTTCTAGTTTTTTTAATCAAAATTTTGAAGAGAAAGAATATTTTCATTGAATGATAGTTTATTTGTGAAATAAATTGATAAATATTACATTTGGAAAGAAAAAAAAATCGAAAAAGAGAAAAGGTTTCGTTGATCCATTTTTTGTTAAAACAAAATGTGAAAATAATTGAATTTTATCTTTATCAATTAAACGTATCTTTTCAGTTTGATATTATTTCATATTTTATCATTCTTTTTCTATATACAAAAAATTGAATTTTCTATTCATATTAATACTATTGTTATTGATTAAATAAATCAATAATGTTCTCAATTGTTTTTATAGGTTTTTAGCATAAGTTTATAAAAAATGAAAATAATTCTTCTAGAAACTATTTCTGAAAAACTTACTTTTTGATAAAATAATTGAAATCTCATTTATAAATGATTGTGATTCTTGTTGAATAGAAATATTTGATGGCGTATTTAGTTCTTGTGTAATTTTTCTTAATTGATTTGTTAAATAAGTGAAATTAATTTCATTAAAATCATTTTCTTTCTGAAGGTGTTTTATTTGTTCCGTTAAATCATTAAATTTCTTCTCAATATCATTAATACATGTTTGTAATGATTCAATGACAGTTTCTTTACACTCTTTTGCTTTTTGTTTAATTTTGTCAATTGAATCTATTTCCCATTGATCAATTTGTTTTATCAATGAATGATTATGTGGATTTTGTTTTTGTTCATTAATTTTTTCTTTAAATGCATTATAATCATCAGTAATATGATGTAATTCTTCGTTTAATCTTTGTTGATGTTCTGGTATATGTATAAAACAAAATCTTTTTGAGCATCCTTCACAAGTATATGTATTGTTTTCTCTATGACATGTGAAACATTGTGTTTTGCTTGTCATTGCTATATCTCTGAATAGAAGTCTATAGAAGAAATGAATAATGTATTTATCTACTTTTTTAGATATACACTTAAGAAAATGTCTATGTACACACGTGTACGTGGCTAGTCGGGTATGCACAAACAAGTATATGTGGCTGGTTAACTATTTACATAGCTAGGTACAACCATTTTACTAGTAAATATAAAATCATATTATTATCTTCTATGTATATCTTTGTTAATGTAAACTAAATGTCTTATCTTTTTAATAACTTCATTTAATTCCGTACCATGCAATGTTATATTGTAAAATAAGATTCATGGTGTAATTTCTTTCATTTATTTGTCATCATATTTCGTTAGAGAATGTTTAACATTCACTGTTTGATAATACTTAGAGAAGCAAATCATGAAGAAAATTGCATTAAAATAGAGAAATAGGCATTCTTTTTTATGTGTTTTGTTTCCATTGATAAACATTAAAATTTGCATTAAACTCATTTTGTTGGATCACCGCACCTGAAAATATATTCGTCCCATTAGTATTATCTCTTTTAAATTTCTCTTTAACTAATCGTAATTAGTATTTTATTAACAACTTTATCATTTTATCCATATATAGAAGATATACATACCATACTGTTACAACGAATTTTCGATTGAGCAACGTATATACTTTATAGAATCATTTGTATTTGATCAAAGACAAAACTCATAATTTTTATTATTTAAAGAAGTTTTTGTAAATTATTTCTTGGTTTAAGAGAAGATAATAATGTTGAAAATTCATTTGATTTTTGAATTTAATGAATAACTTGATCAAAATTTATACACATAAAAGTTGAATCAGTTTTACTTGTTGATGCTAAAGAAAGTAAAACATCTATATAGAGAGAAAAGCAAACATTGAATTGATAATTAACGTAATTTTCGTGATAGATTTATATTTAAAGATCATTGATTTGTTGATGATAAACAAGATGAACATGTTGGATTTTCTGTTTTAGTTAAAGAAGGTATTGTTAATGAACGAAGATCAGCTTGAAGTTTTAATGAGACTGATGATGAAGGTTTAGATGATAAAATTAAACCAGATGTAAAAGAAGTTTTAAGTAATAATGAAAAGGATATAAGTGTCGGTGTGAATACGGTTGAGTAGGCGCAGGTTCATGTTTTATTTACTCACACTCACATACTAGAAAAAAAGATTTTTCTTAGTTCTTTCGTCAAAATATGTCTTTATTTTTAAGTTTTAATCGATTTTTTTTATCGATTTTCAACAGTAAAACTTTATTTTCCCTTCTATTTCTCAATTATTTATTCAATAAAACATTTTTTATTTCTATCAAAATCAAAATTACATTTACAAAACTACTTCAAATTTTACAATCCGATGATTAAAATGATCAGTAACATAAAGATTTCCTCCGTCATCAAAAAATAAGCCCACAGGACCATCCAACTGATTTTCTTCACCATTTCCACTAACAACAACTTCACCTTCTTCTTTCCCTTCACACCACCGCATTATTCGATCATTCCCAAGATCAGCCACATAAATTTGACCCAAATCATCAACAACTATTCCTTCAGGTAAAGACAAGTGATTGAGATTTCTTCCTTCACCATTTCCTCCAGCTACAATTGCTCCTTCTTTTGCACCTTTTCTCCATTTCATTACACGATTATTGTATCTATCCGATACATAAACAGATTGATCTTCATCAACAAAGATAAAAGTCGGACAATTGAATTGATCGAGTTTATGTCCTTGTCCATTTCCACCTGCCACTATAATTCCTTCATTGTCATAATCTCCTATTTTCCATCGTCTCACTTCACTCTTCTTCCAATCAGAAATATAAAGATATCCATGTTTATCGATTGCCAAACCATAACAGTCAATATCGTCAATGAGAATTTGTTGCTTTTGATTGAACCATTGAATCACTCGGCTGTTTCCATTATCAGCAATGATAATCGAATAAGTTTGTTGATCAATAATCACATCTGTTGGACAATTCAATTGATCAAATCGATCTCCTTTCTTATTTCCACCTGCAATGATCTGTCCTTGTTTTGCATTACATTTCCATTCAACAATACGATTATTTTCACGATCAGCAATGAAAATATTTTTGTTTTTATCAATAAACATTCCAACAGGACCATTGAGTTGATTTAATTTTTGTCCTTCTTTATTTCCACCAGCTACGGTGATGCCATTTTGCTTCCATTTATTGAATTTTGATTCTAGAAAATAATGGAAATAAAAGATTTTGATGAAAAGTAGAGAATTTGTTTTTCACCGAAGAAAGAGAAAAGATTAGTTTCCGATGAAACTTTGATTTTGTTTTTTTTATTAATAGTTGAATTTTGAAAAGAATTTTATTAAAAAAATAAATCATTTGAAGTTTTATATCTGGAAAATAGAAACAAATTAATTCTATAGAATAAATTTATTTTCTAAGAATATATTCTATACAAATACTAAAGAAATCGAATGACAACTTATTATTATAGCTATGACAAAAATCGGATTTTTTCCTTCGAGATAAAAGAGAAATGTCGCTTTAACTGTGGTAAAGAAAAGAGAATAAAAACATTTGATTTTTCTAATTTATTTAAAACTACTATAAAATATCTAAAGTGATAAAGTTTTAGCAATATATCTTAAATAATTACTTTTTTTTCTTACAAGAGTTAACAAAAATTGAAGAAAAATTAATTTTTCAATTTAATATTATTTCATATTCCATCCTTCTTTTCTCTTCTTCATCATTATTTTTTGTTGTATTACAATTTTTCAATATAAGTCCATCGAAAAGCAGTATGTTTCTTTTAGAGATTATTCCTTGAAAACTTACTTTTAGATGAAATAATTGAAATATCACTAATAAATGATTGTGAGTTTTGTTGAATAGATATATTTACGGGATGATTTAATTCATGTGTAATTTCTGTTAATTGATTTTTTAAATAGTTTAAATTAATTTCATTGAAATCATTTGCTTTCTGAAGTTGCTGTATTTGTTTATTTAAATCATTAAATTTATTTTCAATATCATTAATAAATGTTTGTGAAGATTTAAGAACAATTTTTCTAAAATTTTGTGCTTTTTGTTGAATTGTTTCAATTGAATTTATTTCCCATTGATCAATTTGTTTTATTAATGCATCATTTTGTGGATTTTGTTTGTGTTCATTTATTCTTTGTTTAAATTCATTATAACCATGACTAATATGATTTAGTTCATCATTCAATCTTTGTTGATGTTCTGCTAAATCCATATAACAAAATCTTTTTGAACATCCTTCACAAGTATAAATATTGTTTTCTCTATCACATGTAAAACATTTTCTTTTATTGTTTGCCGTAGCCATGTGTTAGAATAAAAGTTTATAAAAGAAATGAATAGTTGTTTATCTGCTGTTTAAGATATCAGCTTAAGAAAGTGTTTATGCACACGTGTACATGGTTAGTCGGCTATGTACACAGCTGAGTATAACCATTTTATCAGTAAATATAAAATCATACTGTTCTCTTGTATGTATTTCTTTGTTAATATAAACTAAATATTTTATCTTTTTAATAATTTCATTCAACTCTGTATCATGCACGTTGAATTTTACAATAAAATTCATAATTTTATTTGTTTTCGAACAGAATCGCCATGATAGCATATATACATACATTATATTTCAATATTGAAAACGATGAAAGAATTCTTTCATTTATTTGTTATTATATTTTGTTAGAGAACATTTCACATTCACTGTTTGATAATACGCACAGAATAAAAGCATGAAAAAAATTGTATAAAAATGGTGAAACAGGTATTACTTTTTATGTGTTTTATTTTGATTGATTAAGGTTAAAGTTTGCATTAGACTCATTTCGTGGAAGCACTACAAATGAGAACATATTCATCCCATCAGTATTATTCTTTTTAAATTTTTCTTTAAATAATCGTAATTAGTATTTAATAACAACTATATTATTTCATCGATATATAGAAGATCTACATATGCTATTGATACAATGAATTTTTGATTGAGCAACGTATATACTTTACACAATCATTTGTTTTTGAATCAGGGTAAAATTCACAATTTTCATTATTTAAAGAAGATTTTTGTAAATTATTTGTTGATTCAAGAGAGGATGATAATGCTAAACAAAGAAAAAGAATAGATAGAAAATATTTAATTGTTAATTAACTTGATTTTCGTGGCAGATTTATATTTGAAGGTTCTTGATTTGTTGATGATAAACGAGATGAACATGTTGCAATATTCTGTTTTAGTTGAAGAAGGTATTGTTAATGAACGAAGATCAGCTTGAAATCTTGATGATGGAGGTTTAGGTGATAAAATTACACGAAAAGTAAAAGAAGTTTTGGGTAATGATGAAATGGGTGTGGGTACGGTTGGGTAGGCGTAGGTTTATGTTTTATTTACCCACTCACATCCTAAAAAAAAGATTTCTCTTCGTTCTTTTCTTATCAGCAATTTCTTTTTTTTTTCAAAATTTATTCGACTTTTTTCAATAATATAACTTTACGTTTTTTTTGTTTCTATTTCGTCATTTTTTATTTTAACAAAAATTTTGTTTTCTTGTCTACAAAATTAAAACATCAATTACAAAACTATATCGAATTTTTGAATTCGATGATTCCAGCCATCAACAACATAAAGATTGCCCTCGTTATCAAAAGATAAACCATAAGGATTATTCAGTTGATTTGATTCGTTTCCTTTTCCATTTCCACCAACAACAATTTCACCTTCTTCTTTTCCTTCACAACAACGCATTATTCGATGATTCTGACTATCTGCCACATAGATGTGACCCAAATGATCAACAATTACTCCTCGAGGATAAGACAATTGATTGAGATTTCTTCCTTGACCATTTCCCCCAGCTACAACTGTTCCTTGTTTTGCACCTTTTTTCCATTTCACCACACGATTATTGTTTCCATCTGATACATAAATCGATTGGTCTTCATCAACAAACATAAAAGTAGGATGGTTGAGTTTCTGTCCTTCACCATTTCCACCTGCAACTAAAATTCCTTCGTTGTTGTATTCACCAATTTTCCACCGTCTCACTTCATCCATCTGATAATCAGAAATATAAAGAAATCCATTTTTATCCATTGCTAGGCCATAACAGTCAATATTATCGATGAGAATTTGTTGATTTTGATTCAACCATTGAATCACTCGTCTGTTATTATAATCAGCAATGATGATCGAATGATTTTGTTGATCAATAATCACATCTGTTGGGTAGTTCAATTGATTTATTCGATGTCCTTCTCCATTTCCACCTGCAACAATTTTTCCTTTCTTTGAATTATATTTCCATTCAACAATACGATGATTATAAGAATCAGCGATGAAAATATTTTTCTTTTTGTCAATAAGGATTCCTGTAGGGCGATTGACTTGATTTAATTCTTTTCCTTCTCCATTTCCACCAGCTACGGTGATGCCATTTTGTTTCCATTTATTGAATTTTGATTCTAGAAAAGAATGAAAATAAAAGATTTTGATGAAAAGAAGAAGAAAATTTTGTTGTTTATCGAAGAAAAAAAGAAAAGATTAGTTTTCAATGAAACCTTGAGCTTGTTTTTTTGTTAATAGTTGAATTTTGAAAAGAATTTTATGAAAAAAAACAAATTATTTGAAGTTTTGTATTTAGAAAATAAAAATAAATTCTTATCAGAAGAATTTTAATCACAAAATCTTTTATAATATCTCACTTATCTATTTTCTATTGTGTAACTATCATAAATTCTATAGAATATATTTATTTTGCAACAATTTATTCGATAAAAATAATAAAGAAATAAAATGATAAATTATTATTATAGCTATATGACAAATTCGAAATTTTTTTGTTTCAAATGGAAGAAAACTTCATTTTTAATTTAATATTATTTCATCTCCTATCATTCTTTTATTTTATATATAAATAAATTAAATTTTGTATTTCTATCAATTTTAATATTACTGATTAAAAAAATCAATAGTATTCTCAATATTTCTTCATTTCTTCATTCCTAGTTCTTATTGTTTTACAGTTTTTCAATATACTTTCGTCGAAAATTAATATATTTCTTTTAGAGATTATTTGTTGAAAACTTACTTTTTGATAAAACAATTGAAATCTCCTTCATAAATGATTGTGATTCTCGTTGAATAGAAATATTTGATGGATTATTTAATTCTTCTGTAATTTCTATTAATTGATTTGTTAAATAATTGAAATTAATTTCATTAAAATCATTTTCTTTCTGAAGTTGTTGTATTTGTTCCGTTAAATCATTGAATTTCTTCTCAATATCATTAATACATGTTTGAGATAATTTAATGACAATTTCTCTACACTCTTTCGCTTTTTGTTGAATTATTTCAATTGAATCTATTTCCCATTGGTCAATTTGATTTATTAATGCATGATTTTGTGGATTTTGTTTTTGTTCATTAATTCTTTCTTTAAATGCATTATAATCATCAATGATATGATGTAGTTCTTCATTTAATCTTTTGTGATGTTCTGCTAAATCCATAAAGCAAAATTCTTTTGAACATCCTTTACAAGAATATGTAATTTTTTCTTTATTACATGTGAAACATTGTGTTTTGTTATTTGCCATTGGCATGTCTTTGAATAGAAGACTATAGAAGAAATGAATAATGTATGTATCTACTCTTTTTAGATATAAATTTAAGAAAGTGTTTATGCACACGTGTTCATGGTTAGTCAGTTATGTACACACGCGTGCATGTGGCTGGCTAACTATTTGCACATCTAAGTATAAGCAGTTTACTAGTAAATATAAAATCATACTGTTCTCTTATATGTATTTCTTTGTTAATATAAACTAAATGTCTTCGAACAGGATCACGATGATAGCACACATACATTATATTTCGTTAGAGAATATTTAACATGAAAAAAATTGCATTAAAATGGTGAAAGAGATATTATTTTTTATATATTTTATTTTGATAAGTTAGAATTAAAATTTGTAATAAACTCATCTCGTGGGAACACTGTAACTGGAAACATATTCGTCCCATCAATATTATCCCCTTTAAAATTCTCTTTAACTAATCGTAATTAGTATTTAATAACAGATATATTTATTCATCGATATATAAATGATCTACATATGCTATTGACACAATGAAATTTCAATCAAACAACGTCTATGCTTTATATGATCATGTGCATTTGAATCAGGACAAAATTCAGAATCTTTATTATTTGTTCATTTAAAAGAAGATAATAATGTTGAAAAGTCATTTGATGAAGGAATTGATCAAAATTTATACATATGAAAGTTGAATCCGTTTTAATTGTTGATGCTGAATAAAGAAAAAAAATAGATAGAAAATATTCAATTGATAATTAACCTAATTTTTGTGGTAGATTTATATTTAAAGGTCCTTGATTTGTTGATGATAAACGAGATGATTTATCCGTTGTTCTTGAGGAAAATGTTCCAGTTGTGAATGAAATTGATTGAAGTTTTGCTGATAGAAAAGATGAACATGTTATATTTCTGTTTTAATTAAAGGATGTGTTGTTAATGAACGAAGATCAGCTTGAAGTTTTAATGAGACTGATGATGAAGGTTTAGGTGGCGAGACTAAATCAAAAGTAAAAGAAGTTTTAGGTAACGATGAAAAGGGTGTAAGTGTCGATGTGAATACGGATGAGTAGGCGTAGGTTCATGTTTTATTTACCCACGCTCACGTACTAGAAAAAAGACTTTTCTTCGTACTTTTCTTATCAACAACTTCTCTTTCTTCAAATTTTATTCGATTTTTCGTTAATATTCAATAATAAAATTTGACTTTTTCTTTTGTTTCTCGGTTATTTATTTAACAAAAAATTAATTTTGTTTTTAGCAAAACTAAAATTCATTCACAAAATTATTTCAAAGTTTTGAATTCGATGATTCGAATGATCAGCAACATAAAGATTGCCTTCATCATCAAAAGATAAACCCATGGGACCATTCAATTGATTTGGTTTATGTTTTCCTCCATTTCCACCAACAACAATTTCACCTTCTTCTTTTCCTTCACACCAACGCATTATTCGATTATTGTTACAATCTGCTATATATATTTGACCTAAATCATCAACAATTACTCCTTGAGGAAGATACAGTTGATTCAGATTTTTTCCATGACCATTTCCTCCAGCTACAATTGTTCCTTCTTTTGCATCTTTTCTCCATTTCATAACGCGATGATTGTTATGATCTGATACATAAACAGATTGTTCTTCATCAACAAAGATAAAAGCAGGATAATTAAGTTGATAGAGTTGATTTCCTCGTCCATTCCCACCTGCCACTATAATTCCTTCATTGTCATAATCTCCTATTTTCCATCGTCTCACTTCATCCTTCTTATAGTTAGAAACATAAAGAAATCCATGCTTATCCATTGCCAAGCCACGACAGTTAATATTGTCGATAAGAATTTGTTGGTTTTGATTTAACCATTGAATTACTCGTCGGTTCCCTTGATCAGCAATGATGATCGAATGATTTTGTTGATCAATAATCAGATCTGTTGGATGATTCATTTGATTTTCTTGTCCATTTCTATTTGCAATGATTTGTCCTTTCTTTTCATTATATTTCCATTCAACAATACGGTTATTGTAAGAATCAGCGATGAAAATATTTTTCTTTGTATCAATAAAGGTGCCTGTAGGATGATTGAGTTGATTTAATTTTTGTCCTTTTCCATTTCCACCAGCCACAGTGATGGCATTTTGTTTCCATTTGTTGGATGTTGGTCCTATAAATATATTTAATAAGGAAACGAATTGTATTTTATTTCTGTACTTATTTATCAAGAACTTCAAAGAATAAAATATCTAGAGTGATAAAATTCTAGCAATATTTCTTAATAAATTATTTGATTTTTGTTAGAATAATGAACGAAATTTGAAAATAATCCAATTTTGTTGTTATCAATCAAACATCTTTTCAAACTTTGAGAAAAATGTTTTTTATTTAACTTTTATTTCATATCTTATTATTCTTTTCTTTACATACAAATATGTTTAGTCTTCTATTTATATTAATACTGTTGCTATTGGTTTAATTAATAAATAAATGAATAGCATTTTCGATTTTTTTTCTCTACTTTTTACAAACTTACTTTGCAATGGACTAACTGAAATTTCATTTATAAATGGTTCAGAATCTTGTTCAATAGAAATCTTTGGTGGGTTATTTGATTCTTGTCTAATTTTCATTAATTCATTTCTTAAATAGTTTAAATTTATCTCATTAAATTCATTTTCATTGCGAATTTGTTTTAGTTGTTCATTTAAATCATTAAATTTCTTTTCAATATCGTTCAGAAATGTTTGGGAAGATTTAATCACTATTTCTCTGCGATCGTTTGCTTCTTGTTTAATTTTTTCAATTGAATCTATTTCCCACTGATTAATTTCATTTATTAATGAAAGATCATGTGGATTCGGTTTTTGTTCACTAAATCTGTGTTTGAATTGGTCATAATCATTAATAATAAGTTGTAGTTCTTTATTTAATATTTGACGATGTATTGTTAAGTCCATTAAACAAAATTTTTTCGAACATCCTTCACAAAGATATGTTATTTTATCTTTATTACATATAATGCATAGTGTTTTATTATTTTTCATTGCCATGTGGTTGAATATAAATTTCTAGAAGGAATGAATATGTATTTATCCACTTTTTCACATATAAACTTAAGAATGTGTCTATGTACACACGTGTACATGATTAGTCGGCTATGTGCACACAAGTGTATCTCTGACTAATTATTTACACAACTAGGCATAACCATTTTATTAGTAAATATAAAGTCATATTTTTCTAATAATTTCGATTAACTGTGTATCACGCACGTTTTGTTTTAAATTAGAATTTGTAATGTAACCGAGCCGATCCTTGATTTGGTATTGATCCATCTTTTATTTGCGTTCGAAACAGAATCACGATGATAGCATACATACATTATATTTCGTTAGAGAATATTTAACATTCACTGTTTGTTTGATGATACTCACAGAATAAAATCATGAAAAAAATCTCATTAAAATGGTGAAACACATATTATTATTTTTAATTTTATTTTCATTCATTAAGGTTAAAGTTTGTATTAAACTCATCTCGTGGGAGCACTTTAACTGGAAACATATTCGTCCCATCAGTATTATCCCCTTTAAAATTCTCTTTAAGTAGTCATAATTAGTATTTAATTAAAAACTTTATTATTTGAAGAAGATTTCTGTAAATTATTTGTTGATTCAGCAGAAGATAATAATTTTGAAAATTCATTTAAGGAAGAAGTTGAATCAGTTTTGATTGTTGATGCTAAATAAAGAAGAGAAAAAACAGACAGGAAATGTTGAATTGATAATTAACCTAATTTTCGTGATAGATTCATATTTAAGTGTTCTTGATTTGTTGATAATGAACGGGATGAACATGTTAGATTTTTTGTTTTAGTTAAATTACATGAAAAGTAAAAGAAGTTTTGGGTATCGATTAAAAGAGTGTGAGTATTGCTGGGTAAGCGTAGGTTCATGTTTTATTTACCCACATTAACATCCTAAAAAGAAAGATTTCTCTTCGTTCTTTTCTTATCAATAACTTCTTTTTCTTCAAATTTTATTTGATTTTCAATACTACAATTTCACTTTTTTTTATTTTTATTTCGTCATTTTTTATTTAACAAAAAATTCTTTTCTTGTCTACAAAATCAAAACGTCATTTACAAAACTATGTCGAATTTTTGAACTCGAAAGTTTCCATTATCAGCAACATAAAGATTGCCTTCGTTATCAAAAGATAAACCATAAGGATTATCCAATTGATTTGATTCGCTTCCTTTTCCATTTCCACCAACAACAATTTCACCGTCTTCTTCTCCTTCACACCAACGAATTACTCGATTATTCCACATATCTGCTACATAGATTCGACCCAAATCATCAACAATTACTCCTCGAGGATAAGATAATTGATTCAGATTTTTTTGAGCCACAATTATTCCTTCTTCTGCATTTTTTCTCCATTTCATCACACGATGATTATCCCTATCTGATATATAAATAGATTGGTCTTCATCAACAAAGATATAAGCAGGTAAATCGAGTTGATTGAGTTCATTTCCTTTTCCATTTCCACCTGCCACTATAATTCCTTCGTTGTTGTATTCACCCATTTTCCATCGTTTCACTTCATTCTTCTTATGATCAGATACATAAAGAAATCCATGTTTGTCCATTGCTACTCCAAAACAGTCAATATTATCAATGAGAATGTCTTGATTTTGATTCAACCATTGAATCACTCTTCTATTTCCTTGATCAGCAATGATGATCGAATGATTTTCTGGATCAACAATCACATCCGTTGGAGAATTCAATTGATCCATTCGATTTCCTTGATAATTTCCACCTGCAATGATATCTCCTTCTTCTGCATTATATTTCCATTCAACAATACGATGATTCCAATAATCAGCAATGAAAATATTTTTGTTTTTATCAATAAAGATCCCATAAGGGTATTTGAATTGATTTAATTCGTGTCCATATCCATTTCCACCAGCTACAGTGATGGCATTTTGTTTCCATTTATTGAATGTTGGTCCTATAAATATTACTTTTCTTTTAGAAATTATTTATTAAAAACTTACTTTCTAATGAAATAATTGAAATTTCATTAATAATTGATTGAGTCTCTTGTTGAATATAAGTCTTTGATGGACTATTTAATTCTTGTCTAATTTTCATTAATTCATTTCTTAAATATTCTAAATTAATTTCATTAAATTCATTTTCGTCACGAATTTGTTTTATTTGTTCAGATAAAGCATTAAGTTTCTTTTCAGTATCGTTAATACGTGTTTGTGATGATTTAATGACAATTTCTCTACAATCTCTTGCTTTTTGTTGAATTTTTATAACTGAATCCATTTCCCACTGATTAATTTCATTTATTAATGAAAGATCATGTGGATTCGGCTTTTGTTCACCAAATCTTTCTTTAAATTGATCATAATCATCAATAATATGACGTAGTTCTTCATTTAATAGTTGACGATGTCTTGTTAAATCGATTAAACAAAAGTTTTTCGAACATCCTTCACAAAGATATGTTATTTTATCTTTATTACATATAACACATTGTGTTTTATTGTTTGTCATTGCCATGTCTTTGAACATAAATTTCTAAAAGAAATGCATATATGCTTATATAGTTTTCTAGATGTAAACTAAATAACTGAACGATGATAAAAACCTTGTTCAGTAGTAAACGAAATAGAAATTGATGTGCTTTTATTTTCAAATATAAATTTAAATAATTCAAGCGATGTTTTTTCAAAGTTGAAAATTAAACACAGATATGCACTAATGACTTTACCCTCGAAATGGATAATATATTAATCTCTCCTTTAGTCAACCGTTTTCAAAAGACTAACTTACCAAAATGAAACTATTTCGATATGAATGGGAATTCGGTCTATACCACTTGTAAGCAAACAAATAAATGATTCGTTCTCTATATTAACCACATATATGATCACATGGTATTTTCTTTCATACATAGTCATATAGTATTTTTTCCTTTTCGTTATTATAAATCGCTCTTCTTCTGCTCTTTTGACTTATATCGAAATGTGTTCTTTCTAAGTTATGAACAAAGGAATATCACACAAGTATTTTCTCAGGATACATTGTATTGCAGAGATGGAAATGATCGAAGAAATAACTATTGCTTATGTACTTTTAAACATCACATTGAACTTCTCTTTTATCGATTACATTCTTCCAACTATTTTGTAAAAGAACTTAACATTTGATGTTTCATATGTTTGTTTTCAGCTATATATTGGTTTTGAAAAAAAATATGTGACAAAACATTTCAAGTAAAGAAAAATAACGAAATATGATAATCGACAACTTTTGATGTTATACTTATTTTTTTTTATAATTCTTTTTTTACAATTTCAATCGATTGTTTTACATTGTTAAGATCAGGATGATTTGGTGGTAATGAAACTTTCCGTATGTTGAAAGCACGTTCAAAATATGAGAGTGCTTCCGAATATTCTTTCATGTTATGATACAGAATGCCGAGGTTGTTATAGGAAGTAGCCAACAAAGGATGATTTTCATGAAGAGTTTTTCTCCATATTCCAAGTGCTTTTTCATAAAATGAAAGTGCTTTTGAGTACTCTCCCATGTTATCATACATCAACGCAATATTGTTATAAGTAATAGCCAACGAAGGATGATTTATAGGAAGAGTTTTTCTAAAGATTTCAAGTGCTGTTTCGTAAAATGAAAGAGCTTTTTCGTACTTTCCAATTTGTCTATATACCTCCCCGACGTTGTCATAAGAAATAGCCAACGAAGGATGATTTTCAGGAAGAGTTTTTTCAAAGATTTCAAGTGCTTTTTCATAAAATGAAAGTGCTTTCAAATATTCTTTCATGTTATTATATATACTACCGAGGTTGTTGTAAGAAGTAGCCAACGAAGGATGTTCTGCAGGAAGTGTTTTTTCTCGAATTGCAAGTGATTTTTCGTAAAATGAAAGTGCTTTTTCATACTCTCCCATGCTATCATACACACCACCAATGTTACTGTATGAAACAGCCAAATTAGGATGATTTACAGAAAGAGTTTTTTCCCAGATTCCAAGTGCTGTTCTGTAATACTCAATAGCCTGTTCATAATCACCGTGACGATATTTGACATATCCAAAATTGTTATAATAAAGTGCTTTATCACTCTCGCTCGATGCATGTTCAAGTAGTGTCTTGTATAATTCGTCAGCCTTATCGAAGTGGCCTGTTTTGAGTAATAAGTCACCTAATCGTTGCCATCCTGAACCACCTTCAGTCTCTTTACTTATACATTTAGTCAGTCGCTGAAGTTGTTCATCATCATCAGCAGTTAGTTGAAGTTCCACTTGATAAAATCGATCATTATTTTCCATTTGTTTTATTGCACCTACTCGGAATACGGTGTGCATAGAGAACAGAATTTCTTCTTCTTCTGCCTTGAAATAACTAATCTCATTAATAGAAGCAAATGGTGTTGATGAAACGCGAGGATCAATAGTCATTATAAAAAGTATTCCCACCATGTCGGTATTTCCTAAGGCACCCTTGGCGAATTGGTAAGAAACATCTCGTTTCGTACTGGTAGATAAAAAGTTATTGAAAGATATGAGACCACCCTCTGTTTTCTTGAGTTTATCGAAATCTGTTTTTAGCAAACCTTGTCCTCGATAAACTGTAAAAGGCTCACCACCATAACTTGGAAGTTGCTGTTCATGTAGTTGCTGAAGTTGTTGATGAAGATCACGTATAAAAAATCCCATATTAATAATTGTATCAGTCTCTAATGTTCGAAGTACTCGATTGAGCATTTGATAGGTAAAACACTCACGTGTATACCACCAGATTGCTTGTTCTCGGCGATAATTAAGTTTAAATTCATTAATAATATTTAATTGAGCTATATTGCCCTGATAAAACTGGCAACAATAAACCGTTAACGTCTTGATGGCTTGATTGTAATCATGTTCCATTTCAAAGAGAATCTCCTTGAATATTTGCGTGTACATATAAGTTGGTTCCAATTGATTTAGATTTTCACTGGACACCGTTTCATTCGTCGTAACAAAGCTAATAGGAATTGAATTCTGATTGACTTGTTTGACACTTGTCTTTAATGCTTCGCAAATGTCCTTGATATTATTATAAACACCCTTAATTTTATTCCAATCCTTAGTCCATAGTTGATGAGAAGATGTGTTGTTACAAAATATGTAAATAGCATATAATTCTGGCATGTCATGGATTTCAGGAACCAAATGTTCACCTAAGGATCCCGATGTAATGACGAAAGCTTTTTCATCCTTGAACTTGTCGAGAAACTGTATACATTGGTCTGATTGAGTGCATATAGTCACATCGTTGATCACAGCCCGGAGTTGTGTCAACATATTTTGACAATTCTTTTTGGTTTCATCGATACTTGCATCGATCCAAACCAACAAATAATTTTGAGCTATACGCTGACGTGTTGATGGCACTGTTGTTGTAACAGTTGTATTAGATGCAGCTGCACTGGAGACAGATTCAAAATCTTCTTTCGATTTTCGAGCACCCATATTGATGTGAGTTGTAACTTGACGATGTCGCGATTAAAGTGACAACGATTTATTTCTTCTCGATTTTTCTTTGGCACACAATGTTTGTATTATTTTTTCTATTGATATAAAAAGGCACTTTCGCCACCTAGTTATTATTACGAACACACTATGATGAAAAATAACGTAGAAAGAGAGAGAAAGAAAGAAATCGAATCCGAACAAAGAAAATAGCTAGGTATTTTAATCGACTATTTTTCTTTTTAACTTTCTCTTGTTTACGTCAACACATTTATTTTAATATGTCACTGCGTAGATGGCACTTATACAGCGAATTCTTTTTTTTCTTTCTTTCTGTCGCTGTCATTCACTCTCTTGTTATTTCAACAATGAGGTTCACAGCAATTGTATATTAATCATTCTATAGATATTGAGTCAATCAACCAGAAGAAAAATGAGATTGAAGGATATTTTTATATTACAAATTACAGTCTTAACAATGACCTTGCATTCGGAATACAATAAGGGTGTCGTTGTGGGTGTATGTGGGTACAGCGAAGGATGTATAGAACAACAGTAGCTGCCCACACCCACACTCTTTTCTATCTTTAGATAAATCCCTATTTATTATTGAATAAAGAATAATATGATATATTGATCATTATTTTTATCATATTGAAATCTAATTAATATATCAATGTGTTATATCAAAATCAGAATGATATTTTAAAAAGTTAACAGACAATTTCTTCAATATTATTTTTATACGAATATTATCTAAAGAAAATTTTTGAAAATCTAATAAATGTTTTGAAAAATAAAATATCATTTGTTGTAACATTTTTTTATAATTTAAAATGATTTTATCATAAATATTAAATAACTAACATAGAAACTGAATATATAAAAATTGAATGAAACGGTAACATTATTATTCAAATGTGAGTTATTATAATAAAGTTAAAATGATACCAGTATTGATATGATGAGAAAGATTCGATGAAATTGAAATTTTTTAAGGTTTTTGATATTCAAAAAACCAGTATTTATAAGCCGATATGAATATCAATAGAAGAAAAAAAACCGAAATACTAAAATTGAATATGGCCACCTTAAGAGAATAAATTATGTGATATGTTCTGGTTCAATAATTTGATATATAAAACCAATAAGAATTTCCAATAGACAGGTAGAAGAATTGATCATTAATCAATTGTATATATTAGTAAGTTGGTAAAATTTAATTAATAAATTATGAAATGTAAATAAAATGTCTTTTCACTCATTAAATCTTCAAAAATATGTTGAAGAATTTCGATAGAAAATTTATCAAGAAAAAGAAGAGATTTTAATTAAGAAGTTTTCTATAATAGATATAACTTGTTATTTGGATATTCAATTCATTGTATTGAAAGTAAAGATAAGTCTTTATTATTTATTTTCTTTTGTTCAATGATATATGTATACGTGTTAATATTCTTTCTTGTAATGAATCGTCTATATTCTACATATTTATTTTTTAATCAAAACTATACAAATACAACAACGTCGATTGATTTTCCTAAGTGTATTATTATTTAAGTTGAATATCTATGATTACATTTATTCAATAAATTATTATAAAATAATTGGATAACTTTTAAATATTGAAAAATTTTTCATAATTAATATTAGTCTATAGTATGTATCTACTTATATGAAAGGAGAGGTCGAAATATCATCACTTTTTACTCACGCTAGAAATATCATAGTACGAAAGTCCTTGCTACCGAATTCACGAATCCGATATCCATTTGTCAAAATCTGATCCTATTATTTTCGATGTTTCCCGCAGGGCTATACCTAGATCTCAGTATTAGACTCAGTTGCTCCCCCATAGGAATTGCTGAAAAAAAGAATCAAATCTAGACAAACAGATGTCCGATTCGTGATGTAGGTGATAAGGACTTTCGTATTATGACATTTCTAGCGTGAGTAAAAATTCATGATTTTCGACCGCCTCCTTTACAATTTACTTTTTATTTGTATCATAATGATAAATATAATTTGTATAAAATAGATTTACATTTTTGATTTATTTCTCAAGTCATTCAAATATTGATAATAGTGAATAGGATGGGGATGTTAATGTAGGTATAGCAGAAATAACACCCACACCCACACCCATTCCCACTGTACCAGTAACAATGTCAATTACAATCAAGTTCAAAATGTTATTTTTGTATCTTGAAAGTGGCGTGAGCTAGGATGAAAGTATAATATGAGAGTGATCGATTGATATATCTCTGAAAATCATACCCACGCACTCAATAATGATTTCTGACTACGAATACTCCAGTTTTATTATGATGAAGTCACTGATAAAGGTTCAACATTTATGAAACGTTCGAAACAAAATTCTATTGGTATGTTCAACTACTTGAGAAGGCAATTTTTTGATGAGGAAACAATATTTGAATTATTTATGAAATAAAATAGTCAGATACTTGGATTCAGTTTTTTGTGGTTGATCTTACTAACATTTTGTGAGGTACTATATATTTTTTATTTTTCTCGTTTTGATGTTATGTAAACTAAAACTCGCTACAAAAACAAATTCATGTGAAAATTTAATGTTAGTATGGCTTTAATTGTACAGTGTCTGAATCATTGATAGTATCTAATTGCTTTTTAAATGACCATACTTCGTACACATCACATATTTTATACGGCTCTTGACCTATAAATCCATGTTTTTCTATTAAAAATTTGAAGTTGCTCGGAAATCGTCGAAAAACATCTGCAATAATTAGCGTACCGCTGATTTTAAGTTGTTTGTTTGCCCAATTTATGTGTCGAGTAATATCGTTCTCAAAAAGCGACAAACAATAGAGAACTACATTAGTAGAAGCATTTTGAAGCTGTGCTACATTATTAGACGCCATATCTTCAACGTGGGCTTTAAAGGTAACCTTCGGATCAGCTGGTTGAAGGTTTTCCAGTTCGAGAATGCTTTTATGTAGATCGATCCCGAGAACGCGAACATGCAGATCAAAATCTGATGAATTTGCTCGAAAAATACGCACAATACCGTGTAAACCGCAACCACAATCAATAATGGAGAAATCCGGATCTCTAGCTTTTTGCACTAAACTCATCGGCTTATAGAGATCACGGTCGTAAATACTCTTAGAAAGACTTTTAATTGCTTCATGTTGACTGATAAGATCATGATACTTTTCAAAGAGATTATCAGTTTGTAACGCCTTCTTTAGTTTGTCAACTTTTGTGTCTATCATCTCGTCAGGATTATCGACGATCTTACACAAATCTGTTGTTATTTTTTTCAACTCGCTAGTTATGATTGTTGTGCGTTCCGGTGTCATTGTCACTTGAGATTCTGATAGAACTTTTGAAAAAGAAGCATGTTCAGAATACAATATGTCCAGCATCGACAGAATGGCGCCGGTTTTGCCAATTTGCGGCTCAGCATCTAAAACGATAGTATATGATGACAACTTACTGAAGGATTTTGCATTTTTTTCTGGATGAGAAGTTGTTGCTGCCTGGGTTTTCGTCAGTAGTCCATGAAGCCGAAAAAATTCGATATCTTCGAACATCAGACGACCTACTTCACCACCGGATTGCTGTGTTTCATCGAAGACTGACACTAATACAAGGGCTTTCGGTTTATGATGTCCACAACATCGACCGATATCCTGAATGAATGTTGATGCAAATCCTCTCATATCTGCAGCGTCTCCGTTATACCGTGAACGAACATCAAAAGCCATACAACTTGAGGGTAAACGTTCGCCTCTTCCAAGCTTACGATTAACCAAAATGAAACAAGGAAGATTGACCAGTCGACTGACGTCAACATCACTATCAGACACTTGATCATCAAGACGTAAATGACGACGAGCTTTTGAAGAAAGTTGTTTTACGATAGGATCACTGCCTTGTATAAGTTGAATAACTTCGAACGGTTGAAACTCCTTTTTTATTTTTGTACTCACTCTTCTGAACAATTCAAGAACTTTATTATAAAGTTGAGTTACGTGATCGTTTAAGTTTAGGCGAACTAGAATCATGTAATTATTTTCAGAATAGTAGCCAGTAGCACGAGCTCGACTAGATATTTCTTCGTTAGTATTACCATACAATAAGAATTGCAATGCCTTCCAAGCTGTTTTTTTACTGGTCCAATCCATATCTTTTTGTAGAAAAACTTTATCGAAACAGTTCCTGATGGTGTTATAGTACTCTTTAGCGACGAAAAATGAGCGATCTTTTATTGTACGTTTTCCTAGCAGCAATGGATTACAATCATTGTATAGTTGCAATTTATTAATGTCTCGATAATTAGGAGTTCCAAACTTATTTGTGTCAGAGTGACGAAGCCTGTACCAATCCACTCGCTGATCTTCGTCTATAAATTTGTTAACCGTATGAGTAAGTACATCGATTGTAGCAGACACCAACAAGATAATTAATGCTGGTCGTGAATGATGAGATTCAAGGATCTGCTTTTCAACGCTTTCTAAATGCTGGAAGAATTTGTCGATGATACTTCCACTACTAATTCCCCAGTCCGCTTCATCAAGCACGAGTATATGTAAATGATTGAAAGGATTGTTGCGTAGAACTTGTATGAAAGGCATCTTTCCATAATCTTTGGGTATCGAAGAACTGTTAAGGACGCGTGATTCGCAGATAGAATTTATCTCGTTATAAGAGAAATTAACACGCTCTTGAAGAAAATTTCCTAAGTCTTTCATGGTTTGATCTCGTAGGTCTGTGTAAGCTGGACCTAAAAACTGCATGTTGATCTTCTCGAACTTTCTCTTTCCATCAGGTTGCTGAGTATCACTTAAATTCACTACATTTGCTCTTCGTGCTTTTTCTATCACTTCTCGGCCGATGTTATATTGGGATCGAAAAATAGTTAGATCCTTTATTCGTAGATGTATGCCAGTGCCATCTTTGTAATATCCATCGGCTTGAATTGCATCATTAAAAGTTGTCATAGTATGATTAATATTTGCAGTATTAATAGGCTAAAATACAGAAAGACAGGAACAATAAAATGAATAGACGATTAAATTCAGTACATTCAGTATTACAAAAATAGCTCACAGTTCCAGAATTACTTCTGTTGTATTACAATAAGTAAGGGAAATGGTAAACTATAGTCGATAAAGAATGCGAAGAAGCGAAGATAAAACGAAATGTATCAAAAGTTATTGTAGAGAGGATGTGAGTGTGGGTGTGAATATAATTATCTTGAATCTCTTATACTTCCAGTCACACTTACGCCCAGGGTGTGGGTGTGGGTGGGTGTAGGTATAGATGAGAGATGAGGTGAATATCCACATTCACATCATCACAGATACCAACACCAATACCTACACTCATAGTTACACAGACACCCTCGTCCTACTCTCAGAATTTATATGTAAAATAAAAAATATGAGAGCGAAAGATATGTTTAAGAAAAGACCCGTTGTAATGCGTCGAACAATTCATTACTCATGACGATTCATTCTACTTACCATAAAAGTAGTTAATTCGCTTGATTAAATAACAAGTGTATAACGAAGCGTGACGAAAAGTAGTAGAAAATCGATGGTCACTTTGTATCTGAAATAAAACAAACATGTCGTTCATAAACTACTCACAGCATCGTATTAATACGGATCATATTATCACAGAGAATAGAGAGATGCCACAAGCATACTTAGCTTATCATGATTATTTACTGGGAGCAACGATATTTTAAAAAAATAGAGATAATCATTTTAATATAAAAATCTGTGAAAAATGGTACTTAAAAATGTCGAAACCGCTTGATTTGGTGGCTCTGTAAGAACCGTAATCAACCGCCAGTTTTAATAGAAAATGAAGATACAATCATATAGAAAGCATCGATAAAGTGAATGTCGAGCAAGAAAAATAATGAAATTTGCACATTCACCAAGAATACGTGTGTGCAAATGTATAAAACTGTTCGCTTTTATATATAAAACAGAAGAAAGAAAAAACCCAAAAAAAATGAATAATATGGTTGGAAGAAAAAACTCACGACAGCTAAAGATGATTAAATGTAAACATGAAATTCTTAAATAAATAAATCTGCAAAAGTAAATGTCGCTAAAAAATTTATATATAAGAAGCACAGTGGGGAAAAAAGTCATACTAGTTAATGTTCATAGAATCTTGAGGGTGTGGGTGTGCGTGTGTTAACTATAACATAGCTACAACTACACCCACCCTCAAATAGAATTTAATAAAAAATAATATTATCGGTAGAAATGTGTTCAAAACACCGATTATCGGTCTTCATTTAGGTGTGAAAATGAAATGCAATTATAGAGAATGTATGCATGGGGCGTCTATAAATTCAAAAGCACTCCCCAAAAAGAAAGTTTGTTGACGACACAGCTATTACTTAATGGCAAATGGTTGTATTTTCCTTATTCTTTTAAAAATGTAAATACGAAATGCAAGAGAGATCAACCACAAAGTACATTGGCAACGAACAAAACAAACTTTTGTATATGATTAATAGTTACCATTTTATTTTCGTTCTTATCTTTCTGTATGTACACAGTCAGTAAAAGTGAAGTATACGTAAATAAGTGAGTTGCAACCAGAAATAAAATAAATATTTTTCGTTTTGTCTTGCTGTATCTCTTCACAAGTTTTTTTTATGTTATTCCAATGAATTCTTAAGTTAACTTTTTTCAGAAGATCACATCAATCGAACTAATGTTCAAAAGTCGATTGAAGGACTCCAATTCCTTAGTTCATTGAGACAAAGTCAAAGACAATAATATTCTTGGCAATATTTAATATATTACTCAATACATTATTCATCTTTAAGATTCTCTTATTGGTTCCTCAACATATTTATAAAATTAGAAGCAAAGGAAAACTACGAAGGAGCAAAGAGCGGAATCCGATCGCTTCTAATTCCTGTGGACTCCAAAGAATTCCTGATGGCTACAATAGCTTCCAGTTGATTCTAATGGATTTTCATATTCACCCTTCAGCTGCTAGAGTGACCGATGATTGGTCATGCTCTTATCTAAGTTCATCATGAAACTTCAAAATTTCTCGTTGATATTGTTTTAATGTTTTAAAAAAAGCTGCATTCTTCAATTCTGTATGTATCAATGTACTTATAATTTATTCATTCATTTTAGATTTAAACAAAATAGAATTCTTTTTATAGAAAATATCATAAAATTATCTACTGTTAGAGATGAATATGTTACAACAAAATATGTTGCCACAACAGTTTTTTTTCTTTCAGGAAACTTTGTATTTTCTTTAAAAGGGGTTGATTGTCAATGTTGTCTTAACAATAGACACCTTAGACTATGACTAGAGCAGCCTGTTTCCGCATCCTACCTACAAAACATCGACGTTTATACATTGAATTTGTTAATATAGATAGTGAGTAATTTACACCTATTGTCATTTTGTTCCAGACTAATGTTGAAAGACAATAGAATTGTGTCCAATGCTTGATATGATTAATTTTAGTGTCATTTGTTGCAAATCTTGTGTAGGTGTGAATGTACATGTGGGCTAAGAGAAGATGAGCCCACACCCACCCTCTCGCTTCTTATTCTATTTGTGTGTACAGTTGCTGTTTCATAGTGTCTCATTTTCTAGATGGAGGATAGAATGATATGGGATCACGTAAGCGATGCTGATCTACTGAACGCATTGCCAAGTGTTAATGCACCCTCTGATCAACAAACTTGTCTTCTAGTACTGGACTTGGAAACCGTGTGGGAAGAAAATATGAGAAATAGAGCCGATAGAAGGTACCACCATATTATTGAATTCGCTGTTCAAAATTTATGCAACAGTTTTTCTTATTATTCCGTAGTAAAGCCTTTATCAAGGCTTTTCTTAGTGGGATTTCCCGACTCGGTTCGACCCTCACTCCGTCAAGAGGTTGAGCGTCACACTACTCCAAGTTTTACACAGGTTTGGCAACAATTTCGTGCCGAAGTTCATCGAAGATTTCCAAGCCAGCGAATTATTTTAATGGCACACCATGGCTTTCAACATGACTTTGTCGTTATTCGTAGGGAACTGGAACGTGTTTCTTTGACGACTGACGCCCTGTCGCATTGGGTGGTTGCCGACAGCCTAGAATTATTTAAGAGTCGTTATCCGAGCCAGGATTCGTACAAATTGGGCTTATTATTCAAATCAGTCTTTGGGGAAGCCATAGAAAATGAACATACTGCTTCCGGTGATGTCAAAAGTCTTTGCATTCTCCTAACATTTTTGATGGGAAAAATCGCGCACGATTACAATGACTTTGCTAATATTATTAATCAATATTCCAGTGATTTCCTCACTAATCAGTTATTGCCTAGGCCCACCGTTCGTAGTATGCAACTTTCGCTACCTATTGTTTCGCAGAGAGAATCATTAACGGCATTGATGACAGCAACTTCGTTGATGAACAGTGTTCCAAGATTGGAGAAGGCGACTTCTTCTGAGACAGAACTCTGTCCAAAATGTGATGCACCATTAGTTCGGAGATTAAACAAGGATGAGGGGAAATATTTCCTTGGTTGCTCCAACTACTACGCGACGAAGTGCACCGGATCAAAATCTATTTAATGTTCACGCAGACTACTATTCAATGTTGTTCTCAGTGCATTTTAAACTTTTTCCAGAAACTTTTTTCTTTTTTGTTGGTGAATTAAAAATGAATTTTGTATTATTTCAAAATTGTTTCTTTTCTTTACCTATACGAAAATCTTTTCAACATTTGTTTTGTTCAATAAAATTCATTTCAATTCGATTCTTGTTATCAATTTTTTATACAATATTTCTTTTCTCTTCAATTTTGAACAATTCTCAAATTTTATCAAATAAAAAATCTTCTTTTCAAATAACAAAAAAATTATTTCTTCGTTGTTTTCTTATTAAAATATTATTTTTTCTTCAGATTCTATTCGACTTTTTTCATTGATTTTCAACAATAAAACTTCATTTTTTCTTTTGTTTTTATTTCCTCATTTTTTATTGAAAAAAAATTATTTTTCTTTTTACAAAATCAAAATTTCATTCACAAAATTATTTCAAATTTTTGAATTCGATGATTAATGTAATCAGCTACATAAAGATTTCCTTCATCATCAAAAGATAAACCAACGGGACCATTCAATTGATTTGGTTTATTTCCTTCACCTTTTTCACCAACAACTATTTCACCTTCTTCTTTTCCTTCACACCAACGCATTATTCGATTATTGTTACAATCTGCTACATAAATCTGATCCAAATCATCAACAATGACTCCTAGAGGATGAGACAATTGATTAAGATTCCATCCTTTACCATTTCCTCCAGCAACAATTTTTCCTTCTCTTGCATCTTTTCTCCATTTCATCACACGATGATTGTCTCTATCTGTTACATAAACAGATTGATCCTCATCAACAAAGATAAAACTAGGTAAATCGAATTGATTGAGTTGATTTCCTTTTCCATTTCCACCTGCCACTATAATTCCTTCGTTATTGTATTCACCCATTTTCCATCGTCTCACTTCATGCTTCTTATAATCAGATGCATAAAGAAATCCATGTTTGTCCATTGCTAATCCAAAACAGTCAATATCGTCAATGAGAGTTTGTTGATTTTCATTCAAGTATCGAATCACTCGTCTGTTCCCACAATCAGCAATGATGATCGAATGATTTTGTTGATCAACAATCACATCTGTTGGATAACTCAATTGATCCATTCTGTTTCCTTCGCCATTTCCACCTGCAATGATTTGTCCTTCTTTTACATTACGTTTCCATTCAACAATATGATGATTCCAATAATCAGCAATGAAAAGATTTTTGTTTTTATCAACAAAGATTCCACGAGGACCATAGAGCTGATTCAATTCTTGTCCTCGTCCATTTCCACCAGCCACAGTAATGGCATTTTGTTTCCATTTGTTAAATTTTGATGCTACAGAATAATGAAAGCAAAAGATTTTGATAAAAAGAAGAAGAAGATTAGTTTTGAATGAAACTTCGAGTTTATTTTTTTGTTAAATTTTGAAACAAAATTTTACTGAAAAAGAACATGAATATTTGTAGTTTGGCATTTGGAAAATAAATTGTTTTGAAAAGAAAAAATTGAAAAAGAGGAAGATTTTGTTGACTCATTTTTTATTCAATAAAAATTTAAAAATAATTCATTTTTGTTTTTATCAATCAGACACATCTTTTAAAACTCTGAAGAAAAATTAACTTTTTAATACAATATTATTTCATATCCTGTCACTCTTTTGTTTTATATACAAACAAATTTAATTTATTATTTTAATAATACTACGGCTATCGATTTAATTAATAAATCAATGAACAATATTCTCAATCTTTTTTTCTCTTCTCCATCATTGTTTTTCGTTGTATTATAGTTTTCCAACATAACCTCATCGAAAATTAGTATATCTCTTGTAGTAATTATTTCTTAATAACTTACTTTTTGACAGAATGATTGAAATATCATTAATGAGTGGTTGTGGATTTGGTTGAATAGAAACATTTGATGGATTTTTTAATTCTTTTCCAATTTCTATTAATTGAGTTCTTAAATAATTCAAGTTAATTTCATTAAATTCGTTTTCTTGTTGATATTGTTTTATTTCTTCCCGTAAATTATTAAATTTCTTTTCAATATCATTAGTACATGTTTGTGATGATTTATTAAGGATTTCTCTGTACTCTTGTGCTTTTTGTTGAATTTTCTCAATTGATTTTATTTCCCATTGATTAATTTGGTTCATTAATGAATGATTATGTGGATTTTGTCTTTGTTCATTAATTCTTTGTTTAAATTCATTATATTCGTTGGTGATAAGTTGCAATTCATTATTTAATGTTTGGCGATGTTCTGTTAAATCCATTAAACAAAAGTGTTTTGAACATCCTTCACAGGAATATGTAATTTTTTCTTTATTACATTTGAAACATAGTGTTTTGTTATTTGCCATTGTCACGTCTTTGAATAGAAGTCGGTAGAAGAAATGAATATATCCTTATCTGCTTTTATAAATATAAACTTAATGACTCAATGAAGATAAAAATATTGCTTGGTAGTAGAAGAAATCTAACGAGACATTTTTTTTTCTGCCAATAATTAGTAATTGCGACAAAATCTCACTTACAGAGACTGAAAGTAAAAATTGATTTGTTTTTAATTTGAAATAAGAATTCCGTAAATGCCTCACTTTGAATTTCTTTTTTAGGAAATAAATTTACTAACAAAAGAAAATCTATTGAAAATAAAACACTTGATAAATATAATGACTTGATTGAAGAAGAAGAAAATGGAATCCAATTCATTTTTCATATAAACTTTTTATTCAAAATCAAAATAAAGAAGATATTGAATTTTTTCACTTGAAATTAAAATGAATTAAATTTGATAAAGAAATTATGAAATATTTATTTTAATTTCTTTTAAAAATAAAAATAAATCTCTTTGATATCAAAAATCAGATTTAAATTTTTGATTATTTCATGACTTTTAGTATTAATCATTAGTTTTATTTCAATCTCTTGTTTATTTTTCCTCCGTAATTCTTGTTCTTGCTTTTAATCTAAATGAAAATGTTCCCTGATTTATTTCGAAATTTCAAATAAAATTTCTTTTTATTCATTTTGTTTTGCCATATCAATCTTCGATTCAGTTTTTAGTTTTAATTTTTTTCAAATCAAATAAATTAAAATTAAATAATGATAGGAAATTGTTAATTTATTAAACAAAAATCTTTTCGACATTTATTTTGTTCTATAAAATATATTTCAATCCGGTTCTTATTATCAAAGTTTGATAAAACATTTCTTTTCTCTTCAACTTTAGTCAATTTTATTATTTTCATCAAATAAAAATATACAAATACAATTTCTATAAAACACAAAATCTTCTTTTCAAATAGTTTTTATTCAGTTCAATGTAAATCACAAAATCATTTCAAATTTTTGAATTCGATGATTCCAACCATCAGCAACATAAAGATTTCCTTCATCATCAAAAGATAAACTATTGGGACGACTCAATTGATTTGGTTCATTTCCTTCACCATTTCCACCAACAACAATTTCACCTTCTTCTTTTCCTTCATACCAACGCACTATTCGATGATTAAGATAATCTGCCACATAGATTCGACCCAAATCACCAACTATTATTCCTTGAGGATGATACAGTTGATTCCGATTTCTTCCTTCACCATTTCCTCCAGCCACAATTGTTCCTTCTTTTGCATCTTTTCTCCATTTCATCACACGATTATTGTCTCTATCTGATACATAAACAGATTGATCTGCATCAACAAAGATAAAAGTAGGACAATCGAGTTGATTGAGTTGATTTCCTTGCCCATTTCCACCTGCCACTATAATTCCTTCGTTGTTGTATTCACCCATTTTCCATCGTCTCACTTCATTCTTCGCAATATCAGAAACATAAAGAAATCCACTTTCATCTATTGCCAAACCAAAACAGCCAATATTCTTAATGAGAATTTGTTGATTTTGATTCAACCATTGAATCACTCGTCTGTTCTTACAATCAGCAACAATGATCGAATGACTTTGTTGATCAACAATCAAATCTGCTGGATAATTCAACTGATCCATTCGATTTCTCTGCCCATCTCTACCTGCAATGATTTGTCCTTCTTTTGCATTATATTTCCATTCAACAACACGATGATTATAGCAATCAGTAATGATAATATCTTTCTTTTTATTAATAAAGATTCCTGTAGGACGATTGAGTTGATTTAATTCTTTTCCTTCTCCATTTCCACCAGTCACAGTGATGGCATTTTGTTTCCATTTATTGAATGTTGGTTCTAGAAAATGATGGAAACTAAAGAGCTTGATAAAAAGAAGAAGAAGAAAATTTTGTTTTTTATTGAAGAAAACAAAAGATTTGTTTCCGATGAAACTTTGATTTTGTTTTTTTCTTAAAGTTGAATTTTGAGAAAACAAATATATTTTGTTTTCACAGGAAAAAAGAATTTCAGTTTTGTTGTTTTCCGAATCGAAGTTTTGAAGAGAAAAGATTTTGCTATTTTATTTTTGTTAAATAAAAATGTGAAAATAATTCAATTATGATCTTATTAATCAAATATATCTTTTCGGACTCTGACGAAAAATTAATTTTTTAATTTAATATTATTTCAATATTTTATTATTCTTTTTTTACATAGAAATAAATTGAATTTTCTATTTCTGTGAATAGTAGTATTATTGATTTAGTTAACAAATGAATCAATAATATTCTCGATTTTTGTATCTTCTTTGTCATCACTTTTCTTATAGTTTTTTAACAAAATTCATGGAAAATGAGAATCATTCTTCTAGAAATTATTTCTTAATAACTTACTTCTCGATAAAATGATTGAAATATCATTAATGAACGGTTGAGGACTTTGTTGAACAGAAATATTCGACGGATTATTTAATTCTTGAGTAATTTTCATCAATTGTTTTCTTAAATAGTTTAAATTAATTTCATTAAATTCATTTTCACTGTGAAGTTGTTTTATATGTTCATTCAAGTCTTTAAATTTCATTTCAATATCATTAAGACATGTTTGTGATGATTTAATGAGCATTTGTCGATATTCTTGTGCTTTTTGTTGAATTATTTCAATTGAATTTATTTCCCATTGATTAATTTTTTTGATTAATGAATGATTTTGTGGATTTTGTTTTTGTTCATTAATTGTTTGTTTAAATTCATTATATTCGTTGGTGATATGATGCAATTGATTATTTAATATTTGACGATGTTCTGTTAAATCCATTAAACAAAATCTTTGTGAACATCCTTCGCAAGGATATGTTATTTTATTTTTATTACAGATAAAACATTGTGTTTTGTTGTTTGCCATTGTCATGCTTTGAACATAAATTTATAGAACAAATGAATATCTATTTTTATGTATATAAACTTAATAACTCAATGGCATTAAAAAGATTGTCCTGTAGTAGAAGAAATCGAAAACGAATTTGTTTTTGTTAATTTTAAATAAGAATTCAAGCAATTCTAGTGATATTTATTCAATAAAAGAATGTTTTAGTGTAGACTCGGGGGTGTAGTTGAAGATTAAACATAAATCGTTACCGTCGAAATAGATGATATATTAATCTCTCATTCATCCAACTGTATCATCATGATCATTTTAATCCACTCTTACTGTTATCATCATCACTCTTATTTTCAACATAGTTATTATATAATATTCTTTTTTGCTCATTTTTTATATTATTTCAAAAGAGTAACTTACCAAAATAAAACTATTTCAAAGAATTGAATTGTTAAACTTGTGATATTTTGTAATTATTTCGATATGAATGAGAATTCCGTCTATATCACTTGTAAGCGAACAAATAAATTGTTTTCTCGCTACATTAACCACATATATGATCGCGTGGTATTTTTTCCTTTTCGTTATTATAATTCGTTTTTCTTTTGACTTATATCGAAATGCGTTATTTTCAAGTTATGAACAAAAGTATATGACATATGTATTTTCTCAAGATATATTGTGTTGCAGAGATGGAAATAATCGAAGAAATAATTACGTCATCTTTTTCTTCGACCTTCACTAAGACTGTAACATCACTTTGAATTTCTCTTTCGGATTAAGATTCACTGAAAAGTCCTGGAAAAATGATTAAAATTAATGATCTTTTTCATTATCAAAAAAATTAATTGCTACATAATAATGCTATTTGTCATCGTATTAAACATAATAGAAGATGTTTCAAAAAAATGATATATTTTTATATATTAAAATTTAGCATACTGTCAACTAACGACATCTTTCTTTTTCGAAATCGCGTTGTTAATAATGCCTAATATTTGCTTCAATCGGATTACGTTGAACACATTTCACCGTAACTTGGAAGAAACACAAAGGATGATGATGATGTCACTGATAAATATACGTAGCCAATCTTTATTCATTTCTTTTCCATTCGTTCTTTGATTTTTTGTTATATTCACATTGACGAACGGCAAACTGATGTATCGATAAAAAAAAAATCTTCATTCTATTATCAGAGAAGAAAAAACAAAATTAGACAAAAAAAAATATTTATGTAATTTCATCATCAATACACAATTGTAAGTTTTATTTAGAAATTTATTTAAATAAAACATATCATTTTCTTTTTTCAGATAAAATAATTTCTTAACTTGTTTATCTTCATTGAAAATTTTGTTGTTTTGTTTTCTTTTAGATGCAAATGACTCATATTGAAAAAAGAAAGGTTTTTTATTAGTTTAATATATGTATAAAGTGTTTTTGGTATTGCCATATGTTTTTTTCTTCTCCTCGTATGGTTATATATGATAAAAATATCCTAATTTGATAATTGTGATTTGTTGTAAGTAAACAAAAGAATTTTGAGTGAATCTGGCTTTCTGATCCATCAGGAATGGCTAAAGCTTGTCAAATATAGGGAGATATTAGGTATATCGATAAGTCAAATATTTATTTTCAATGATATATTAATGTATTTTTTAACTAATTTCAGATAAACTTATTAATATATATTAAAGAAAACAATGAGCAGAAACCATAGTGAAAGTGCATCCAAATCTCGATCAAAATCAAAATCAAAATCTCGTTCAAGATCACGATCAGGTTCACTTGCATCAACATCATCGTAAGAAATTATTTTTTTTTTCGTCATTTTTTGTTAATATTATTTTATTTCGAATAGTGGTCGTGCAGCCAAAGCAAAAAATTGGAGTGGAGACACAGGTTATCGTCTACATGTTTCACCACTTAATCCTCGAACATCACGACGTGATATTGAAAAAATTTTTTCAAAATTCGGTACAATCAATGAAGTATGTTTCTTAATTACTGGAGACAATAAAAAATTTGAATAAATTTAGGTCTGGTTGGCTACAAATCCACCATGTTTTGCCTTTGTGAATTTTAAACATCGAGCTGATGCTGAAGAAGCCATACAATCAATGGATGGAAAGTAAGTTGAATTAATTTTCAATATCGATATATATATGTATATTATTTATTACGTAGAATGATTGATAATTCTCGTGTTGGATTATCATTTGCACGTAAACGTACAATTGGTGGGCGCCGTGGTGGTGGCGGCGGCGGTGGTGGTGGTGGTGGTTCATATGGTGGCGGCGGCGGTGGTCGCGGTGATCGATATGGTGGTGGGCGTGGAGATTATGATTCATCACGAGATCGTCGTCGGTATTCACCACGACCATCGGATGATAGACGTGATAGGTAGATTTTTATTTAAAAATAAAAACAAAATAATTCTATGTTTTTTTCCTTGAATAGAAATGTTGATCGCCGACGACGATATTCACGATCACGTAGTCCAGTTCAAAATAATAAACGTGATTATCGTCAACGATCAAGATCAGCATCACCAAAGTAAGTTATGACGAATAAGATAATTACCGTAGCAATTATATAAGATGCTTATTTTTCTTATTTAATGCATCAGAAAAAGTATTGATGTGTAATAGTCTCTACATTTAATAATAACATCCGGTTAAAATCGAAACTCAGTTAAAGATTAATTATTTCGAATATAAACATGATTAAAATCATCTAAAACTGTCCATTAATTGCATATTATTACGCTTCATTTACCCCCATCACTTGCTAGCAATTGAATTTTTGTCACCAAAGTCAAATCATAGCAGAACCGTCAAGGGTAGCGGAAAAAGGTAACGGATTAAACCACTAGTTATCATACCCTTGAGAATTTTTTTTTATACAGATATCAATAACATTAAATTTTAATAGAAATAGTTATATATAGCTACTATTTTTTTCTTTAACTTTTAGACCACGCCGTAATCGACCTTCATCTCGAGATCGATCACCACAACAACAAGCATCGAATGTTGTTCATAGGTAATTTGTAATTACTTGAGTTTTATTTTATTTATTTTTTTATTTTTAGATATGAAGAAAGTGATGATTAATAAAATAATTCAAATAAAAAAAAAATCCAATGATTTGTTGTTTGAAATATGTAAACAGGACATAATTCAATAACATCATCAGTTTCTTTGTTGTCTTTTTTCTTTGTTTAACTAAATGATGTCTTGTGAAAAAAAAGAAAAATTTTTTTTTCCTTGTGTATTGTACCAAGTTTGACTAGTGTTTATTTGTTGTTCTAGAATTTCATCGAATTATTTTTTTCCTTTGAACCTTACAAAGAAATTTAAATGGGTCGTAGTCGAGATCGTGAAGGGTCGCTATCATCAACAGGCTCAGGTCGAACAGCACGATCAAAAAAATGGGATGGAGAAAAGGGTCATCGTATACATTTATCCGATTTACCTGTTGGTGTTACTAAACATGAAATTGAAAAATTATTTCGTCGATTTGGAGAATTAAATGAGGTATGAAAATAAATTTGAATTATTCTATAAAATTTATTATTTATTTAGATTTGGGTTGCATCTAATCCACCTTGTTTTGCATTTATTAATTTCACTCATCGATCTGATGGTGAACGAGCAATAAAAGAACTTGATGGAACGTAAGATAGATAATTTTATTTTAAAAATGATTATTAAAAATTGTGAAAGAATATTTATAGAATTTTAGCTGGTTCAAGAATTGGTTTAAGTTGGGCTCGACCACGACATTATGGTGGGCGATCACGTAATCGTAAGTGAAAATAATTTTTTTTTCAATCTTAATTTGGTTTATTTAGGTTCACCCTCACCTTCCTATCGTCGTCGTGATCGAGATTCTTATAATAGTAGTCGTCGTCCTCCTCCTCCTCGTCGCTATTCAAGGTAATTTGATTTTGTTGATTTTGTATCATTGTTTAAATATTTTTATCGTTTTCATTAATGAAAGTTATGTGTCATGAGAGATAGTTTATATTTCTGTTGCTCACTCTGCTTCTCGATATATATTTGGTTATTTTTCTAGCTGTTGATGATTAATGGTTGAAAATGATTTGACTTGGTTGGAATAGCAGCAGCAGTGTTTTTAAATGAATAATTTGGTTTTGTGCTCGATTCTTGTTTCTTTGTTTATTCTTCTCCTTCTCTTCTATTTGTGTATCTTCTACCTATTGGGTGGATCGATGTAATGTGCTTAGGCACATATTTTGGCAGAGAAAGATATAAGGTATGTTATACGAGTACATCTGATTTTATTAGGCAAGTCTATTCATAAATATCCCTTGTTGTTTTTCTCCTTTACGTTTTGTTTACGTTTGAAATATGTCTATATAAACATGTATATATTATCATATTCTTTTGTATATTATAGAAGTCGTTCACGTAGTCCATATTACCGACGTTCTGAGGGTGGTCGTCGTCGACAACGAAGTCCATATTCTCGATCACGATCACCACGTGGTAAATAGTTTGATATTTATGAAAACTCTTTTTTTTTCTATAAAATTTTATATTTTGCAAGATGATCGTCGAAATGACCGACAAAAAACATCTAGTAGACGAGAAGAACATAAACGTCGTCGATATTCTTCATCACATTCAGATCGTAGTTCTCATCATTCACCACGACGTGATAATGGGTATGAAATTTATTTCATATAGAAAATATTAATTCCTTTTTTTTCTTAGAAAACAAGCAACACGTAGTCCTAGCAATGAACGTCAACGATCAGCAACACCTAATAGTGACCGTCGTCCATCTGCTACAGATGATAATCGTGCTGAGTAAGTTCAATACATATACTTTACTATGATTTTAATAATTAATTATTTAGGATTGAAGTCGATGCACAAGATTGATAAAACATACCGGTATCATTTATCTACCTAAAAAGACACTAATCATATTTTGATTATTTGTTTTGTTCGAATTACTGTTTGTCGTAATCTTGTTTTTTTTTCTCTGTTTGTTTTTCTTTTGTGTTTGCGTGTGATTCGTCAAGGGATGATTCGGTATGTATTTATATCTGCTTCATCAAATTTAAACAAGAAAACATGTTTTGTTATTATTGCACTTAAGAAAAACAAGAATTTTTTTTTTCGTAATTATTATCATAAAAAAAAATAAAAAGATGAAGATTCTCATATTGATTTTCGATGGGACTCAATTTAAATAAATCATATATATATATAAAGCGTTTAATTAATAGAGATCTCTACTAAATCATTGAATATGTTTCTCTTTCACTTGATTCAAATTCAAAAGAATTTAAATGGTAAGTACACACTTGACACACGAAATAACAACAACTTTAAATCTTAAATAAATAAATATTCACAACACAATTTACTACAGAATGTATATATATATATAACATGAGTAATACAGATACACGACAATCTTAAAGTTCGTATCTATGATAACATAGATATTACTTAGTAACCATATTGTATGTTTTATTGTTGTGTGAAAATATAATTTACACATTTTAAATTAAATGGATATTTCCTGTAAATTAAAACGATGGCGCTACTCTATAAACACTTAGTTATTTCATTATTCATAGAGATCGGACCATGGAAAAGGAAAAAGCAAATGGTGGAGAAGAAAAGTGCCGTGCAATTCTTTCTTTTTTTTTTATTTTTATTTTTATTTCTTTTCTTCTAAGCAAAGTTATATATTCAATTCATCATAGAGTACGAGAGAAGAGAAAAAAACGATAAGAAAAGCAATTGTAATATAAAGTATGTATTGGTTGGAATGTTAACAACAGTCGAAGAAGAAAAATGGTTTGGCGTTTGTCAGACAAATGCCGATGACAACAATTCAAAAAAAAACAGAATGAGAACTTTTACATTTTCTTTCGATATCATGATTATTAACGATGTCGAAAGAAATTATAAAAACAACGTTGGCTTACACACGTATTTACTACTTTTTTATTTTTAGATGACCGATATTCTTTCACTTGAACAATTAGTTCATCTGTCTCTAGGTGATCCTGAGACAGGTGCAGTTAATTTTAATATATTAAAAACTCTTCTTCTACAAATGCTTAAAGCCATGAATTTATATAATTATAAACCAACAATGTCGGATGAAGATCAACGTACACTTGAAGAAGTACTTTCAACAACACCTGAACAATTAATTAAGGATAATAATAATAAAAAGAAATTTCAAGGAAATAAACGTGATCGAAGTTCGGATCGTCTTAATACATTAGAAGAAAAAGTATTTCGTTTTGAATCTCAATTCAATGCATTTGATCAACTACCATCAAATTCAGAATTAATTGATCGAGCTAAACAAATACCAAAAAAAACATCAGATGATGATAATCAACAAACAACAATAGAACATCATGGACCAATACTTGAAGTTTGGCAATATACACAAATGGAAAAAAGAATTGAATCAGCTGAAAATGGAATAACACGGGTATATTTATATCTATAAGAATTCAATCTTAATTACTTACATATATAAATATCATTTTAGCTTGCTTCATTACTTCAAGATCTTTTATCCGATATGAATGATTTGAAAGATTCAAATGAAACAATGAAACATAACACAGATGAACTTAAAAATCTAGTTGATACATTAAATCAAGAGAAAAATGATTGGGTATATTTATTTATCAATTTTTTTGCATAATCAATTTTTATTTTTTTTTCAAGGCCAAAAAATCTGATATTGAAAATTTAGATGAAAAAATTCGTAATTTAGAAAATTTACTTGTAAGATATTTTATTTTTTTTTGATAATTATTTTGTATTCACAAATTCTAGTCATCATTACGAGATCAAACTAATGATTTAACAAAAGAAAAATCTAATATGAATTCAATGTCGGATTTTATTACATGGGATCAATTAGAAAATGCACTTCGTGGTATTCGAGAATCAATAGAAAAATCATCAAATAATACAGCTGATGCTACAAGTTCTGTACAATTAATTGAAGGACAAAATAATACAGTAAGTCAATTTATTATTAAAATAAAATCTAAGCGCAAAATCTTCTATTTCGGTTATTTAAACAATGAAAGTCTGATGGTTTCTTTTTTTTTCATTTAATTAAAATTAATAATAATTTTTATTCATATAGAATCTTGATGATATTCTAAAACAACTTGGAACATTAAATGATCGACATGAACAATTACGAACATCAGTCGATGAACTTGAAGTACGATAAAATAGGAAGAAGTTCTAAATATTTTAATGTATTTTTTTATTCTAGAAAAAAAAACTTAATCGAGAAGAATTTGATGCGTTTAAGAATCAACAAAATGATTTATTTGATCGTCTTGCTGCATTGGAAAAAGATATTGATAGTTTTCCATCACAGGGAACTAACGTAAGTTATATAGTGTATATCATATCGTGAAATTGCAGCATAATACGAATAAAATTTCCTAACGAATCATGCTGGTCTTCACGATATGATTATACACCTTGTAGAAATTTATGAGTATGTCACAATGTATGTTAGAGATAGAAATGAATGAATGTGATCTATCTGAGATTAAATGAGAGAGAAAAAAAAGTTGAGAGAATAATATTACCTTTTTAAACGCGAGAGAGAGAATGATAGTGCGCATAGCACGGAGAAAATAGTTTTATCATTATAATCATTGTGTTGCTTAGTTGAACCAATAATAAATATGGTGACATAGCTTAGATAAGAGAGGTACGCCAGATGTTCTTATATTTTTAGTTAATGTCAAACATTCACAATATTCGGGAAAAGTGCGTTTTTTTTGCTTCAATCTATGCACATTATCATAATAACATAACTAATCATTATTTACCAACTAATTGGAAAATATTAGGTGTTCATTTACGTTATATATTTTATCAAATACGTACGTTTAATGAACCTAATATATGTTTATTTCTCACGAGGTGTGTGTGTGTATGTGTGTACATATAATAAAAATAAAATGAATATAATAGAGAGTTTCAATCAATCAAAAATTTATTTGAATTAATCATTGAAATTTTATTTACAAATACATCGACTAATCATGATAATAATTTTGAATATGTAAAATATCTTAAATTCTATTATCGTGTTTTTCTTCTTCTATTCATTTTGATCATAGAATACTTCTGATACAGCATCATCTGTACGTGAAATAAATCCCGAAGGTTCTTCACAGGTAGTTTTAAAAAAAATATTTGCTTTATTCCAGAAGAAAAAGTTCTCATTTTTTTTTGTCTAGTTACGAACGAATTCTTCCAGTGATTTATCCGATATTCGGACAGCTTTAAAACATTTACGAGATGAATTAGATCGACTCAAACGACAAATACAAGATTTATTAAATAAAGGAAATTTATCTACAGAAGATATTGATGTAAGTTTTACATTTTAAATACAAGATTGATAATGACAGATCAAATATTATTTTACTAGGCTTTGAAAAAATTAATTCAACAATTAGATCAAACAAAAACTGACAAAACCTATGTTAATAATGAACTTGATAAAGTAAATATATATAACAAAAGAAATATCTTCAATTATAATTTTTTTTTCTCAGAAAGCAGACAAACGAGATATTGATAATCGAGTACTGAAAAAAGATTTCAATAGTGCTTGTAATGATTTATCTCAAAAAATAAATGATTGTTTACAACGATATCATGTTCATGTATGATAATAACCCATTTATTCTTTTTCATATTCAAATAAATAATTTTTATTTAAGGATGATAATCAAATAAGAGACTTACAGAAAATCAATCGTGATATTAATGAAAAATTAGATCGTGCTGAATTAGATGCATTACGTGATTATATGGATAAACAAATGAAAAAATTAAAAAGATTAGCAGTAAGTTTTATGATTCAATATAATTATTTATTTTTTTTACTATGCACAAATAAAGTGAGAGAGATAATTAGATTAATTTTCTTTTTGTTCGAATATTTGTTGTATGCATGTATGTGATTGTTTCTGTATTTATGAAGAAAGAGCAGCAGCAACAGACACAACAGCAACATGTTCATGTTATGTCAGAAGATGAGGCCGCCGGTCTACGAAAACAGCTCATTCGTTTTCATTGCATCAGCTGCGATCGTCCCATTGACGTTCAACCGCACTCGTTCGTGTTGTTCTCTATTTATTCACTATAGTATAATTTCATGTTTCTAGACAACAACCGAGTCTACCCATAAATCAGGGCATGCGTCCTATCCAGTCTCCCCGACCGTATACAACATACGAACTAGACCAAATACGACAATTTCAAAAGAGGTTAAATTATTTAAAATAATACGAAAAAAACAAATTCTAATTATATCTATATTAAACATTTTAGTCAACAGTTTAGTAATGAATTTAGTGTTGGTAGTGCAACAGATGTTTATGCAACTATGCGACAATGTGGTGGTTCACACACAACAACATTACCATTTAAACGACAAATAAAAACACAGTAAATATATTTTGTCTATCAGAATAATTATATAGCAAAATATTTTATATTTTAAGACCAGCTGTACCTGAAGAAACATTACTTTCAAGGTAAATATAATATTTAAGAATTTGTTTTGACTAAAAAATTATTTTATTTCCACGTATAGAAATGAAGTTGATATTAAAGGCCAAGATGGTATGATATATAAAGGTAGAATTTCTGTGGATAAATTACCATCTGTTGATTTGCATAAAAAAAATTCTGTTGTTTTACTTGCACCACCACCATTACTGAGATCTCGTTCGGATTCTCACCCACTACCTTCCCCTCATCAACATCAACGTGATTCATTTGGTAACGATCAAGAACGAAATAGTTTATCACCTACAATTCCTAATCTTGAACCAATTATACCTCGAGAAACATCATTTACTTAAAAAAAATATTTATTTTTGACTACATATTTTTTTTTGTTTTATTTCACTATTGTCTTTTGCTTTTTTCATCTTATATGCAATCATTTCTCTGCTTATCATACTTTCTTTTTTTTTTGCACTATTACCTTCTATTTTTTTTATACTCTTATTGTCTCACTTGTATATCTATTTATGCGCGATGGTTAAAAGAATTTTTTCAAATATCAATCTTTTTTATTAGAATTAAAACATGTATGCACCGTTGAACAGCAAATATTAAGAGATTCACAAGCATTTTCATTATTAAAAAACAAACCAAAGTTTCAAATTGAAACAATTTTTAATTGGAATGAAATTACTATAGAAGATCTATTAGAAATAAATCAAATTAATTTAAATGATGTATTTGAAGAATACATAAAGTATATTTGTAAAAAAAAATCATGTCATCATCAAAATGAAACTAAGCAGAATAGAGAAGTAGAAAAACAAACAAGTGTTGTAAAGTTAGATGAATCTGAAAGTAATTATATAAAATTGTCTTCCATTAACCCAACAATCAAATCAAATAGATATGAGTGGATTGCAACTTTTTGGTATAATTGAGATTTTAGGTGTATTTCGCTAATAGGTTTTGTTTGCCTCGACCGATGTCAACGATTTTTTTATGTTATATAGCTTCGAACACTTGACCACCGTGCAAAATTTCAGCTCATTAGCTCATATTATTGCTGAGCTATGAAAAGTTCATAATGTGTGCTAAGAAAAGGAAATTTTTCGACTATAAAGAGGCAAGAGGAAAAGGAGATAAATCACGAATTTTGTGCAGTTTTTGGCACTCTATCGAAATATGCAACTGATTTTCATTAGTTCGTTCATCTATCGTTCACATTGTTTAACAGACACTTATACGTTTTTGTGTAGAGTGACGATTTGAAAACTGTCTGCTTTATAACTCTTGAAAGGGTCGTCAAATTCAGCTCAAATTTTTAGAGAATGTGTAAAACAAAAAGTTGTATTAGTGGTAAATATCTCAGCATTTCATTCCGTACTCTTCAGGAGAAATTTATATTATACAGGAAAATGTAGAGTGACGTTTTTATGAAAAAGAATGTGATGACACTTTTTCGTAGATATATCTTCTTGATTCCATTCAGAAATGTTCTTTTCAGGCACATTCAACTCAGCAAAGTATATTGAACATATCGGTATACTATGAGAATTTCCCAGCTGCTGGCTTCTCTTCTAAAACTGATTAAATAACTTGAAAGTCTGTGCTATAAAATATACATTTTACATTGAGTTTAGTAGAAAATGACCAATGTACTGCGTATCTCGCTTATTATGCAGTAAAGTTTTGGGAATTCTTTTGTGCATAATACAGGCGTAGAGTATAGCAAAATGCACTACTAAAAAGTTGCTTAGGCTAACTTTCAGTTTTTGGTGTCGATTGTACCAAAAAGTTGCAATTCACTCATATACAGTAAAGCCTCTCTATGCACGCGCCTGATGAACCGATTGGTTATTTGCTGGCAATGAGCTCCTATATAAGGGCATTTCCGCAAAGTGGGCGATTTAAAAAAAAAGCTCCATCTCTTGTTTCAGCATCCCTGGTCTAAATAAACTTTTATTCTATCCTATTTTCAGCAAATGAAGATTCTATTCGTTCGTTATCTGAACATAATTCAGAATTGAATGTTGATCAACCAATAAATGAAATAACATATCATCATTCATCATCTTCTTCATTAACACTCGATATTGAACAGACAAATAATCTTCTAGAAAATAATCCTATTGTATATGAGAATGAATCAATAATGTTAAGTTCTATACTTACTGATATACTTAATGATCGGCTAACTACCGACACATTAGCAGGAAATAATCCATTATCATCTGACAGAAACAATCGAAGATCATCATTCAAACTTGATAAAACTACATCTATACATTCTTTATCAACAAGTTTTAATAAACAATCAAATGATTTTATATTTGAAAAAACTACAGCAAGAAATTATAATTTAGGAAAACATGAAAATTGGATACATAATGCAACTATATCGTATATTCATCCATTTAATGATTATATACATCAACGAAGAAATAAAAACTTGATGTGCTAATATATAGAGAGAGAAAGTAAATTGATTTGTGATCAACATTCAAACAATAAACATAATTTTTTGTTTTTTTTTCGTTAAGAAAATAGTAAGAACAATTAAATCACTTATCGTACTTGAAACAATCAATGATCGAAGATCATATGCAATAAACTTTTGTCTATGTAATTCAATATAAATAATTCATTATTTTTTCACACTTTTACACGACTCATTCGCACTTGTGTTGTTCGTTAAATGATATTTCTTTCGTTTCGACATAATCATTCAATTCATTCATTCATTCATTGTTCTCTACCATTATTTTTGTTTTGTGTGTCATAAAATAAAATTTTATATTTAAATAAACTCTTCAATTCGTCATCAATGTCATGTCAATCAAATTGTCGCATTCGTTTCTCTTGAGGTGACATAAGATTTTCTCAAGGAAATGAACAATAGTCTATATCATCTTATTCACATTATATAAAATCAAGAGGCATGTCTCGTGCCTTAAGTTGTGTATGACATAATCGAATGTAACTTTTATATATCGTCATCTGTAAGTGATGATCATTTGAATGTATATATGCACTTAGTCAACCAAATATTTATTTAGTTAATCATATGCATAATCTTTTGATCTTCAATTGTTTTTTATTCTTACTTATTCGATTGGTGAACAATAACAAATCGAGCCAATAGAGAAAAAAAAAGAATTTCAACAAGAAAGATGACCTACCATCTGTTAACGATTCATATGTGAAAAACTTCAAACAAGAAGAGCCACTGTATGCTTGTCAATCTGTCGGAGATATCTAGATTTATAACAGAAAAAAGAATTAATCAAATCATATGAACCGTTGACAAACTAGCGTATGTTTATTTTAATCAACTCTTATTATCATAATGATCAAAGTAAATAATAATTTACAAGCGAATGAGTAAATATACATATATATGATGATTTTAATTACACTAATCTCGCATATCAAGACGATAAGAAAAGTTTCAGTATCATATAATCAGCTATCTAGTTGATCCATTATTCCATTAAAATTATCAATTGCTTTCTTTACATCTTGTGTAATACTTGAATGTCCCTAAAGGGAAATTTTTCCGACAAGTAAAATAAAAAATATCTCTCTGCACGATAGTCCTTGAATGTTTTTTTTTATTTCAAGAGCGTTATCATTTGTTTTAACCAAAAGAACAAAATCGAAATTTTTTTAAAAAAAAAGAAGAAGAAGAAAACGTTGTAAAGGAAGAATATTAATATTATCCATTCGATGGTTACTACTTCCGCCTTTTGATGCCATATATTGCATCTGATGCAATCAATACATAGATCAATATCTTCTCACATTATGAACGCGTGTGAGTAGCACTTAAAAGTGATCGGTTAAAGTATAAAAAGATGATGATGATGATGATGATGATGTACAGAAAACAAGCAACAGTTGTCGTTTGACACATTGTATCAGTCGAATGCATCGTTGAACAAGATTGGAAAGTAGGTGTGAGGAATCTTTCCAGTCGATCGAGAACAAAAAAAAGGAGGAGAAGACAAGCTGTCACGAGCACAAGTGTTCAGATACTTGACCTAACGTATTTTTGTATGATCTATTCCGAGATGCATCATCTAACATGTGACAGTCAATAAAAAAAAGAAATAACGGCGGCAATACTTTTCTTTTCGAGTCATATATATATAGAGGAAAATGATCTACTCATTTGTCTTATTTAGTATACTCACGCAAACTAGAGTAAGTAACCTTAATAGACTTTGCCTATGGGCTATAGCGGCATTTATTTTCTTCTTTTTTTTCTCTAAAATCAAGTGAATTAACGAACATTTTAACACTATGTTGATAAAGACAAAAAAATAAAAAATAAAGTTGATGGGAGGTGTTCAGAAAAGTCTCAATTTCCTTTTTTTCCGCCTACACCTTTTCTCGAAAGGCGTGTCTTCTCATTTTCATTTTTTTTTGTCTGCCAGTCAATACAATTAGTTTCGCATGTATACACCTTTCAATGATGAGATTTCGATTCATTTATACGAATCAATCATTCGCCATTCGAGTGCTGTGTTAATGATACGTTGGACAGCAGAAAGAAAGAAACAGCAGCATTGCTAATGAGAGAACGGAAAGAAAGGAAGAAAAAAAAAGTCCAACGTTCGAACGGCGGAAAACATGGGTCATTCGTTGAATGTTCATTACTTGAAATGAATTGATATTTTTTTGTTTGTTTGTTTGTCTCTATTAATATATAATATCTATAGGAATGAAACTTCGTTCACACGAAATCCTTTCGACGAATAAAACTCCTATACGAACAACAAATCCTTCACGTTTTAAACAATTATTTCAACGGAAAAATTTATTTAAAAAAAAATTTCAACAACAACAACCACATCAACATGGCCTTATCCATACAATTCCACATTATGTTCGAAAAAGTATATTTCGTTTTCTACTTGAAGTGAAATCACCTACGCCTTCTCCTCCGCCTCCTTCACAAACACATCGTCAACAACCATTAATGGGTATTCAAGCATTAAAAACTAAAAAACAATATACAGATCATCAACCAAAACGATCATTACGACTAAAGTAAGAACATAAAAAACAAAAACTTTTTTTTGTTAATATCTAACGGCTAAATTTTGTTTTTCTAGACAACAACAAATTATTATTAATAAATCTTTCGAAGATTATCAACAACAACAGCAACAAAACAATTATGATATGACTATTTTACATATGAATATCGATGATGCTGACGATGATGATGAAGATGATGATAGTTTAATATTTGCTATTAAAACGAGTACTAATCAAAAGAAACAAATTCCACAATGGGCAAGAAGTAAGTTTATAAATAATTTCCTTTTTTTTTCAACTAACTTTTTTTCTCTGTAGAAAATGAATTACAAATTGCAATATGTAATCAATTATATTTTCATCGAAATCCAAGTGAAATATTTGGTAATACAATTGATTGTTCACCAACACATCTACGTACAATACTTCATTCAATGTTGCCTAATGTTGATTTATTTGATGATAGTCTTCTACATCAATCATTAAACAATAGTAACAAATCTCTATTGATTTAAAACTCCTTTTTTTGTCTCTGTGTTTTCAGTGTTTCTTTTTTTGATTGTTATGTAAATATACATATATATTGAAGAAGAAAAAGACAAAATCAATGATAGACTTTTTGATTTTATTCACACATTTTTCTCTATTTACCGTAATGGCGGCATATTGAATGAACACGCCTTTTACGCCATCAGAGAAAAAACAATAACAAAAAAATTTTCCCAATGTTTCATCAGACAATAAGTTACACAAAATTGATTTTAAATATCCATTAGATGTGCAAACTTTAATCGTGTGAATAAATAGCAGACTAATAGTGAGTGATCATCGTATCCCTTTGGCAGAAATAGTATGCATCATTGAAGTTTGATCACTTCATCATTGTTAAACTTGATTGATCTATTGTGAAAAAGAAAAAAGAAATATAACCGTTTTTGTAATTCAATTAAATTAATGTTCTGTATTCGTCTTTTTTTTCGAATTTTATTCTCATGGAAACCTTATGTTAAAATAGTACACACGTGTATAGAAGAGAAATGATCAATATTTGTTACAGATTTTGTCAAGTATGTATGTATACTCTCTTGAATGTATAATTCTCATTAAGGAAGCCAAGACAAAACAAGTGAGTGTGAGATTTTTCACCATCGGTTACTGTTTAATCATAATAAATTATTAAATAAGTTTAATTTAAAATTATTGCGGTATATTCATTGATGTTTGATATTGTCAACTGAAGTGTACTTGATCGATATTTATTTTGCTGGAAAAAAAGAAACATTTTGATCTAAACGATCTTATTGATATCACAAAAAAAAATAAATAATATTCAAAAATAGGTTTCAGTCATGAGGACTAGTGAACTAATACTAATCATTAACGATACATCTATATAAAAATAGATAATATTGTAGTACACAATTACAAAATTAATTTCTCTTATCAATATTTAATGAAAATGTCAATAAGTATATTTCATTCTGAATGAGTCAAGTATGTTCTCGTCTTACTACAAAGCAGAAGTAGCCCGCCTATAATCTCTAAGAAAAACAGTTGTTCTGATCCATAACTGTTTCTATCAATATTATGAAAACGTTGAGAAAGGAAAGTTTTTTTTAACTATCTTTTTCGTATAATATTTTTTATCTTATATTGAATACACATAAAATACTTTATTTTAAATCTCTTGTATTTGTCAATAATGTTATATTTATTCTTAACACACATCGATATTTTCCTTTTATCATACCGGAATATATTTAAATCAAACAAAGTGGATTAATGTCACATTAATTTATACATCTTGTATGTTCTTTTTCAATTATCATTGGTATTCATTCTGATAGCTATTTATTAATGGAAATATATCACCATGAAGAATATCCATATATTAGTTATGGTCTTTTTGATTCCGCATAATATGTATATCCAATAGAACAAGTTGGTTTCATGCAAAGAGAAAAGAAAAGAAAAAAACACGATTCAGCATAGGTGTATGTCTGAGTCATATTTGAAAAATAAAATAAATTAAAGAAAAAAAAGGTTTGGTCCCTATGAGGATCGAACTCATGACCTCCGCGTTATTAGCACGGCGCTCTAACCAGCTGAGCTAAGGGACCATGTTGATGTCCTTCGGAAAAATCTAAATAGTTCTTGTCAGATTACATTCTCATATAATTGAAATAAAAATAAATGTTAACTTATCGTTTATATGAATATATTCAAAGTATCGAATAACTATTTATGCGTTATATATATTTATGTTTATTGTAATATCAAAAGAAAAATATATTAATAGATTAGGATTTTAATTGAGACCAAAAAGTTTGATGAATCTGAGCAGCTTCATCTTCAAGAATAGGACCAATTACAGTAAACTGTGGTGCTGGTAGAAATGGTCGACAAGACAAAAGACCATCGAAACCTGCATATTCCTACAAAAAAAATATTATAAAAGTTAGTATTAATTTTAAATAATAGAGGAATTCAATATTTTTGACCTTTCTACAGATTTTTTACGATAAGAAGTTGATTTTATCTAATAATTTGCTTCTATGAAATACAAAATCTAAATTCTCTCTTTTAGTGCGGTATAATTTCTTTTTAATTAACTACTTACTCCTAATGTTTCATTTTTAAGAGCATAAACTAACTGTCGAATACCACTCCAACGAAAAGCACCTGTACACATTAAACATGGTTCACAACTAGTATATAATGTGCATTGTTCAAGCATGTCTCGATTAAATTTTTGTGTAGCCATACTAATAAGATTTAATTCAGCATGATGAGTTACATCTGTAACAGGTTCACCACATGTATTTTCAGCTGTAAGTAAAACTTGTCCATCTTTTGAAACAAGGCATGCACCAAATGGATGATTACCATGTTCGACAGCAGATACAGAGAGTTCAATAGCTTGACGAATAAATGGTATATGGATATTATCACTCATGGGTAGTGACATTGTTTCTTTTTCAATGAAAATAAATACACAACCAGTTTATCTGATACGATGTAGATATGTGTTTATAGTGAGAGACACTTCATAGCTACCCCATACGAGTATGTTATATTATCGTATAATATAATCTTATCAATAAATTACTTTATCGATAACTGATAAAATAACTATGTATTATTCTTTCTTGTACATATATTAAAATATAAAAATAAATATTAGTATAAAAAGATGTCACTGTTATTTAACTTCGTTCTCTCTCTGTCAAAGTAAAATGTTTTTGTTGGATAGTATAACACCAATTAGTTTTATGCTTGTATCATAATCCTGTACACTAGATTGATTTATCGAAAAAAAATTTCTTTTCGTTCGAATTCACGGTCATACAGTATGTTCTTGCGACATGTTTTGCTAAATGTAAAATCGACTATTCGTCTAAGTCCTCAAGTAATATTTTAATTCTTTTAAAAGCCAATTTATTTGTTTATTTTATATCTATAGACAATTGATAGGCTTATTCGTCGTTCATTAGCAGGTCATGCGAAAAATTCCAGTTCCCAAAAAATTTCTTTGGAAGATAAAAATAGCGAAACGGACGGAAAAACTGTTCAACCAATTATTGAAACAAAAGGTGTTCGAAAAGAACGTGAAAAAGCTGATTTTGAACGATTATCAGTTGTTGAAAGAATAACGAAAAAATATCTTCCATCTCATCTTAATTCAATTGTTATTTTTGTAAATAATTCTTTTTCTAATTTAATTTAATTTTGTTTTTAAAATATATTTCCATTAGGCCATTGTTGGTATTGGTTATGTTATTTATGAGCAAGTAAAAAATGATTTTGAAATTAAATATACATTCCGCTTTGGTTCATGTCCAAATTTTAAATTTCCTGAAGATCAATTACTTGAACGAAAAGAATTATTAGATACTCTTACATCGATTGTTACACCTGTTCCCGATAAACTTGTTTCATCATATTATATTGTAGTTGGTGATCATGGTACAGGGTAAGATTTAACAAAGAATTTTTCAATTTTCTTTACGTGTATTTATATAGAAAAACTACATTGATTCGTCAAGCAGCACGAAAAGCTGGTGGAGGTGTTATTTATGTTGATGGTATTTTTTTAACTTCTATATGAAAAAAAAACAGAATTTAATTTTATTATTGTTTCTAGTTCCATCTAATGTTGAAAAATTTGGTGCTTCTTTTGCTCGTGCAATACGATTTAATTTCAAGGAACATCTTCGTTTATCAACATGGATTGAATCAAAAATGTTTGGTTCACCACCTGATGAAGGTTGATATCAATTTACATTCTTCTTCTTTCAATGAAATTATTATTTTTTAGGCAAAGAAGCAAGTTGGGAACGTGTATTAATGTCATTTCGAAAATATGCACATCATTATAGGAAGAAACATGGTCGTGTACCTGTATTAATCTTTGATAATTGTGATTCACTTGCAAAAAAAGATCAAAAAATGCTTGAAGCATTACAAGATTCAGCAAAAACAGCAATTGATGATTCGCAATGGATTACAGTATTTGTTGCATCAATTGGAGAAACACCAGAACAAATGGAAGGTTTGTCATTGATTTCTCCCATATAGAGTAACGAAATAGTTGGAAACATAATTTTTTCTTCCTGACTCATCGTTATTATTACATTCATCAATATAAAGAGATATTCTTATTTTTAGGTCGAAGTAGTATTACTCGTGCTTCGTCATTTATTCAAATCACCGATTTATCGGAAGAAGAAGCTATGACTTATTTAACAGAAAAACGGCATTTATCAAAAGATTTGGCACACGATTTGTATGCTTTATATGGAGGACGTCTAAAAAGTTTACAAAAAGCTGCAACTAAAATTGATCATGGTTTATCATTTTCTAGTATGTAAAAATCATATATTTATTAGAAATATTCTTTGATTTTTATTGATTTTATTTAGATATTCGTACAGCAAATTTAAATGACATTAGACGTCGATTAGAAAAAATCAGATGTCGAGCAACGACTCAAGAAGAAGTATTTATTTTCAATGTTCTTTGTGGTTTATTACATAAATCTGAATTAACTGTTGATGAATTAATTCATATGGAAGAAGATGTTAGTATAAGACAGAAAGTTTTAGAAGAACTTTGTCATGAAACAATTCTTACCCGTACTGTTTCAAGCGGTGCATATATATTCCATGGACAATCAGCAAAAGTTTGCGTTGAAGAATTTTATAAAGAAAAAAAATGTTTCCGATGCAAATCGATAAAAGATATGCTATTCTAAAAACATTCGTTTATTTTTAACTTTCTTTTTTTTTATATGATATTTATATGCAATATTTTGTGAATTTTATCATTATAAGCAGATGTATCGATTAGGAGAATAGAACAATAATAATCAAGCAATTAAAAATAGCATTGATCTGAATCTCATCTGTAATTGAATAAATAATTTTAATACAAATATATGTTTTGATTGATACTTGCACTGTCAACAAATGAGTTTTTAATCTTCAACGGTTTTTATGGGTTTAACAAGACCCACAACGGTGTTTTTCTATTTAAAGATCTATTCTTTTCGGAACCATTTTTCTTCTAACGATGCACAAGTGCCATATCAATTTTCATACAAAAGTCTTATTAGTGAAATGTGGGCTGATATGGACCTCTTAGTATCTTTTGTGTTTGTAGAGAATTCAATGAATATGTGTGAATGCATGATTTGTGGGATTGTTTCCTATGAAGTTTACTTTAATGTTTATTGGTTTTATCCTTTCTTGTCATATACATAAAACAACACAGGCGGCGCGCCCCGATATGCCTGAGGAAGTACTTGCTTCCCCTGAAGAATCGACTTTGTGTCGCCCATGTATAACGACATTCCCTATCCATACTATAATCATATATATTGTTCACTCGGTAAGCTTTTAAAGCCGTAATTTCGACACAATTTTTCTTCAAAAGCTTTTTAAAAAGGCGATCGTTTTCATACATTACAATTACACTAATGTATCCGTTCTTCGATAAACATCATATCTAGCACAAAATAGACCAAAAAAATCAAGTTCTTTTAACTCATTTACATGTGATGTCCCACTAGCCCTACAAGGTACTATCATTGACAATGACATAGTTTGATTGATACTGATAAAAATTTATAAAACACGTGTATAAATCGATCATTTATTATATTCTATGTAAAATCGTGTATGAACTTATTTTCATTTCTATGATGATAGATGACGACATAGGATTATTATCTTTTCTTTATCCAACGATTTGCGGGTATTTACTAGACAGTGAAGAGAAAGAAATTTCGACGTCCACAGTGAGAAAGACTAAATTGAAGTGGAAAATATATATGAATAGATATATATAGTGATAAAGAAAACACAATAAACAAACACGCACACGTACATATTCGACACGGTATTTTGCTCTTTGTAATCTATTTAAACAAAACAAATAACAAGTAAATTTTGCTATACAAAAGAAAAATTGTACAAAAAAATCAATTTTAATTTTATTTAAAGGATGATGTCAACAGAATCCCAAGCACAAAATAAACAACAGCAGCCAACAACATACGATGAGCGTGTATATAATGAACGTATTCGTCAATTATTTGATTCGATTGATTCAGCTTCAATTTCTCATTCACCATTACCACCAAATGATGATATTGGACAAATGACATCGATTGTTGATGCTCTTTTTCCTGAACAAGCTTCACTCTATCAACAACAAAAACAACGTGATCAACGCCATTCATCAACAAATGATCTTACAACAGCTTTTGAGCGACTTCCATTATGGAGCACTAATACCACTAATAATATTACTAATAACAATAGTTCAGCATCAGCATTTTGTGGTGGTTCAACAAATGGTTCATCTGCATTTGCTAATCGACGTCAAGGAAAATTACATAGTTCAACACGTTCACTACGTAATGCTAATTATCAACAACAACAACAACAACCACAACATCACTATCGACCACCACCACTTACTCGACCTCGTTTTACTTCATCGATGATACGTTTACAATCAGCTGCTGCAACGTAAATTTTTATTCCAATTTTCTTTTAATAAATTAATTGCATCTTTTTTTTATATTTCAGAACGATTCCTGCTGCTGCTACTACTCCTAATAATACAAATGGTCTTCAACGATCATCATCAACACTTTCAAATAATAATAGTACAAATAGTGCAACTGATTATCAACCTCGTTTTGCCAGTCGTCTTTCAAGTAGTCGATTACCAACGGCTGCACCACCTGTTGGATCTCATGATCAAATTGTAGGCACTAGTACTACAATAGATCCAATAGCTTCATCAACTAATCTTGGTGTTATGGGTCAACCAACATCAGCTGCTGCTGTACTTGCTCGCAGTACATCATCAACAAATGCTCAACCGCAGCAATTTGTTACTATGACACAAACAACAACAACAACATTTTGCTATGTACCTGCTTCTGGTTCACTTGCTTATAATAATGTATCGGGTACAAATCGAAGTACAACTGTGTCTCATCATTAACAAAAAAAAAAAGAAAAAACTTCGTTCGTTTGGTAAAATCTTATTTTAAACATGTCGTAGTTGTCTAAGACACATGTTTATTTATATACATGTATATATATATACATATCTGTATCTTATTTATGGTTTACTTGTGTACGTATGCAGTTTTTCTCCATAATTTTTTGGATTTTGGATCTATCGATCGTTAGTTTTTTTTCTGTTGTATTTGTCGAACAATTTCATGCACAGAAATATTTATTTATTTATTTATTTATTTATTGTCTTATTCTTTTTTTGTGTTAACTGTTCTTTCTCTTTGTCCTTCTCTTCTTCCTGATACACAGTTGTCTTTGCAACGAAAGCAAAGAATAAATTTGCTCAATAAAAGTTTATGGGAATGCACAAACTATTTACAAATCTTCTCACTTATAATAGAGTAGATAGAAAACTTTCGTTTCATCAATCATTCATTCTTAATCAAATTGTATTTTTGGTATAACTTTGCATAGAAACACAATAGGGAAGCTATGATTTTGATCATCGAGTACGTTGTTTTTCAAACAGCCTTCAACATGTGATTCGATGAGTCTTCATCTACACTCTCGTCACCATTGAATACTACAACTTTTCATCATCTTTCTACGAAAAGTGATATTGAAAAAATACGATTTGCAGTTATTTTGTTGTTGGTAGTATTTTCGGTAGACAGAGATGCAACGAATAAAAAGAATACGATGTTAAATGAATGTATTATTTCCAATCGCGCTTATAATGATAATAAACATTTTTGCCTGCAAATAAATGGCATCTCTGTGTACTATATGAAGATATGTATACATAGGTAATTCTACTGCGTATATATGGGATGCTCACATCGACTTTATCTAAATAATTTGATAAATTTTGAATTCCTTCTATATAAAAATTTCCGAGAAATCTTTTTTTCTTTCAATTAGTAAATTGGCGATGCTCTACAAGGTTCAACAGGTGGAAATTTGTTTGAAAAAAGTATCAGATACAATAGAACCTCGCTTAGATGGGCACCTACAGGACATGACCAACATTCAAATGATGATCATAGTTTTAATGTAAACATATATATGCTAGTACGACCATATGAAATAAATATTATTGTAATTTGCATGCTCTCATTGAAATTATATATTTTATCTTTTTCAAATCAATATTCGCGCATTGAAACAAAAAGAAATGTTTTTCATTTCATAAAGAAAGAACAAGATAATATCATATATAAATGTATAACAAAACAGAGAGCGAGCAAGAACGCACAATATTCTATAGAAATAGTTTTCATTTTTTTCTGCAAAAAAAAAACAAAAGAAAGTTTTTAAGTTCTACAGAAACAATTCACATAAGACACATACACATACACACACACACACATACATAGACAACACAGAGATTGAATATAACATAGAAACATAGAAGAAGAAGAAGAACAACAAACAATAATAAACCAAATAATATGTAATTTAATGTCGAATCAGAAATTTAATGATAGATACTTCTTGAGTAAAAAATAATGAGATTCGAATGAAAGTTAATTATTGAACAAATAAATAAACAATGGAAGAAAGCGCATGATGACTATGATTATTAAACAAGAAAAAAAACAACTGAATATTATCGATGATGTTCCATACTCATATTTTCTTCATCAATATCATCAAGTGTCAAATCAAGTATATCATCATTGTCATCTATTTTTAATGATAATTCATGAATTATTTCTTTAACACGACGTTGATAAATTTCATTTTCTTTTTTATTCTTTAAATAACGTCGTAATATACTTGATGTTGTTTCATCTTGATGATATGTCTTTTTATATAATTCATCAATAGCTGCTATACATTCAATTAAATCACGTTGTGTATATGATGTTATTTGTATATGATAATTTGTCCAAATTGCATCTTGATTTAAAAGACGATAAGCATATGATAAACAAGCAGCTGCTATCATCGATGAACGGTAAGATGAAAATGGACGATCTTGTAAAAGTGATAATGTACATAGATAATTTGCTAACATAGTTAAACATTTATATTCATTATCATTATCATTTGTTGAAAGTTGTGGTTTAAGATATGTTAAATAGTATTGCAGGAATGTATAACAAGTCGGTCCCGATAACGAAAAATTAAGCATCTAAATAACGGAATATTTTATAATAGAATAAAAATAATCAATACTCAGTGATTTATCTAGAGGGACGGCAGGGATGACATTGCCCTTCCGAAAATTACAGTTTTGTGCTTATACTATGTATTTTTCCTCCATAAATTAGGCTTTCGCCCTCCCGGAAATCGCTATTGCACTCTCGAAAGAAAAAACCTAGAGAAAACACTGTCAATACTAGAACTTCGTCAGGAATTAGTAAGATTCATTTGTTTGTGTTTATTTAGTTTCCTTCAACTGAACGACTTCTCATTAAAATTTCAACAAAAAAAGTGTGCAGTATATTTTAACCAATCTATTACATTCGTTTTATTACTATGTAAAAAAACTAAACTTACTTTCATAATAATTTGTTCCATACGAAGTATATGTTTTGTTTCGTATGTATTATCCGTAATGAATGAAAATTCATCCAATGCCGGTGGATACATTTCTTCATATTTTGATGCTACATACATGCAAGTTGTACCTATAGAAGACAAAATAGAATGGTAGATTTACAATGAAATACGAACCAAGTAATTGAAGTTTTGATCGTGTAACATTAACTGTTGATAAAAACCGATCAACATATTGTACACAAAGGAAAAGTGTTTCATCATTTAGTTTATATTCGTCAGCTACTTCAATAAGCCAATCAATGAGAATTGAACGCATTGCAGAATTTATGTCCGATTGATGTTCCATAAAGTTTAACTCTTCAATTACAAATAAACATAGTTAGAAAATATATACTTGTCAATTTTTAAGAAGTATTTACTAGGTGCATAAATAGGTTCTACTGCTTTTAAATGTTCAAATATTGATTGACGATAATCGGGTCTAAATATAAAATAATTCATGATTAATAATGATAGTAGTTTGATAGTTTTGTATTCAATAAAATAGTTATGAAGCGTTTTTACATGACATCCAAGGGGGAACAAACTGATTTCCTGATTTCTCATTTCATTTTCGTGATTTCTAGTATGGAAATCAGTTGAGGATGTATGTAGGTGTGAGTATGGGTGGGGGTATAGGTGCAGGTAGGTGTCCGTATCAGTGTGGATACTGTATTCGCCTGGCATCCACACTCATTTACACCCCACACCCTCTTGATTTCTCATGGTTTCTACTTGATTTCTTGTATGGAAATCACTTTGTTCTCCCTTGATGAATCTTATTTTAAGTCTTATAGACCATATGTCAGTCATGGTATTAACAAAAACAACCCATTAAGGATTCGCCTTTATGCTGTAATAAATTCTCATTATAATATTAGATTCTGTTACTTACAACTCGTATAATTCTTCTTCGAGTTGTTCACGAGTTTTATTTTCTTGAGAAACTGTTTGTTTTTGTATAATAACAATATTTGCTTTATTAATAGTTGCAACCATTGGTGAAATAAGCATTTGATTTTCATCATGATTGTCTTTGAAATGTTTTTTTATTGAACGTGTTGCAGTAAGAATTGGTCGGGAATTAATTGATATAAGATTTTCTTGTTGTTGATATAATGAATTTGAACCTAATTTCGGTTTATTTGTAATTAATGCTTTATCGGATGATACATCTTTAAGGGGCAATCGATTATGTGTTGGACGCAGTACATGTCGATTCGAATTCATAATCTTATAATAATAAAAAAAATAGTCTTTTTTTGTTTTGACAAAATATATTTTGTACTTACTCGAATCTTAAACAAACTGCGATCTTATTATGAACGATATTAGTCGACGACGAAAGAGATGGAATATAACGAAAAAAAACAAAGAGTCAATCTCTCTTCTTTTTCGTCGTATGATGTGCGATGTATACGTTTATATGTTCTTTGTTCAAAAGCGCTTGTTTTCTCTTTCGTCCAATACGTATCAATATTTCGTTAGAGTGCGCTAGTGAGACGTGTACAATATGAATTTTTGAATATAGATTATCTACAATAGTTAAATATCATATACAATATAACATGAGTTTTCCTATAAATTATTTAAGACAATGATTCTTTTTTTTGTCAAAAGTTCATCGATAAGGAAGTAACTACTATGTATATGAAGTCTCCAAAAAAAAGAAGTAGATCAAGACTAAATGCATGTATTTTTTCTTATAAGAGGAAGATGTTGTTCATTTTTATCATATATATGCTAACTGAACACATATGTGTGAAATGACAATTTAACGTATGTTTTTAGAATTCTATAATAGAATCGATTTATTTTTCATTTCTAGTTATAATAATTCTCTTCCCCAACCTTTTTATCCAATACTTAATGAGAAATCATCTGTCAATACAGCGACTAAACAAGATTCAACTTTAGCTCGTCATAATCGTTCAACAATAATAAATAATGCTCATGTTCGTCGATTAAACCCGAATATTGAGCATCATCATCAACAATCAAAAATTATGTACAATAGTGAATATCGAAAAGAAAATTCAATAAATAATCTCAGTAGACTAATATCACCGATAACTATTCACTGGAAACCTTTTCAAACAAATAAAAAATTTGTTTTTTTTATAAAATATCTCAAATGCAAGAATCTAATAAATCTATTCGAAAACAAAATATGCAATTGAAACATAGTCAAAACTCACCATTTCAACGTTATCGTTCACAATCATTACAAAATTTAACATAATTATTATTATATACATACAATAACAACTATTCTTCTTTTTTTTCTTCTCTCTTCTTTGATATTTAGTTAGATAGATTTGTATTAACTCATACATATATTATTTATTTATGCTTTGATATCAAAAAACAATTACTGATATAAACAACAATATAATTATTGATAGTTTATCACTGTATTTGTATATAATTATTTTATTTACAATGTTCAGACAACCATGTGAGACCTTCGGTTAAGCCACTTCCATTTAATAAATTAGTAGAAAAAATGGTAGCTTAGAACAAAAAATATGTTTCATTGTAACCGTATATACTCATCTATTTGTAAGGAAAAATGGTGCTCAGTATAATGACAGTATTATTAACGAGAATCACGACGCTACTACAAAAATCTTGTTAATCACAGACAGTCATAATGTTCATCTGAAGAGTGCTGAGAGACAGTCATAATTTCAAATTTTATCATTATTTTGTTTGTTCGGTTTGCTCTTTAGCGAGTTTGTTTTTAACATTTTAAATGACATTAATTTTTTAAGATAATACCACGAATTGTTAATAATGATTAACTTTTCGATCAGCATAGAAAACATTTTACAAAAGCGTACAGTGCTGCAAGACGAAAAGTTCTTTCTTTTCTTTCTATTCACACATTGTTACGATACATATTACATGTCGAGGTCATCTGTTCATATATGACTAGGACACATAGTATGAAGCGTCACATGGTAAAAATAAAGAAAAAGAAATGACTAATAATAGTGCTGTAGACGTTGGCACTTTTAAAAACGATAAACAAATTGTGTTTGTGTGTAAACGAAAAATGTGTGTCTTCTTCGTATTTTACTAAAGAAAAATCGTGCATCTATATAAGAATAACAAAGATGATAGAAAGACTAAAACAAGAATTAATCGAAATCAAATACATGCATTCAATATTATTATAAGATAGTGATATAATCCTACAACACAAATGACTGGATACAACTTAAAAGTAAGAAAACAACGATATACATTACACAATCACACTATAAGAAGCAGTAGTTAACGAAATGACACTCATGCATCCTGATAATCCTTCTACTAGAATCATATAGTTTACTAAAACTTGAAATTAGAGCAACCAATATATTGTTTTTTCACTAATGAAATATCCCAATACGCGCGATCAATAAAAAAATTTTTCTCAGAGTCACCTTCATTTTTGTAAATGATTTTATCTGAAGAAAAAAGCATTATTACGAGGAATTTGTCGTTCCGCTGGAATACTCTGTAAATAAGTCATGTATAGAAAGGATTTTTCTCATAGTTATATACACTTATTCATTTTTTCAAACCATTTTCCTCATAGAAATAAGCATAATTCCTATTGATTTTCATTTTTTCGCTCGATTTGTATAGAATTCAAAGTCAATAACACCGGTTCTTGTTCCTATCGTCTGCGAAAAAGCAGCATTTTTGATCTGGAGACTTTTTTCCCAACGAAAACCACCATTTCTCTCACCAATTGAAGTTTTGTCCAACTCTCGCTTCCAAGTATTTTAATAGATGTTTCTGATATAATTTAATGTAATGGAAAAACGTTTAACCGATTTCAAAGATAAAATACTTAAAAAATTGCATTCATCATGAACTAGTCTATATGTAGGTATATGACTCTCATACAGGGAGTACCTTCCAAAGACATCAACTCACCATAGAGAAATTTTATAGTAATTCTTTTTCTATAATTATAATCGTCACATACACACAAACAAAAATTACGTATATATTTTTCACAAGCATTCTCTATCATTAAGAAATTAAAATTGTATTCATAAACACCCTACTACCATCCCATTAAAAATAAAAGAGATTTTACAGCTTTCTAAATAACTTTTGATAGGAAGCTGATAGAAAGCTGCGGTTTCCACCATTAAAAAGAGGAGTATTGGGACTATCAAAACATACGAAAAAAATTACTATTTAATTTGGCTCGGTGGATTTTTTAAAGGCCGATGATTTTAGAAAACCAAGAGTTTTTCAAACTTCCTTAACAATCCGGGTGTGGGTGTAGGTGTCCTATTCCACTTATACCTTCAAAAAATAAGAATTTGTATTGTCTTATCAATTGTAAGTTTTCGCTCGACAGATAAAGGTTTTCAAACATCTAGTTTCGACATATTATTGAGTCAAGTTTCCATTCAGTTTCTTTCCTCGAAGAACGTATGCAAGGTTTCTCTATAATAATGAATAATGCATATATATTTGTCATTTCCTTTACAAAGTCTCTATTGTCTACATATTATTCAATGTCTCTTTTATTCGTATTTATTAAATATGATTTTGATTATATAGACACATTCTGTTCCAACTCCAGTTGTGATTACTTGTCTTATACTAATTACTACTTTTTATGTTGTCATTCATTCGAACGTATCTTATATTGAATTTCAAAAAATTAAACTTGGAAATGTTACGATACATCCAGAACTATTATCACCACGTATTCTTTGTCTAATAGTAACAGCACCAAAATATTTTCTTGATCGTATAAAAGCGATTAATGCAACATGGGCTCCACGATGTGATCGTTATTTCTTTATTACAGAATACATTCCACAAAATATGACACTTCAACAAATTAATTTCGCACAACAAATACCAATTGCACCCATTCAAAATATTACACCTGGCTATGATCATTTAACACAAAAATCAACAGTAGCTTTTCAATTTGCATATGAAAACTATTTCAATGATTTTGACTGGTTCGTCAAAGCAGATGATGATACATATTTGATTGTTGAAAACTTAAAAGCTTTTCTAAGTGATAAAAATACATCTGAACCTGTGACATTTGGATATAATTATAAGGTAATTATCAAAGTATCATATATCAACTATGCACTTTTATAGATCGAATTGTTTTGTTTATGATTTAAATTAATATAAACGTTTATTTCATTTATCTTTGAGTCAAATGAAATAATAAAACTCAAAAGCTGAGATATTTTTCTGTAGGTATAGTTGATGGAAATATATGTAAACAGATCATATCAATAAAAAAATTTGATTATGAGTTCTTTCGATTGTTTAGTTTAATAATTTTGGTTTATATCAATGATAACAGACTAATTGAAATTGTTTATTGTTCGTTTCTTATAGACGAATGTTCCAAAGGGATACCATGCAGGTGGAGCATCTTATGCATTAAGTCGAGAATCATTACGAAGATTTAATGAGGCTCATAAAGATCCAAACTCTACGTGCGTTAAAGATGGTGGTGCTGAAGACGTTGAAATTGGTAAATGTCTTCGTACTAAAGATGTTTATATGGGTAAATCATTGGATAAACAAAACCGTGAATTATTTCATCCATTCAAATATATCGAGCATTTTTATGGCAATTTTAAGGTTTGGCTTAAGGAATACGCTGAGAATCCGTTACAAACTGTAAGTTGATTGAAGATACCTCTTCAATAAACTATGTGTTTTCTTTTCTAGGGTGACAATTGTTGTGGTGATAGAACAATTTCATTTCATTATATTACTCCTGATGAAATGTATCTGATGGATTTTTTATTATACAAAATGCGATCTAGAGATGTACCGCAAAGAAACAAGTGAGGGGGAACGGAAGAAAACTTTTCTAGAACCGAAAAGGTTCACATACAATTTTCAAAAATTGGGAGATGCACAATAATATTTTTTTCATTTAATAATGTTTTTTTATAATAAAATATACAATTTTGACTGAAAGAACGCTAACAATTTTCTAAAAGTAAAGTAGGGAAGGTGCGCCCTCCTTCCCTGTTTGCATCTCATAGACGGTACATTCCTGACTCGATCAATATCTTATATTCATTAAAGGTTTATTAACGAAACTTGATAATTTTACAACACGGGTGAAATACTATAATAATGTAAAACTAATTGATTATCTTTATTTTATGAATGTGTGAGAAGTATATATAATAATGTTGTGATTTTGGTTTTATTAAACATTTGACTAAATAAGCATGCACATGTTTGATTTATTGTTATTCGACTATACTATAAAAACTATAGAGATGTGAAATTAAACTATAGTAAAGATGATGATGAGAATATTGAACAAATTAAAAGTTTACATACTACAGTGGGTGAAATTTAACCTCATTCGACTATAATCCTGAATATTGAGACTTTTGTAAAAACTTCAAAATCGTCATTTCGAAATCGAGCTTCACATCGCACTTCTCAGACGAGTTTCCACTGATATGCCATCTATAGTTACAATGGAATTGTGAAGAATTTAGTCATTGTTAAAAATATTTCTGTTTATTGACTAAAATATTCACCGGTAAATACATTCTAATTAATTACATACTTTTCTCTAAGACTACTATAAAAATAGATAAAGAACAATGAACTATCATCTGAATAGTTATCTAATGACTGTTTCTGGACGTAGTTAATCAATATTTCATTATTGACTAATTTATATTCTTCGTATGATCTTTAAAATTACAACATATATTCATATGATAAATACAATTATAAGTTCATTCTTTTGTATGTCATCATATAGGAAAGATAAAATTACTATTCCAATGATTATTATTTACAAAACATTTTATAATAACCTACAACTCGTAAAGCAAACGAAATAAAGCATGTACTGCTTCACCTAATTTAATGTAAGTAGGCGGAGTAGGTATTTTTTGCCTTTAAATCATGTAAAAGTATAGGTATAAATGTAATCTTTATCTCTCGCTTATGTTTTATTTTAATAGTATATATATGTATAAATCGAAATCTTATCTTGTTTATAAGACATTCTGTATTGATTTGAAAATAAAAATACCAATGACAAATGTTAATAATGAACATGAATAAATGATTTCAGTACTTAATCAACTTATAGATGAACGTGAAATATTATCAAGAGAAAATGAATCTTTATTAATTGAAACAATGAATGAAATGAGAAAAGAACGACGTTTATTATTTAAATTATCATCCAATTTAACAACAAAACATAATTATGATGAACAAGTACAGTATATAAAACAACATTTAAAAGAAAATTATATCTTTTAGTATGTGTTCTCTATAGGCATGCACCAATTCCAATTCGGTTCGGTTCCAATTCTAGAATTGGTTGGAATTGGAATTGGTGCATGCCTAGTTCTCTAAATAGAAGTGTGGCAAAAAATTTGTTTGTTTAAATGGTAAATTTTACATGTACGACAAACTTGTTATGAATTTCATAATGTTAAAAATATGTACTTAGACATCGATACTACAAGAAAGAGTACACCATTCGTATATACTAGATATTTAATAAGCAGCGCAATAGTAATAGAATTTTACGATGTATATATTAATGATATAACAGACAATGAAGGTTTTTTGTGGTTAATCAAAATGATAAAGTTAAAAAAATAAATACATATATTGCCAGAGTGAAGTTCAAGGTTGATAATCTAATTTTGGAATTCTATTATGATCCTCTTTTCTTAACATAGATGGATCAATTACTTCTAGAGTTTGAATAACTAATGAGTTAACAAAAGAAGTGTTGTCGTTTCCGTAAAAATAAGTTTCTTTGCTCTAGATATCAAAATTTGAACTACTTTTAAGTAAGTTATGCGGTAAATCATGAAAAGAATTGTATTTGAATAATCAAAAAATCGATTATTTCAGAATTTTTTTATAAGTTCAATATGGAAGAATTCAGTTTAGATGAAAATCGGAGCGAGAGTTATAACTAAAACCACTGAAAATAAAATTATTGGAGTTAAAAAAAGAATATTACCTCAAGTTCTACTAATACCAACTTATAACCTGACTTTAATAGGTCTGAAAAAGTATCATTTTGTGCGGATTATTTTCTCTCGTATAGACGTTCTATATTTCCTACTAAATATATTTTCACTCTTTAATCCTTTTAAGAATAATCTTCCCTGTCTATTTAGTTTTCTCTTATCCTTGAAGAACATCTTGATTAATACCGTATGAATAAATCTTTATAATTCTATTAATTACTTTTATTATTCATTCTGTATTGACATGCAATATTAAAGATTACTTGATGTTTAATTTTTAATCTTATTATTAGGGAAATATAAGAATTATATATTTAAATACAACATAATTGATTTGATCAGATTTCAAGAAGAACTTTTAATTAGATTCATTTATACAGATTAGATATATACGATGATGTAAAAAAATATAAGCACTTATATTTAATCTTTATTTGACATAAGTTTCTTTTAATTCTATTAATTGTATTGCATACTAGATAAACTTTTGACAATACTTTATACTTAAAGATAATTATTATAATTAGTCTTAAGAATAAAATCTTGCTTTAAATCAAGGTAACGTATTGATTAGAATATATATCTGTTTTTAATAATCATCTCTAGATTAGAAACGTGATTTGAGTTATATGTAGAAAATTATAGGCGTGTTTGTCTGGAAAAAATGACGACTGAAATATATGACAATGTGTTTTACCTTGTCGGCTTTTTTTTTGTCTATTAATAAGAATTCAACGAAGGTAATTGAAGGTGATTAAAATATAAAAAAAAACATAAATCCAATTATTAAATTAGTTTAAATATAGAATTTTATTTTATTATTTAGAATAAAATTTTGTATTTATTAACAACCTATAGAAATATGATATTTACTTAGTTGAATTGACAAATTAGTAGAGGTTCTACAGTTATTTTTAGTATAATTTCTTTTTATTTATTCAAGCATTAACAGATGCAAAATAGGGACTATTCATAATGAATATCCTATTCAAAATCACTTAGTTTTTTTTGCTTTTACCTTCTTTATAACTATAATTGAATATTTTCAAACCAGACTTACCTAATATCTCACTATAAAATATTTCTATTATAATGCTTTAGCATGATGAGGGTGAAGTAAAATCAATGAGTACAAAATGTGTATAGACTCGACTGAAAGAGGGCTTACTCAAATTTTGCCAACTGGACATACGCTAATGACGAAAGTCAGAGAGATGTATTGTGGACAGTTCAGCGAACATTCGCCGGACTGCCTAGTGTCCACTTTACTTTCACCAATGCATCACTGAATTTTTGTCATTGTCGAAAGTCTTATTGGTGAAATTCGGAAACTCCAATTCATATTGTAGTTGGAATTGAAGAACAAAATCATTTATGTCGAGAATTATCTAGTTAACGTATGCTAGAGATGTGCAGGGTAAACATTTTTTATACTCTAACCCTACCCTATGGTATCTAAATCATTGTCCTACCCTATCCTACTAATTGAAATTTTTTAATCAAAGAATGGGTAAGCATGATAAATAACTTTTTTTATTTTATTTTCAAATAATAATAACTTTTGACTAAGCAAGAGAAAGATGTCGTTCTGTAGTGATATATCTAGTTAAAAAAACTTACTCTAGAGCTACACTACTCTAAGATCCTCTTACCCTAACCCTGCACTACGACTCTCTTACCCTGACCCTCAGAATTGGAACCGTTCCGGCAATCCGGTTCCGATTCGGCCGGACCGAATAAGACCGGACGAAAAATCTAACCGGTCCGGCCAAAACCGAATTTTTAGCGGTTCTTAAAATTAGAAAATTATATTAGTATTTCAAATTTTTTTCTTACAAAAGTAATCTTTATTTGTTTTTTTTTTGAAATATCATGTTAAGAATTGTTATAAGTATATGTTTTAGTTGAAAAAGAGTATGTGACAAAAATATTCGTATAAATTCATAATTTTCCCGGAGTTTTGCAAGTTTGACGTCAAAAGTAGTCCGGCCGGACCGGACCGGATGGAAAAAATCCGTCTGGTTCCAACTCTGCTGACCCTACCCTGCTCTATGATTCTTCTACCTTAACCCTGCACATCTCTAATGTATACTCCTCATACAGATGATGTTGAAAATTTATGCAATTGTCTATGAGCTTCCTAATGTATATAGAAGCTCGTAATAATCCTTTAGAGTTTGGTTTCGTCATGAATACATATTAATACTGACTTCAACACGATCATATCGTTTTAACAGTGAAAGTGTTCTTTATGAAAATTATGTTTGTAGGTACTTATAAAATATTAATAATAAATGTTCGAATTCCTGTAAATACTTGACTTTTTAGTTCTGCCTATCCTGGATATCTTTTATGAATGAGTTCAGAAAATAATTTATTATACAAGAACTGTATATATAAAATTTAGAATTTATGAAACACATTACCTTAGATAATAATTTTTTCTCCAAATATAACACCTAGATCAAAGAAACGTACTATTATGTACTTTCTTACACTCTATAATTAAAAATTTCAGAATATCTTTAATTTCTATTGGATAATATATAAATTCTATTTCCAGTAACGACTTATTATTTTTTTGTTAAACCTCTTGGATTTGATTCATACGAAAATAAAACAACAATATTAATTCAATTAAATATAGTGTATATATATATTTCAACTGTCTAGTTAATTTTGCTTCGCTTACTAAGTTTTCCAGTGAATAAAAAAGTATCTAATGAACTTCTATTTTTTAACGTAAATTCATAAAATATTCATTTTGTATGATTTTTAAAATTTATATTTTCAAGCTTTTTTTTTCTGCACGGTAAACAAACATAATGTAAAATAAGATAAATAAACAAAAAGAAAAGACAAAAAGATTAGCTAGCTAACCCAATCCAGAAGCTTTCAAGTTTTCATCAATTAAAATATTGTTAGCAACACCATAAACATAAACTAATTGTCCTTGAAATTGTTGTCGATCGATAGCTTTGCAAACTCCAGCTCGTCGATATTCCGAACCACGTGAACATTTTAAAAAATTATTCCATATAATTTCATCAAATTCTCTATCACCTTCCGTATTTAATTCATCATCAAGATGAAAATGAATTTTATCTTCATCATCTTCTGCTACTTTCGATAAAACAGGATCTAAATCACGAGATTTCTTTTGAGAATTTCGACGACTACGACTTGTTTTATTTTGACGTACTAATGCATCATAACCACCATCAGGTAATAATGCTTTTGTTAAAATTTGACGAGTATTTCTCGTTAATTCATACCATTCTTGTGAATCTTCTTCATGAAGTAATTCATGTGTAGATCTCGGTCTATAACGTCGATCATGTTTCATACGTTGTTTCATACGTGCAAAAAGTTTTACTAATGAAAATGATTTTTCTTCACCTTCTTCATCATCAAGACTACTATAATAAATATTTGGTGGTACACGACTATTTTCAGAATTTTCTGGATGATAAACACGAGTAAAATCATTTAATGATGCACGAGCTCGAAGTTGATGAATTGAACGTTCAAATTCAATATTATGATCATCAATTGCTAAAGACATTTGTCGTCCATACATAGATGGACTAGTTTGTTGGTGAGTTTGCTGTTTTTGCATTGTAGATAATGTACTTGTTGTTGGAGAATGTCGTAAAACACCACAACGTTGTGTAAGATAAAGATAATTTTCAATAAGGTCACCTTCAGTTTCATCAATTTCTTCATCATATTCGTGTGCTTGATTTTGATGATTGTCATCGTCACTATCATATGAGTGGTTTCTTCGATTTACCGATGCTTGTACAGCCATAGTAAGAAAGAATTATTGATTCTTATAAGTATTCAAACAATTTATCTTCGTCGTATTCCTTTTATATTAATGTGTATACTGTGCCAGTTCGATGTTGTAAATGTCGTACTGCTACAAATATATAATATAACAGCGGCATTCAAGCATAGGTAAGAGCGCAACTTCCTATAATATTTTGAAAAGCGACGAGGATGTGACAATATAACGAAGGAGTCATACTGATGAGAAAGAAGGAAAAAAAAGAAAGACATATGAGTAGTATACAACACTAGTGATGTCTCGTTTAAATTTACAATTTCAATAGAGAAAGCAACTACACAGTATGCTATATCCTTAGACTATCTTATTTTTTTGCTTTCTCTTTTCCTGTTTATAACTATGATGTATTCAAATTTTAAAAAAAAATACATAGAACAAATTCTAGTAGATTCTTATAAATTTAATTAAATAACAACACTACATGAGTTAACTAAAGATAGTTGATTATCAGAAAATGTTTTTTTCCCCTATATATATATGTCTATTATAAATAATAATGAAATATATTAGTTTTGTTTATTTTTTAAAGAAAATATAAATCCTATAAGCTCATATATGCATTCATTTATGAATAAATTGTATATATGAACTAGAGTTGTATGTTTGATTGAGCGAAATATTATATTCTGACAGGTATATGAAATGAATAAAATTTAAATAGACTGGATTTTATAAATTTGTATCTATCTTTATTCAGGTATATATTAATTGTTTTTTTAAAGAAACTATTTATAGAAATTAACAAAGAGGAACAAATAACACGGATAAAATTTCTATCTACTGATGCAAAAGAAATAATTTATGAAATAAAAAAAAAAGAAAAGAGACAAAAATATTATTTGGTTATTGTAAACCAACAATCCGTCAGACATATAGAATTTTTCTATTAAAACTATTCAAAAGACTACTTGTTTTTTTCTCCCTATTATCAGATAATAGGTTAGAAAAAACGTCCCATACGTAAATTTAATAGTATAATGACATTATTATCATTTTATAGTAAATGTCATACTTTTACATCAAATTTATAAACACAATCATATTGATCTAGATAAATTCTTCATGAAACAAATATATATTATTTTATGTACAAAGTTTTCTATTACAAAACATGCAATGATTTATCAATTTGAAAAAGATAAAACAAATATTTTAATATCGCTTAGATTTTTCTAATAGTATTATCACGATCTACTTTTTGATAGATAATTTCTCTTTTATTCACGTGGTAATAGGACAAACAAACTAGCAGATGATGTAGAATTTACCTGGAAGAAAAATTGTTGAACATTTCAAAATCTATACTATTTATTATTTTGTTTGTTTTATACCCGCATGAATTAATAAACAATGAATACTCTCTAAAACCATCTACCAAGAAATAAGTGGTATTTTTTTCTTTTAATTATATAAATTAGTCTGCATCCGTATTCATATTTCTCAAAAATGAACACCTATTATTTGTTTTTATGATAATTATTGAAATGAACTTATCAATCTCTTGGTTCGTTCAGATGAATAATATCGGATGTTTCATTTCATTAAAAACGGAAACTAAAGACTAACTGTGAACATATTAAAAAATATCCAATTATTTATGAGAACAAAATTTTTGTTTTTGCCATTCAAATTTTTAAATTAGCACAAAAATAAATTATAATCAAATGACAATGATTTTATTTATTTTTTTGTAGTAAAAATCGAAAGAAAAATAACTACAGATTAATACAAACTAAAAGCTTATCTTTAATCTAAGGGATAAAATGATTAATTTTAAACAAGTAGTCCATCTTTAACTTTTGTAGCTTCATCTTTGCCTTTAAGAAGTTCAATTAATTTTAATGCAAAAACCATCGTTGTTCCTGGCCCTTGACTTGTAACTAAATGATGTTCTTTTTCTTCAGTATCTCCTACAAAAACAAAATTATTCTTAATATATATATATAAGTGTAATATTAACCTTTTCCGGTATGTCTACTATGACAAACAGGATTATCAGGATTATCGAGTTTATACGGTTCACCATCAGTAAATTCTTTGCGTACACTTGGATAACATGTTATTGTATGTTTATGATCAACACCGATCTTATGAGATAATAATGCTCGTGGTCCAGCACATATAGCTGCGACAATTTTTCCATCTTGATAATGTTTTGTCAAAATTTGTCCAACTTCAGAACTATTAGCCATTGCTTTTGATCCTAATTTTCAAAGAATAATAGAAATAAAAACTGAAATTAAATTAGCCACTTCAATAACGATTTCTTTTTGTATACTAACCATCATTACCACCTGGAATAATGACACAATCGTATTGAGTATTTTTTATATCATCAAGTGATTTATCAGGTAGAACACGAACATTACGACTACATTTTACAGCATCATGACCACTTTTTTCAATTGAAACTACATCAACTTCAATTTCCGCTCGTCGAAGGACTAAAAAATTTCAAATTTAAATTATTGAAAATAATTATTAGAAAAAGAAACCATCAATTGTTGTTACTGCTTCAATTTCTTCACTTCCATTAGCAATAAAAACAAGCGCTGTTTTAGTCATCTAAAAAAAAGAATAAGTTTTGTTGCTGAATTATATTTAAAATATATCAAGCTGGAATAAAAATAAGAATGACAATATTTAATTTGTTTTTTTAAAGAAGCATATCTTCACGAATTTTTTTAACTTTCGATGATCCATCAAGAATTTCAACAATTTTTAATGCAAATGCAAATGCTGTTCCTGGTCCTTGACTTGTTAACATATGATGTTCGCCATCATTTGTTTTTAATTCACAATGATGAACTGGTTGATCAACAATCTGCATTTAAAAAAAAATAAAGATATAAATTCATAAATGAAATTATCTATTTACATTATAATCTGTTTTCAATTCCTTTTGACATTCAGGATAAGCTGTAACAGTGGCATTTTTAATACCAATTTTATGTGCTTGAAATACGAGTGGACCTAAGAAAAGCGTAAAATTTATTATTTAGACAATTAGAAATAATTGTTTTTTCTTTTTATATATACCAGCGCATATAGCAGCAACTAATTTTCCTTTTGAATAATGTTGTTGAAGAAGATTTCCAACAGCAGGATTTTTGGCCATTGCAGCTGCACCTTTTTCACCACCGGGAACAATTACAACATCATATATATCATCAGTTGATACTTCACTAATAGATATATCTGGTACAATAACAGTATCTTGAGCACATTTTAATGCATCACGACTTCCTTCAATTGAAGCTACGGTCACTTTTATACCAGCACGACGGAGAACCTTTATAACAATAGAAAAAAAACATAATTCATAAAAATTAATCGAATCGGTTTTTTACATCAATTGGAACAACAACTTCAGTTTCTTCACTACCATTTGCGATGAAAAGTAAAGCTTTTTTAGAAGCAAACATGTTTACTATTCAATAAAGTTTACAATATAAATTCAATAATAATAGACTTTTACAGTAAATAACACACAAAGACAGATGACTCATCCTATTGGCCAATAGTAAAAAAACACACAATTAGCTCTACCTCTCTATATATTTTACTAGCTATCATCAATATTCCTTTAATATGCAAATAAGACAATAATTATTAATAAACGAATTATATAGAATAAAATCTATGGTCTCATGCTTTTCTAAAGAATTTCATTTTTTTCTATAATAATCGATGTTTCTTAATATATTTTTTTTTCATAATATACTTCATTATATAATTTGAATTTTTTCATTTTTGCTACAATTCTTTTGAATTATTCATTACTATTCATATCGTACATATGTAATACTGTAAATATGTGAAGGCCTTAGTAATTATTTCAATACAATAGATAAATATCTCAGCAAAGATATAATAACAACATCTTTTTTTTACATAATAAAATAGTATCATGTAGTATATTCATAGAGAAAATAGAATGGTGTGTACTGTAAAATAGTTAAAACGTCATATCTTTCTTTCATTGTGTAAATAACGTCTAAAAGCAAATAATGATATTATTTTGAATTTGATTCAATTGTACTCTTTCTCCTTTCTATAAATTTAAGTATATGACAGATGTAGTGATTGATGAATGATAAAATTGTTATTATATTTATTTTTATTCTAATAACAACACAGAAGAAAAAGGAATAAAACAGCTGGAATATAATATATTATACACTGACAAACGGAAATAGCATAAATGTATGTATATCTGAGAATATTATAATGTTTTATGCTAGTTTAGTTTACAAAGCTTCTTTATGTGCTTCAGCTTTGGCTTTATGAGCTTTTTCTTCAATTTTGTCACCAACAGCTGAAAAACCAGCGCCAACACGTTCACCAACCGTATTATCGGAGTCTTTGACTTGTTCTTTGTGACCTTCATAAGATGCATTACTTGTTGCCTCTAAAATTATTAAGAGATTAAGAAAATGCTTTTTTTTCTTCTTCAGATTACGAACCATGAACTTTTTCGGCAACATAGTTATATGCATTGGAAATTGTATCACCAATTTGACCAATTACACCTCGTTCTTCAGCAGCTTCCTTATGAGCTTCTTTTTTAGCTTCATGACCTTTTTCTTCAACTAAAAAATAAAATTATATATATATATTTTTATTACGAAAAAAATAGATATCATACCTTTATCTTTAACAGCATCGATGCCATGACCTATGCGGTTACCTGCTGAAAGATGATCATCTTTAGCTGCTTCCTTATTTGCTTCATATGAAGCACCACTTGCTACTTCTAGAAATAATATAATTACTTTATTTATTCATTCATTTATTCATTTATCTATTACCTTTAACTTTTTCTACACCAGCATTTGCAGCGTCTTTAAGGTTTTGCATTGTTTCTTTTATTTCAATAGTAATAAGAACGAATAACGATAGTTGTTTTATTTGTAAGAATGAGGAATCTTTTATGATTCCTGGCCTATATATAAACTCTCTTTTCTCGTTCGTTCTTTCTTTTTTTTTTCTACGCAAAAAAGAGAATGTCGGGAAGAAAAGGAAATAGAGAGAACAAACTGGAAGGAGAAAAAAATAGACCAAAGAGTCAACGACGAAACGATATGTAGTCCGTTTAGTAGATTCTAGAAGAAGAAGAAATGCGATGAGAACATGAGGTGCAGCAATAATGGGCGCGCCATTCTGCTGACGTGGAAGAAACAGAACTAATACATGAGAAACGAACGAGCGAGTCAGAAGCAAATCTTTCTTATCTATTACTGGTTAGAAATGTTTTAACATAGAATATTTGTTTTTATTATCTAACGGCATCTATTTCGAAACATTTTTATCAAATAACAAACTCTACTGAATAATCTTGTAAAACAAAATTCTTTATAAGAGATAAAAAATATTTACTAAATAATTGTTTCCAAATACTCTGTTACCTTAGATGAAATTATGATCTTTGATCTCTTCCATTCCAATTGAAATGTTATTATTGCATACAATTTTTGTTATAACTAAACAAGAGAATTATTTTCTTCTGAATTTAAGTATTCGGACTTGATTTCTTATATCAGTAGAAAATGAAATTTGATATAAAACAATATAATTACACGGAACAAAAATTACTATAAAGCTAATTGGTTTTTTAATAGAACGTGATGATATTATTAGATATTTTTGTACAATCTATATACATTGATCGTTCATATCCATATATTCACAATTTTAAAGATTATATACAGTATTTCATGAATGTAATAGTGCTTATCTAAAAACGAATATTTATCGATACGTGATATTTCTGATGCAAAGACATATTTTTATTATTTTGGAAACTATTTAATAAGGCAAAATATTTTGCGATATTTTCTTTTATAAAATCCGCATTTTGACATACCGATAGAACTGCAAAATTATTTTTATAGTTATAATTAACAGCTAAAGATGAACTTGTGTATTGTTGTATTACTTCTTATTAGACAATCTGTAAACAATCATAAAAACGGTATTACTTATAAATGTTTAGACATATTTTAACGAAAAGAAAAATGAACTTAAAATAATATTTATGAAAACAAATATCAACGATTCCCTAAATTTTGTATATTTTCTACTGTTCTTAACTTAATATAATAATCTTGATTATCAATACTCAAACTCTAATCTTTAGTTTTTTTCTAATAAGAAATAAAAAATAATATTAACTGACCGATATACCTTTGCTAATTCTGTTAGAATTCAATATTAGGATTCGTGTGTAACATTCGATGATGAATCCTAGAAAATCTAACCCACTCTTCAACTATTTCTCTATTTGAAGATGCACACATAATAAACAATGTTAAAAAACGTTTTGCCATATGGAATAGAAATTTTGAAATCATCGTCATTTGATCACTTTTTCTGATAATCCTTGTCAAATCCTATCTAAGGTATCACCTGATCAAATAAATTATTATCAATATTTTGAGAACAAAACAACAAAAATAAAGTACTAAAATATCATAATTTTAGCATTAAAACTATCAGATTTGTTTGCTGAAGGTTTAAAATTAGAATTAAATCCTTCGTACATGATCCTATATATAGTCGAATCAAAATAGCTAACGATGTGTCGATTTAGAACTGAAATCATGCAAATTACAAATATGCTTATTTTATTAGCAGTTGCTTTTATTGCTTTTGCTTCTGTAACAGAAGGTAAGATTTTTGTTTAAATCAAAATTGATTATTATATGTCGATTGTAGCTATTTCATGTAGTAATCCAAGTCAGTATAGTGGAAGACTTCTTTGTGATCATGCAGGTAATAGACTATAATTTTTAATCGTTCATTACTCATTATAGTCACTATTTTTTAGGTGGTTATTGTGGTGAATGTGTTAGCTTTGTTAAGTGAGTTATGCTTAAAAACCTTTTTTCTATTTTAACGAATTATAACTGATAAAATAGAGTTTGCACTGGTGATCGACGCACAACAAGCCAATGGTCAGCTGGAGTAAAAGTAAGTGAGAAATATGTTTTAGTTCACTATTTTTATTTATATCTATGTAGGTTCGTGGAGCAAGTATTGCATCTGGCACAGCAATTGCAACATTCCCCAATGGTAAGTATTCAGGTCATGCAGCTATCTATACTGGCCAAAATAATGATGGTATTCAAGTTTGGGATCAAGTAATAATACTAAATCATGAAATATATGTTTATTATATTGATAAAATTTTTGTTTTAGTGGGTTGGCCGTCCTGTTGCAACTCGAACAATTCGTTGGAATGGTAGTGGAATTTCAAATAATGGTGATAGTTTTTTTGTCATTGTTTAAAATACATAAAAGATTTTATTTTGAAATGAAATGAAAGTATTTTAAAGGTATTTCATTCAATAAAATAAATTATATCATATGTAAGTCTATTTTAACGAAAAGAGAAATGAACTTAAAATAATGTTTACGAAAACAAATGTCACTGATTCACTAAATTTCGTATATTTTCTACAGTTCTTAACTTAATATAATAATCTTGATTATCAATACTCAAACTCTAATCTTTAGTTGTTTTCTAATAAGAAATAAAAAATAATATTAACTGACCGATATGTCTTTACTAATTCTGTTAGAATTCAATATTAGAATTCGTGTGTGATGTTCGGTGATGGATTCTGAAAAAACTAGTCTAATCTTCAACTATTTCTCCATTTGAAGATGCACACATAATAAACAATGTTAAAAAACGTTTTGCCATATGGAATAAAAAAATTTTCAAATCATCGTCACTTGATCACTTTATGTTCTCTTTTTGTTACTTTTCTTAATAATCCTAGTCAAACCACATCTAAGGTATCAGTTAATCAAATAAATTATTATCGATACTTTGAGAACAAAATAACAAAAATAAAATGGTATAACATCACGTGTCTAGTAGTAAAACTATCAAATTTCTTTGATAAAGATAAAAGTAAAACTAAATACTTCCTACATGAGAGTATAAATAATCTAATCGAAACAGCTAACAATGTGTTCTTTTTCAACTAAAATCATGCAAATAATAAATATGCTTATATTATTAGCAGTTGCTTTTATTGCTTTTGCTTCTGTAACAGAAGGTAAGATTTATCATTTATAAATCAAAATTGATTATTATATGTCGATTGTAGCTGCTTCATGTAGTAATCCAAGTCAATATAAGGGTCAAAAGGTTTGTGATCGTACAGGTAATAAATTATAGTTTGCATTTGTTCATTAGTCATAATAGTCATTAATTTTTAGGTGGTGAACGTGGTCAGTGTGTTAGTTTTGTTAAGTGAGTTATGCTCAGAAACGTTTTTTTCCTATTATAATGAATTATAACTGATAAAATAGAGTTTGCACTGGTGATCGACGCACAACAAGCCAATGGTCAGCTGGAGTAAAAGTAAGTGAGAAATATTTTAGTTCATAGTTCTCATTTATATCTATATAGGTTCGTGGAGCAAATATCTCATTTGGTACAGCAATTGCAACATTCCCCAATGGTAAGTATTCAGGCCATGCAGCTATTTATACTGGCCAAAATAACGATGGTATTCAAGTTTGGGATCAAGTAATAATACTAAATCATGAAATGGATGTTTATTATATTGATAAAATTTTTGTTTTAGTGGGTAGGTCGTCCTGTTGCAACTCGAACTATTCGTTGGAATGGTAGTGGAATTTCAAATAATGGTGATAGTTTTTTTGTCATTAATTAACATACATAAAAGATTTTATTTTGAAATAAAATGAAAGTATTTTAAAGGTATTTCATTCAATAAAATAAATTATATCATATTACAAAAGCTTTCAACAATCATTTCTTGTCATATGTAATCTGAATCACACATTTAATATAGCATCAGTACTATAAAAAAACGTGCATCATTTAGCGACATCTTTTTAGTTAAAGTGTAAGATATAATCTTCATTTACTAATGAAATTTGATTCTATTATTTGAAAATAACCTACATTGATTAATTGAATATAAATTTTCAAAAGAAAATCATGTTGTTTACATAGGAGGATATGAGCTTGACAACATGGCTGTTTTTCGGATCCTGTCTAAGAGAATTCTCTTTCTAATCCATCATAATTTTACATTCCAATCTCAATGGTAACGATCATCTATTATATTTAAATAAAAAACAACATTCAATATTTTTTTTCTATTCATATTTATAGGCAACAGGAACAAATCAAATAAAACGACCAGGACTTGTTGGTGGTGCCAAGAAACGAACGACTGGTTCTCGACCTGAATTAACCGAAGAACAAAAAACAGAAATTCGTGAAGCTTTTGATCTATTTGATGCTGATGGTTCGGGAACTATCGATGTCAAAGAACTTAAAGTTAGTAATAAGAAATCTTTTCTTTTCTTTATTCTATATATATATGTACTTTTTAGGTAGCCATGCGGGCATTAGGTTTCGAACCTAAAAAGGAAGAAATTAAAAAAATGATATCTGATATACAAAAAGAGAATGCTGGTAATGAAATAATTTCTATTTATAAACGAAAAAATCAATCTATTTTTCATTTTCACATATTAAGGTACAATTGATTTTAATGATTTTCTTCAATTAATGTCGCAAAAAATGGCTGAAAAAGATTCGAAAGAAGAAATACTCAAAGCTTTTCGGTTAATAAAAAAATTAATTTTTTTTTTCTGTAATTATTATCTTTTATTTTTTTTTCTAGACTTTTTGATGATGATAATACAGGAAAAATCTCATTTAAAAATTTAAAACGTGTTGCAAAAGAATTAGGAGAAAATTTAACTGATGAAGAATTACAAGTAAATTGAATTTTATTAGTTAAGAAAATTTTTCAATTTAATTGTTTTTTTTTTAAAGGAAATGATCAATGAAGCAGATCGAGATGGTGATGACGAAATCAATGAACAAGAATTTTTACGAATTATGAAGAAAACATCACTATATTGAAAACATTCCTATTTCTTCGTCTTTTTCCGCGTTCTTTTTGTGTTTTATAAACGTATAACATTTTTTTGTCAGGTATTCATTTTATTGTATCAAAAAATAATAATTCCAATCTTCCATGTATCTTTTCTGTTTGTTTATGTCAGTATTTTATGTTCGACGCACATATTCATTAATGCGGAACGTTAAATTTTCAGTCTATGTGAAGACATATTATTTAATGTTTTTCTTTTTATCATTTAACTAACATATCGTTCGTTCTGTACGTTCGAAAGGACTTGATTGATTGTATATTAGAACAGGTAAGGAGTAAAGAACGAGAGTGACTTGAAATAAAAAAGAAAAACATAACGAACGTATATACATACAAAAGTTTTGTGAAAATAATATGGGTGGCTTATTGAATCGATCATCAACGCAAAGAGATGAAGGAAAAACAAAATTAAAAAAAGATAAGCGAAAACGACGACATGACGACTCGGACGCACCACTGGACAACGATGATTTTGTTGTAATAGATAGAAATGAAAATGAAGATCCACAAGCTGAATTAGTAAACTCATATGAACTATGGAATAATAAATGTGAACAAAAACCAATAATGAATATAAATGGTAAGGCAGTAATCATGTAAATGAACTTATTATATATGAGTCACTTTTTCGGAATAAAAAAGCAGCAGACTTTATCTAGTTGAACAAAACAATCATCAAAAAATTTCGTATTTGTTTTCAGTAGATCCACCTGGTGCACCACCTACTGATTCTCCTAACTATTTTATTCATCCAAATGATGCAATGAATCATCCATGGTCGTCTTCTCTTGATGTTAATAATTCATTTTATCCGATAAACTCACTTCAGTCAGTATCACAATATAATATGCCATATGATCCTAATCAATATATGCATAATCAATTTTCTAATTCAATGAATAATCAATTGTCTAGTTCAATGGGCAATCAATCACCTAGACTTGCATCTGATGGACGAGTACCAAAAAGAGTACATTTCTCTTCTTTACATCCAGAACAACAACAACAACAGCAACAGCAGCCTATGCCTTTAAAGCCATTAACTAGTGCTCATTCGTGGCATGAAACAAATACTACAGCTTTTGCTACATCGACATCGACAGGTACGAAACCTATGCGATTATCAAATAGATCATCTTCATCTCGACCATCAGTAGTTAAGCGTAGACCAACACCAACACAAGTACCTGTACAAAAACCTATTTATGTAGGTGTCGATCATCAAGCAACATTAGCTGAACGTGGCCAGATAATTGCTAATACACATCATCGTAGAAATGATGAAAGAAATCTGACAAATACCTTAACTTCATCTATGTCTAATCAACAATTTCATTCTCATACAAATCATCAAAATAAACATCAAAAAATAAGTGATTCACCTAATTCGGATAATACAGTAGCAACTAGTAGATCATTTGATGTATCACAAACAGTCAATGCTTCATCACATCGTTCAATAATTAAATCGATGTCAACAAATCGAATTCCAAAAAATAGCGATCAAATTCCATTTATACCTAATGAACCAAAACCATTAAGAACAAGAAGTGCTCGTCGACAAGAATCACCAATGAATAATGAATTAAAACCATTGAGAAGTCGAGAAAATTTTCGACAACATACACGACAACATCCTTCAAATCAATCACCTTTATCTTTATCAAATGATTTACCGAATCGACGTATTCAACGTATGAATTCCGGTTCACCAGTACTACGAATTGCACTATCGAAAGGTATTCAACATCAGCAAAGACAACAAATGACAATATCTGGAGTGAATCATACAATGCGTACTATTCCTCGAACAAGATCATAAACATAACTATTTTCCCTAATAAACTGAACTATACTTTTTTTCATATCTCATTGATGTTCTTTTTAAGAGAGAATTCATATGTCAATAAATTCGGATATTTTCTTATCACGTCAATTATTGGTTATATTTTAGTTGGTTACGGTTGAGTGTTTACGATAAGATATTAACAAACTAGTTGTTTGTACTTATAAAAATATTATACGAAAAATAATGATTAATGTTAAACGAAGATGTTTGTGTCATAATAATGACAAAATAATCAAATATATCATTTGAATAGACACAAAACGTGAATACCTATAATTTTCGGTATTTTTTACATATTGATAGACGTAACTGTTACAGCTGTGTTTTTTTTTTGAAAGATTTGTTTTTACGATAATATTACTCAATATACACAAGTTGTTATTGCATATATACATGTCTAGTCTAAAATGATGATGTTCTTTTAAAACCATGTCTTAATAATTCAATGAAATCAGAGAAGGAAATATTTTCGTGAATTATTACTCAGACTTAGATATTAGTTATAAATCAACAAATTTCTTCTATTGTGAAATACTTCTTATGTAATCTTACTTGAATTAAACTATGAAACAAAAAATAACAGAACATAATATTTCCCGTGAATGCGAATACTCAATTATTAGTAACAATTTAAAAATATTCAAAATAAAGGACAAATTCGAATTAGACTTTTCTCTCATCGCTAAAATATTTTGTTATATTAAAATGACACTAATGATGACTGTGAATGTTTTTACTGGCAGTCATACATACATCAAAACTTACCTAACCGTTTGGACTTGGATATATTTGTTTTTTTCTAAAATCTTCACGCTTTATGTCAAATATTTGCTTATATATATATAGGAGCAAGTATTTCGAAGAAAGATTCGTATCTAAATGCAAATGATTTGATAAATTTCAATATAAGATTCATATCTAAATGATTACATTTAATAACGTGAATATAAAATCTAGATCATATTATTATCAATCAGGTCATATTGTATTATAAACTTTTACAAAATCATCAATAGTCAATATCACTCTAATTTTATTTAAAAAAATCAAAATATAATGGAATAGAAACGTGACATTTGATGCATTTTTTTCTCACCTATAAAGGTGTATTAGATATGAGACATGATAAAGAATGCATAATTAAACAATCTGATAGCATACATCAATCATGTCTAACATAGTTACTGACGTATTCAAATAGAAAGA